ACTCTAAAGGAGTCACCAACTTTACCATGAGCTAAAATTTCTGCCACTTACTATAAATAGATGACATGATGCCTTTAGACTGTTGACTTTCATCAGCCCCATCAACATTGTTTTACTACTTTACTACATATTCTGTCGTACCATCCTGCTATATTTTGTTGTAACTTGCATTGGAAGCCACTGACCTAGAGTACCACTTTTCAATAATTTGCTGTTTACTCAATAACACTTGATGACACGCGGATATTTAGAGAAACTGTTAAATTGTTAACACACGTCTAATACGAAATGTAAAAAGGATGACTCTGTTTCGCAAGAAGCAAAATCGATTTACAAAACAATAAATGCAATGAAAAACGCATCGGCGACTGCCTGTTGCTGTATTATTTTTAAACAAGTACCAATATTCATCTATGCTCTACGATCCCCATCTTCACCGATTCACACTGACCAGCATGGTGAAGCATGGTCAAATAAAACCACATTACCCATATGGTGTGGGGAGGGGCCCTCATTCATCAGCGAATTGACAAAATGGGCTGTACACGTGAACACATATAATGCACAGTACAGTAGTGTTATTTTTGTTTAATTATGGAAGACACTCTATTGCTCTTATAAGCAATTCTTGCAGCAAATTGTATTAAGTGTTGCAAAAAAAACTATGCCACCGTGGCTTATTCTAGAAGGCATGGCAGCTGGCACTGTGGATAGGGGTGGCATATGCAGCACAATACTGGATATGCATCATGGTAAATACTCTTTTGCTTTTCGAGACACTGTATCAGTAGACCTCATAATTCGTCCCAAGATGCGTATTTACTTGTTAGTGCAAAAGGTACGTGCTTGTGTTTGCGCATGACAAGACTGGTGACGATGGTGGTTGGCACCTGGACTCATGTTTGGGCAATGGACAATAAAAACGAGGATGATGAGTGTGTGCTGGCCAAAGTGCGTGGGTGTAAAGGTTGAGCATGTGGCCAAGCGTACACGTGTTTCCCCAACAGGAACCTTGCATACTACATGGTGGCGTTTGTGCGTTTTAAGAATCCAGTGAGACTCCCTCGTTTTGCTGAACACATCCATCATAAATCCACGGCTCTCCCTCCCTTGCTGTCTCTTCAGTAGAAGTCCTTGGTTCGATTTCCTGGCTGTTACTCCATCACCATTCTTGAGGATTTGCCATCAACCCTTCGAAGCGATGTGTACTGCCGAAGCCAACGACTCTTCAACAGTTTGAATGATGCCATTAACCTGTACACGTGTTCTCCGATGCACGGTGTTTCCTCTTCATGATTTCTCAGTGCACTAATTCCAAGCATGCGTCTTCACCATGCTTCGTTGACCACCCATTTTTTTGGTGTTCGCTAAAACAGTATCAATAATCAATCCGTGCACAATTCTTCCTGGAGGTCACAAAAACAACACTTTGGCTTTATGATCGATCAATTATTGGGGTGCGGAACAACTAAGTGTGCTTGGCGAGTTACGAAACTAAAAGTAAACTATTTATTATCCCAGGTAAGGCCCACTGGAGCTCTGTTTTGCTTCTTTTTCAGAAGCGACCTGGCCACAAATGATGATCTCAACTTAGTGGCTTACCGTTTGGAAATTTATAAGCGGCAAAACACTTGATTCTAAAATGTGGCGTGTAAAAAAAAACCCACAGAGGACCCGGAGAAAATATTCACGCGACCACGGGTAGCGAGGGAAAGAAAGAGACACACCACAAACTCCAAATGTACAGCAGGGCATCATCAAGGGGGTCGAGATCGACCCCACGACCTCCTGTATACCCGGCGAGGCAGTCAACATCTCCTAGCCACCGTGTGGGTATCAGACAGGTCAGGCCAAGCATGCAGTATCACGGACTGGCAGGGCGTTAAACCCAACATACCGTAATGTATACAATGTTAGAAAAGGAAGAGGGGGGGGGGTGCTGGTGTGGGAAGTGAAAACATTAAAAACACCACGACAGCGCTTCCACGTCACCCGCACGGCGCTGACCGCTCGCCCCGTCTCCAAAGCGAGCAGGGGGCTGCTTATCCCAGACCACCACCACCATCATCGTCAAGCCACCATACTGACGTCGAACGAATACACACAAACAACCATCACTTACAAATGTGTGGGACCCCCCCAACCCCCAAGACACACACAGACACACACACAGAGGGGGGATTGGTGCTAGGCAGTGACAGAGAGGGGGGCTGCCTATCCCAGACCACCACCACCACCACCATCATCGTCAAGCCACCATACGACGTCGAACGAATACACACAAACAACCATCACTTACAAATGTGGGATCCCAACCCCCAAGACACACACAGACACAGACTGGTGCTAGGCAGTGACAGCTCAAACAGCGAGCGGGTAGGTCAAAGCAGCACTCGATGTACCTGTAGTAGGAGAGCAGGCCATTGCTGAGCACGAACCATCGCTTCTGGTAGCCCTTGATGTAGTTGGTCCACTTGAAGAGCCAGCCCTTGTACGTGTCCGGCCCGCTCTTGAGGTCGCTCATGTTTGCCTGCTGCTGCTGGTAGTGGTGGTGGGGTCACTCGCCGCCGCGCCCCGTGTCACTTGTGTGTGTGTGGTTGTGTCTCTGTGTGTGTTTCTCGGCCTCCCTCTGTGTAATGAGAAGGAGGACTGGGGAGGAGGAGGAAGGGGGGGTGGGTGAGGGAGCCGCGGCGAGCCCGGCAGTCGGTGCGGGCAGAGAAGGAGGCCGCCGCTTCAGGCCTCGCTGCTGCTGCGTCACCACGGGGGGCGTGGCCAGGCGACTCGGGGGGGGCGTGGCCAGGCGACTCGGGGGGGCGTGGTCAGGCGACTCGGGGGGCGTGGCCAGGCGACTCGGGGGCGTGGCCTGGCGACTCGGGGGGCGTGGCCAGGCGACTCGGGGGGCGTGACCAGGCGACTCGGGGGGCGTGGCCAGGCGACTCGGGGGGCGTGGCCAGGCGACTCGGGGGGCGTGGCCAGGCGACACGGGGGGCGTGGCCTGGCGACTCGGGGGGCGTGGCCAGGCGACTCGGGGGGCGTGGCCAGGCGACTCGGGAGGCGTGGCCAGGCGACTCTGGGGGGGGCGTGGCCTGGCGACTCGGGGGGCGTGGCCTGGCGACTCGGGGGGCGTGGCCTGGCGACTCGGGGGGCGTGGCCTGGCGACTCGGGGGGCGTGGCCTGGCGACTCGGGGGCGTGGCCTGGCGACTCGGGGGGCGTGGCCTGGCGACTCGGGGGGCGTGGCCTGGCGACTCGGGAAGCGGGGCCAGGCGCCTCGGGGGGCGTGGCCTGGCGACTCGGGGGGCGTGGCCTGGCGACTCGGGGAGCGTGGCCAGGCGCCTCGGGGGGCGTGGCCAGGCGCCGCGCGTCATCAACATGCGGCGCGCACTCTCCACCAAGCGCGCGCCGCACCGCGTGACACGCGCAGCGCTGTTACACGTGCCACTAATACCACTACTACACGTGCCATTACTACACCACCACTACTACTACACGTGCCATTACTACTACACCACCACTACTACTACACGTGCCATTACTACTACACCACCACTACTACTACTACACGTGCCACTAATACTACTACTACACGTGCCATTACTACTACCACCACTACTACTACCACACCACTACTAACACTACTACACCACTACTACAACACCACCACTACTACTACTACACCACCACTACTATCACTACTACACCACCACTACTACACGTGCCATTACTACCACTACTACCACCACTACTACATCACCACTACTACCACTACTACTACTACCACTACTACACCACCACCACTACTACACGAACCACTAATACTACTACTACACGTGCCATTACTACAACTACTACACGTGCCATTACTCCACGTGCCATTACTACTACACGTGCCATACTACTACACCACCACTACTACTACACGTGCCACTAATACCACCAGCCCACAGGGGATTATTGTGTCCGTCCGTCTGTCGTGCATTCAAAAATGGGAGGGGTGGAGCTGGGAGGGGAGGGGCTGGGTGGGGGTGGGAGGAGTGGGGGGCAGGAGGGGTAGGGCTGGGTGGGGAGGGGTTGGTCACCCCGTGGTGCCCTTATACAACTCAACGTTTAACCTACTCACGCCGGCTTGTGCCCGCCCTCACAGTCGGGCATATTTGCGGAATACACCACGCCGCCGTTGACCCTGCAGGCCATTGACCGAGCAACCCAACGTTCCTACCAGCTCCCTCCGCAGGAATGTGTTTATGTATGCAAGAACATCGAGCAATACTGTAATCGCATCCCTGTATTGCACTGGGATTTTTCTCGCTTGGCAGGAGACATGTAACCGGTCGCGCTGGTTTTGATAAAAATAATTAAAATCCCCAACCGCGACGTGGAACCCAAAATAATGGCGTGCGTGTTGGTATCTGTTACATTATCACGCGTAAAAAAAGTGGTAAATAAATCGTTCTCAGTCGATCCATTCACACCTCCCAAAGGATGCAACACTCTTCTCACAACACTGCTTTTCGACGCGGCGATGAGAAGTTTAGCAGCGTCAAACCGCGTATAACCGAAACATCGCTCGTGTTCCAAAAAAAGACATTAGGTAAACCGCGTACGGCAAGTCCTCGCTTAACGAGTGTTCACACAACGCGTTACTTTTCGCACGTGGAACGCGCCCGTTATGACGCAGTTTATGAGCAGTCGACGACGAACTACTTTCTTGAGCTGCGCAGCCAATCAGTATGGTAGTTGTATGCGGAATGATACAGAACGCAGCGTACCTTCATCTCAAGTCTTTGTCCCACCGTGGGATGACTGTGGAATAATTTTATAATGCACGTTATCCGTACAGTGTATAGCCAAAACACGCGTTGGGCAACGTTTTCCTGTAAACGCAATGCGGGTCACATGGCATGTACGTGAGTCATGATGGGAGTCGTGCCTTCCTGCTGTTTGGGAGCAGCATGCCGTGTGTGTTATTTCTAAATGCAATAACTGTCACAAGTTGCTTAGCTTGGCTTAAAAGTAAATGTATTTATTCAACAAAGTAGAAAAGGCGGATAGATTTTTTTCTCTCGATCGTTTGCGAGTAGGACACGTTTTTTTGTATGGACACATTTGCAGGGGGTTTAATGTTCAATGAGATATTAGCACGTATTAAAACAAGTGGAAATGCAATTTATCGAGCAGAATTTCACGCAATTAATTAAGGATTTTGTGGTGAGGTTTCCACATTGCATGCTATATCATTTCAGCTAATTGTATGGTTAATGACTAAAATCCTCTTAGCAATCCTTGGCTTGAGATGCAATCACGTTTAGAACGCTACATACATCAAAATTGTTAAGTAATAAACAAATGTATCTGGATTCAAACGAATACATTGTTTTGTCATTAATTAAGTACATTTAAGATTGCATGTTATTCTGATTGAATGGAAGAATTTTCAAGCGTTGGGATGATTGCACACTTTATTAAACGTTAAGACACACCATATTTAGAATTGAATTGCATTACTGGTGTAGGTAATCAATGCAACCAAATGTTTAAGATCACAGATTAAAACAGTAAAGTGTTGTTAAATTGGTACTGGTCAATGAATTCTGGCACACACACGAGGAATAACACTGGACAGAAAATTATTTAGCAAACTTAAGAGCAATAGCAATACAACTACTGTCCCTGTACAGCTGTGCCTCACACTGACAAACCTTCAAACAACGTCCAAAACATCACCCAACAATAAATGGCATCAAATAGAAAAACATATATATAACACGCATCACAACCTCAATGTGATCAGAGTTCCATGTCTTCTTCTGTCAAGAGAGTTCTGTGTCTGGCGGCCGCATTCAAATCAGTCTCAACGAGCACATTCTCGCAAGAGGGCTCCACTTCTCCCTCGTCCACGCTGGGAAGAAGCTTGGCGGAGGAGGAGGAGGTGGTGGCACGGGAGGACGGTGTCGCTGGCCCAGGGACTGGGGTCGGGGACCGGGAGTCGGACTCGATGGCACGCAGCGTCTCACGAAGCATCTTGTCCGGCGGGCGCCAGACGACCAGCTCCATGCACGGCCGCCTGCTGGTCAAAGATCACCATGCAAGCAAGCAAACTATGAAACTTTCATTGAAGTGTCCACCCTCTAACCGTAACAATGCTCCTTTTTAATTCTCAGGCATTATCAGCACAGCCGAAGTATCAGGGGGTAACTTTAGGAGATTGAGCATCCACCCCCCTCCCTGCTGCTCAAGGTTTAGTGCCCCTTCTATATTAAAGTCAAGTCAATGTTGGTTCTATATTTATCACCAGTGGTGGGGGTTTGTTAAGTTCTGAAGATGTGTGATAGACAAATCCTTACTCATTCTTCGTTTACCTTATCGTTCCATCCCCCACCGCTACCCACCTTTAAAAAAAGTCGCGCTATGGGGATTTGTTATCAGATACCCTGTACTGAGTGGTGGTTTTTCACAGGTGGTCCTCACATGGAATCAATGGTGAGTTGAGTGATGGCATCGGTCATGGTGTTCCGTAGCTGCTCCTTGAGCGTGCAGGACAGGGTGATGATGGGGTTGTCCGACATGTCGTACACGCCTTCCTCAAACACCCCGGTCTTCTCTCCATCTTCCTCCTCCTCCTCCTCCAGCCTGAGGACACAACGCCAAGGGTGACGCCAACTGCAAACCCTCGCTACAGCAAAATCCCTGCCACGTTATTTAAAATAATCATTTGCAATAAATGTATTACAGTGATTAACATCAACATTGACTTCATTTCGGTATTGAAATGAAAACACTTGCGCAAGTCAGTTAAACCATTGTCATTGCTATATGGGGAATATTTGTATACTGCCAAGTTTACCGTATACACAGACAAGGTAGTGTAGTGGTTACCGTGCAGAGCTACGAACACGGCGACCCGAGTTCAATTCCCGCTCACGGCCAACACCATTGACAATTATCTGAACAGGTCCTGGGCCTCCCCTAGGTCGACTCGGCCTCATACGAGTACCTGGTGCAGTGTATCAACATCGCCACTAGGGAGACAAAGGCGGTGCTGGCCACCCACTCCCTCTTGTGCCGTGCCAGCCTTCATAGGTGCCTGCTAACAGCACTTGCCCCAACAGTCTGTTAAGGCTATCTGAGGGATCTTTGTATTTGTATACTCAAAAGTTCGCCAATTGTAGTCACAGTCTTAAAAGGGATTTACCACATCCAACTCAACAAATTACTTTGCAAGGCTATACCAGAACGTGGTCACAAAGGAATAGTAATCAAGAGCAGTTGTGTGGAAAAGGAGTCATTAAACGTTGCGATACTGTTGGCAAAAATCGATCCATTCGCATATTACCACCTCTAATGACTTCCCCCTGTGAATACTTTCCGCAAGACAGCTCGGAGCTGGTGGGCACTAATGAACAGATGTTTGAAGGACAGCCAATGTGGCACAAAACCTGCACTTTATGTGCCATGTTTTTCAGTCTGCAAATCTACAACAATAACCCACGTTAATTTTCAAGCACAATAACCAACTTTTATTGGCCACTTTCCATGTTTTTAAAATCTTTATTCGTGCTGCAGCATGCAGGTGGCACGTGCCATACTTAAAGCGGATCCTTGCATTAACTCTCAACGATGTAAAGTATGTGCGCTCGCAACATGCAATGAAAGCACAGTGGTGCTATGCAAACGATGGCGACCGGCGAATTGCACGCACACAGACTTCTCAAAGAAACCGCTCCAAATAATTGGATGCACACTAAACCCGGTGCTTGTATCAGTTCAAATTCTTGTACTGGCAGCTGGTCTTGTACTGCAGCTTGATGAGAGGCTATATGGCATGTTGTGGGAGATTATTAATAGTGACAAGCATCGGTCTTCAAGCAGGTGCAATGACGCACGCCGTGGATGAAATTACAGTCGGCTAGGAGACCAGTGATGTGTGGTCATGGCTTACTGCCAACAGACAAGGATGGCGAAGGACTACCTGCAAGACATCTGCCATGAAATTGACACGCTTGACACAGCATAATATTAAATATGAATCTTACATGTATTAAACATTTGATTAGTATTTGATTAGCATAAATGCAAAAATGCAAATTTTGTCTGAACTGGTTGCTGTACGAAAGTGATGAAAAACAGTACATGTACGAATACACCTATTCAAGATATGCCCATTGCTTTAATTGCGCAAACATCCCACGTAAACAGTGGAAGATGAATCAGGAAATTCAGCAATTCCAACATTGACCATTAAGTGATTTATTTACGTGTCTTTTGCTTAAAATGAGTGATACCTTGAAATTAAAAAGTGGCTGTATCTTCAGGTTATACCCAGGATAACTTTCTTTTTTTTTATTACACCTGTGAAATAAAACATTTGATTGTAATTAAATAGCCCTTTATTCGTCTATCAGTTGTAAAAAAAATGCACATAAATACTACTAAATATGTGAAAACAAAGCCACATTTCAATACACCTGTTGTTCTTGCACAAGGACAAATGCCCAATTACATTCCTATCACACTTGTGGAAAGGTGGTGGCGGTATTGCCATGGCGATGAAGAAAATGTTGATTCGCTGACAAACGGGGCACCCACCTGCCCTCGAGCTCGCAGAAGCGGCGGTACGCCTCCTCCCACTGGCGGTACTTGCTGTCGCGTTCCTGCGTGTCGCGCCGCGCTGGAAACCCATTCGAGCCGTATACGTGGTCATTGTTGAGGCTCAGGCTGCTCAGCTTGGCTGCCATCATTTCTTCCGTGAGCGCTTGCTTGCACCGAGTCGCCCTGCAGTGGCACAGACAACCGACGTCATCAGTTTTTGCATGTCCAACGAGGAGCCCCTAAAAATGATTAACTGACAGTCACACCAGTTAATCGGCAAGGTCAGAGCCGTGTTACCAGAATGGGCGCCAGTTACTATAAAACTAAAATATGTTTGTTTTACCGGGTAAAACCCACTGGGCTGTATAGCTCTTTTTCAGAAGTGACCTGGGCACAAATGATAGCTCAAGCAAGTGGCTCATCATGTGGCAATTTATCGTTTTTTTTTTATATGGAAGGAAAAAACGGAGGAGCCGGAGAAAAACCCATGCAACCACGGGGAGAACATGCAAACTCCAAATATGCAGGCGTCAGGATCAGGATCGAACTCGCGACCTCCTGCCTACCAGGCAAGGGAGTTGACATTTTGCCACCGCGATGCCCCGTTCGGAATATATTCTTACGACATAGCATAAACTCCCCAAAAAGTTAACTAAATCTAGACAACCTCCTGACATAATTCAATTGTATTACACTTGAAATACTATTTATTTTATGAATGAGAAATCTTTTGCCCAAGTGAAACAAAGATATGTCTAAAGAGTCAGAATAATCCAGTGGCAGATCAAAGGGTAGAGCTGAAACAAAGGGAGTGGATCATCCACCCTTGTTACCCCAAAAAATCGATTTGATTGATATATTTTTTTAATGAACGTCGGGTCCAGCTAAAATTCGAGGAATGCACCCCCCAACCTTGCCCCACCCAAGTAAGTTTCTACATGCAGCTCTGGATAAATGCTAGGTATGTTTTGTTTAATTGCAGGGTATATCTATACGCACTCTTCTTCCACAGCCTTCCTCCTCTTGAGCCGCAGAACTCCACCACTCTTGAGCCCAGACCTAAAGTCACCACGTACAGTGTACATGCAGCAAACACACCGATTCAAACCATTCTCTTAGATCACAACGTTACGTGGTTACTTGGTATAAAAATAACTTACTTAATGCTATATATAACGACGTACAATGAAATTAATGTTTAACCAAGGCGCAATGATCCCGACACACCGCCAATTCCTTGTTTAAGATTCAGGAAAGGTTTGTACATGCAAAGATCCACTGTGTCATGTAAAATCCATTACAGATGTATCAAACTATTCAATGACTTGACAAGATATTTGTTAAAAACAAACAGCAATAAACTACTGCTTACCCACAACCTAGCAGGCCTAATGGCAATTCTCGTTTTGGGACTCATGGATGGGAAGACAGCTGTTCAAGCAAACAATCTCACCCGACAACAACACAAGCCCCGAATAATATGCCATGGGCAAATACAAGCAGAAAAACAAGTACTAAAAATTAAGTATTCGCATGAATTAGGTAATGCTCTCCAATTGTTGTTTTCTTGGCAGCATGTTAGCTGTATGAAAACTGAAAGGGAGCCACCTGGGGAAAGGGCATTTGCATTGTTTTTTTGTGTCTGCAAATGTTGAGCAACCCATAGGTCAATTAGGCCAGTTTTTACCAGGCAATTCTTTAATAGCAACAACTTAAAACGGAATCTTCTTCATTTTGGATTATCACAATTAAATTATCGTGACCCATCATTACAGATGGGTAGAGCCAATTAATTTATACTTTCACCCTTAGTTGAAAAATGCATTTTAATTCCTCGCTGGCTTTCCCCACACGGTGTACTTACAACCCGTTTATTCCTCCCTTTTCTCTCTCTCGTCTTTCTTCCCACCCTTCATTTTCTCTTCCTTTCTTGCCTCTTGCTTTCTAATTTCCTTTTTTTATATATATACAAGATGACAGCTCGGTGGGGTGGGGCACTTACGATTTTACATTTATCCCCAATGACCTTGCTATCATGTAATCCTGGTTGTGTTCTTGTTGCTGCTGAAAGTACAAACACAATTAAAACATAAACCCTCACTGGCAGTGTGTCTCTCGCGGATGGCTTGCGGTGAAGGAGACGGGTGCAGCAGTCTGGGTGACCCAGGGCATGGCATCAGGAATGGGCCACTGCCACTGTAGGGAGACGTGCTCCGCTGACCCTTCCCAGCCGGCGGGGAGGCTAGCCTGCGGCTCTGCACACATTGACCCACGGGGTTGAAGTTCATGGAAATCAATAGGACGATGTGCTGCAATACATTGTAGGTACGTAACATACTACAGCACCCCACCAACCCCCGCCCCCTTAGAATGTGCGCTCTACTTACTGCTCCGTAGGTGGAGTGGAACATTGGGACAGCATGCCAAACAATACGTGGTACAGCACGAAAAACACATCAGAGAGCTCCAGTTTAACACGTAGGCTTTCGCACGTTTACTCTCCAACACACCGGTGTGCTGAACTAGCAACGAATTGGCATGTTTTGTACGTGACAAACCTTACTAATTGGCTGTCGGTCGAGTGGTGGCAGGTTTGATGACATTCATATTTACATGATGTAACCCAAAATCCTCTTTTATGGAGAGCTCCACTCAACTACCTGTTCACGGTATTTGCATAAAAAAAATGCTCCACAAGGGCAATTGCATCAGGATATTTAATTAACTTGCACAATAAGCAAACTACAAAATTTACAATCAATAGGTGTTATACATATATATTACAACCATGCTCAATGTGTGGCGATTACTATATAGGCTGACAAGAAGTAACGACGAGCATGTCAAAACCAATCACCTGCAACCTCGTACTGACCGGGTCCATCAGAACTCTGGGCTTGCTGGGGTCGGACATGTTCCGGGACGCCAAATGCACTGCGACGCGTCTTTGTTGGAGACTGGGTGCTCGGTAAGAACTGTGTTGGGAGAAACTCCATGGCGGATGTTGGGGGGGCAAGAAGAGGCTGTCGTGGCATCACGAGCAGCCCGTCTGTGGGAGGCTCCGCGAGGGCTCTTGGTGATACCTGCCAGCAGAGGGACACAGAGGCACGCACGTCACACACGGAACGCCACCACAATGTGGCACCGGGAAAATGTCATCGCCATTCCGCGGTGCTTCACAACTGTTACTGCGGGAAAACTTTGGCCATTTTCTCGCCGCGCGACGCAGAAACCGTTGTTGAATGATGTACTGTGCGTGTCAGCGTAAACTCTTGGCGAAACCTGTTTATAGGGTTTAACAATACTTTAAACTTAAAAAGCGCCCTTAAACAATAATTCTCGAGGCGCTAACAAACTTTCTCAGGTCTGTGATTTAACCGGGTTCTAAGTTATAGTTAGTTGATGGTCTCAGGCTGGTCGCCGATAACTGTAGCACTTACGCGCACACATGAATGTAAGAATGTTTTCAAGTGCTGCGTGAGAGCGCTCACAGCCACTTAAGCAGCTGGACTTGGCATCACACGCCTGTGATCCGGTGCTTTGGAAGCAAGGATTGGTGTTTCGCAGGGAGAATTGTGTAACTCCCAAACCTGCTGGGTTGTGAAGAGGTGACCAGGAGTAAATCGAGTGAGTTCAAGATCCTATATGTCTAGCGGCGTTTGTATTCGTGTCGTAAAACAGGTGGGTTTTTTCCAGATACTTCAAAAGCTACCTCCCACAAAGAAAACATAATTTGTAGAGAAAAATACAAAAACATTCTAAGCAAAAGACTTTTCAAAAGGAGTCTTCAGACTTTGATACTTTCCTGGATTAAAGGAATGTATTTATTTTTTTTAAATTATTTTCTGTGCAGTTATTGGTGATACGACTGTGACCATCAACTTGTTACAATCGGGAACCCTGATTTACTGAGTCCGCTGCCTGGATTCTTGGAAGCCTCCTCAGATGACCCCCCTTGTAAGTAATTTGACCAAGCCAACGCGTGTTATTTTAACATTTAATTGATTTAAAATTAACGTGAATTTTTTTTATTAAACATGGTTTTTATGCTCCCATTTATTTTCGTTGGCTGCTTTTGCCATTTTGGTTAAAAGCGGCCACCCTTGCAAATGAGGGTATCCTGATCTCTGGAGTTCTCACCTGGTTAAACGAAATGGCATACGCCTGTTGGGTGAAGTGTTGTTATTAAGGCCCCCACCAAGCTCAGACACCTTTAATAATACTTATATAGTGCTTTTCCTCAAGGATCTCGAAGCACTGTACATGACACAGCAGCAGCAGACATTCAGCGTAGAAATTCATTACAAATACACTTAAATAGATTAACTAAAAGTTTGATCAGCGGAAGCATATAAATAGGTTAAGACATTTAAAATAGGTCTAGACTCAGAGATCCTTGATATCTCGTGGAAGAGCGTTCCATAACCTGGGGGCTACACGGGTGGTACCAGCTCCATCGAATGCAGAGAAGATCTGCTTTCCCGGTGCTGATGTTGTACATACCACAACAGTCACTCATTTTGGCATAGAGTCAAGTCGGATTCATGGCGCAGTTTCCAGAAGCACTGCTCCAGTCACCGATGATCAAATGTGGCCTTCATGAACGACACATGCATGTATTTGTAAACAGTAGCGGATATCGTGAAGCCGTTTGGGGGAAAGGTGGAACTGCAACTCGGAATAACGAAATATTGTCGAGGCCAACCGCATGACATTAATTCGATTATTGGAAGACGAATGACTTTCAAATATCTATGCGCCTGGCCTTTGTCGACTATAAAAAGTAGTCTCGAAGTTGATTCAGTCATCGAAGCTCACAAACCAATGCCTAAATATCAAAAAACAAGTTATTTGAAAGAAAACCATTTGCAAAAATGAAACAGTTACAACCGAGATGACATGGCAAAGGTAAGAAGATACGTGAACATGGTTAGTGAAACATAGTAAGATTCGCCAAATTTAGAAACGGCGTCATTAAACATTTTCCAAAAGGTGGACTGGAGAAACAAGATGAGTGAAGAAAACGTGAAGAATCTTCAACGGAGACATTCTTATTACTCCCTTGGGAATGAAATGCAGAAATTGTATTTAAAAAAAACGTGATTAAGTACGGTACACGTACGTACTTGTACAAGTTCGCTCAACAACGGCGGATCAATATTCGGGCTACAGAAGGGTTTGGAGTGCCTTAGTATAACCTTAACCTGCTAATGACATGTAAAACTATGTCTAAAAGAGGAGCAATGTTTGGTCAATGACTGCTGCCAAAGAGGCGTGAACGCTCAGGAAAAAGTTAGCAAAAGTTCACCCGACTGGAGGGGCATTGGAGAGTGACAAATAAACCTAACAATGTCTAAAAGAGGAGCAATGTTTGGTCAATGACTGCTGCCAAAGGAGAGGCATTGGAGAGAGATGATTGGAGAGCGACGATTCACGCTCGCGGCGGAAAGGGAAACGCGTGGCCTGGAGAACACACACACGCAGTAAGTCAAACACAGGATCTATAGTGGCGATTGGGATAGGCCAACTTGCTGGTGAGGACGATTGCCCCGTGGTCGAGACTAACAACGGAGGAGCAGGCAAAGGAGAGAGGGGTGAGGAGGAGGAGAGATAATCACGAAGAGGAGCGTCCATCGCGAAAGATGAAGCCATGGAATTGGCTCGGCGTGCACGTGCTGAGCTCGGAGGATCACGACGCATTAGGGAACCGCAAAATAGCTTCGGGGAGGGAGGTCCTCGTTCAGCAGTGGATCGATCATGGCTAACGACAGCGATTATAACCATTAAGGTGCCGTTGTGCTGTTTACAGAAAAAAAAAATTTAAACCACACAACACAACACAGTTTACAATGCGTAAACCTCGCGTCTACGTCGCAGTATTTCTAACAGATTTTTTTTTAAAATAAAAACTACCACAACCGACGGCTGCAACAACAACAACAACGCAGCAGCTGCCACTGCTGCTGCCGCCACTGCAATGGCCTCTCTCTGTCTGCAGCTACCGCCGCTTCGGCAAACCACGCGCACCTCCGTCTCCATCACCACGGCCTGCAGGCCTCACGCGGCAGCGGCCGGGCGGGCATCCGAGTCAATCGGCGAGCTCGACGGCTCCGTCCGCGCCTTCCCCGCAGTTGCGTGCGGGCCAGAGGAGGGAGCCGGGAGGAGAGCGTAGGCCCACCACCGGAGGCCATTCACTGCCGCCGAACAATAAAACAGCCTCCGTGCGTGGTGACGTCGCTCTGACGTCACCGCGCAGGGACGCGTTGACGTCATCGCGTTGTTGTGGGATGACGTCGAAGCGTAGAACGACCCCCTGAACCCTCCCGAAACATCCCCCCCACCCTCACAATCCCTCCCCCCTCCCCCGCTCTCCCTAAACCCCGCCCTTTTCCGGATCCCCCCCGCCCTCCTGACCCCCCCCCCCCTCGAACCCCCCCCCCCACCGAAATCCCCCGCCCGTAGTTCGGGGGTGACGTCATCGCGCCGCGGTCAGTGGCGCGCGACGCGCTTTTGGGCGTTGACGTCGTCGAGTGCGTTGCGTCGTGACGTCATCGCGCTACTGAAAAATTAGTTAATAGCGAAGTGGGGATTTATCCTGTAAGATACAATACATTTTCTTGGTTCTTTCGGTGAAGTCACGTAGAAGAGAAATAATGATATAAGATATTTGTTTTTTTTTTTAAGTGGCGGTGCTAACGTTAAGAAACAACCGCCACTTTTTTCGAATTTTCTTGCTGTGGTTTTCACACCTGATGATGATTGCTTGTGTTGCAATCGAAACGTCGTAAGAATTTTATTGTTTTATTTTTATTATTTTAGTATTTCCCTTCTACGCGACTTTACCGAAAGATCCAAGAATATGAATCCCTGCAATCACGACAGCTTCAAATCGAAATACAATACATAGTTTTAGTTGTTTCTATATGTTTTAAGTGATTTGCTTACATTTCCTATACTTTGCACACTTATGGTGTTTTTGTCTCGTTTGTTCTTGCAACTTTCTGGCCCGCCCCGACTGTACATCTGGGGCTTCATGGTTAATCGGATTCCTCCAGTATAAATAAACATTCTGATTCTGAACGATAGACAACGCAGCAAATCATCCCCCTCCCAAGCTCTGCGGTCCTCTATATATATGAAGGTGTTAGCAGTCAATGAATGAGTGTTTACATGTGGGAGGAAACCGGAGCGCCTGGAGAAAACCCACGTGTGCGAGGGGGAAACGCTCTATCCCATACAGATGGAACAGGTGGGGGGGTCCACATTTGCTGTATCACCTGTCCCCTGGCAAGCCAGGGAATGGCACCTCCCTCAACCCTTCCGAGAAGGGAGTTACACGACATCTCTATGTGATCCATCAACCCTCGCTGCCTTCCACAGTGCAGAATTACAGGCGTGGGCTGCAACAGGATAAAAAAATAAATCCGCGGCAAGATGAATGATAAATTATGTTCATACAGAAGGAAGCCAATCAGCGTCAAGGGGCAGCCGATTATGGGCTTTTTCGATCCACAAATCGTCTCTTGAGATCCAGAAATAATTGGAAAATTTATATTCAAAATATCACATCTTGATCCACGCTCCAACGATTCTCGTTTCATCGAGTCGTTAGAAATACGTCGATTCCCGTTCCAGTATTCTTCATGTGATCAAACCCACGCCCAATTAACTCCATGTATGGGCTCAAAATGTGAACATAATTTATCATTCAATCCGTCGCAGATTCATGTTTATCTTGTTACCGTCCCGGCATGATGCAAGGCTCAATCATTCCAGAACCATGGAGGTAAATTCCCTCGAGATGTGATCACAATTTTCAGGTTAATACGAAAAATCCTACGTAGTAGATTTCGGACGATCTAAAATAATATGACATTATTTTAAGAGTTGTTCTAAAAAGTCCCACATATTTCTTCCTCCCAAAATAGTGTCAAGTGGGGAATCGATTGGCGTCACTTTTGTGAGCTTTAATACATGAACATTTCACGGCGTAAGTAAACCGAACAGTTCCAAAAGTTTGATTAAAACTTGGAAAATTTGAAATACGAAAATGTTTCATCCTAAATCATATATCATTTCGTCTGAGCCATTGAGCCGAGGCAGCATGGGGTACTCTCAGTTTGGGTGTTTTCCACTGGCTATTTTCCAAGTCGAGCCAGATCCAAACCGTGCTATCCTGGTCTCTCAAGATACCAGGCTCTGGTACATCCACTTTTCTGTGACATAAGTAGCAAAATGCATGAAAACTGCGACCATTCCCACTTTCATAAATAAAATACATTTTCGCTAAAGTCCCAATTTCCTCCCTGCACGTCAAATCATACGCGCACAAGGGATGCACATGCGAGAGGATGTTTTATTTGTGCTGTGCTAGTGATGAACATACCTTTCTTTTAACGCATGCGACAACCATGATACAAGTCATAAAAAAACACGTGAACGATATGACTAAGTAATGCATAATAATATGCATGACTTACATTTTCGAGTACATTAACTGTGCAGTAAATATAATAATTGAATATTTTCACTAACTTAAAAAAACAACTGGACAGTTTTTTTAATGTTTTTCTAATTTGAGGGTATATGCTTAAATAATACGAAAGCACTACTATATGATGTTAAAGAGATTATTATTTTACCAAGATGTGAAATAAAAAGTACAAGTTGACGGAGGATGATAATGAAATTACAAAAACGTGCATGACTATGCAATGCTTCACAGAATACTACACACGTTGAAAACTTTCAAAGAAAGTAGGTAAAGTTTGTGTTTTTAAAACATCAAGTTGTATAAAATGTGTACGAAGCATGTAAATATATCATTGTATAAATAATTCAAGATGCGCCAATATTGTATATTTTAACTCCGTGCACGCTGAGTGTAATCGCTGCTAGGATGACTTAATTTTCCTAAAAGCCGTGTTAGACAATATCAGTGTTAAACTACCGCGAAACAATACCGTACAATCTACAACAACGTAAGTATTATTTAAATCCAGTTTTCATACGTTTTATATCCCCCAAAAATGTATTCCCCTTAACATTGGCTGCCACACGATGGTTGTCGGGATGTGATGAGTTTACACAAATCTTCGTAAGTGCCTTTTACTCTGACCACACCACACAGCATCGTCATAAATATCCACGCCGCACAAAGATAAATGGAACATCTCTTTAGTTGCCGAAGACATTGTTAACCACTTTAAATCATATCAGTCCGTTTCAGACAGATACAATTGTGACCACCAAACATCGCAAGTTACTTTTCTCCTCTTGAACTTGATCAGCTCGAACCAGACGTGCGCAGGGTAACTTGTGAGTCAATGCCACCAGCTTCCTGAAAACGGCACGAGAGTTCCATTCGTGCCTACACTCCGTTGCTTTGTGGATTGAGAAACTGTAGACGATCCGAGCCACGGGACGCACACAGCATGAAGCTGGATCCCATGAGAAGCAGCGCTGCCGCACCAAAACCCAGGTACAGCGAGAGGCCGATTTCACGACGCATGTCCGGAGAAATCAGTGGGTTGTTGTGGTCACTGATGATGTGATGGGCCATACACGAGACGGCCACCAGCTCCAGGAGGCCCACCACAGCGAAGCAGACGGCTGCAGACGTGGCAAGGCGCGTCTTGGTGGCACTCTCGTCCAGCCAGGTGGTGCACTTGGCTCCGGCGAGCGCCACGAAGAAGGCGACCACCCCCAGAATAGTGGCGCACACGACCAGCGCCCTGGTGATCTGCATGCTGGTGCCCAGGCTCATCATGGAGCCGTGGGTCCTGCACTGCATGTCGCCGGTGCCCTGCAGCACGCAGTGCACCCACAGGCCCTCGAAGACACCCTGCGCCAGGAAGGCGCTGCTGGAAGACATTCCGGACACCTTCCACATGGGCAGCATGCAGGACACGAGCATACACAGCCAGCCCAGCAGGGCCAGGGCCATGGCAAGCAGTTGCAGGCGAGTGTTCGCCATCACCTCGAAGCACGACTGCTTTCTGCAATGGGACTAGATCACCACCACTCGTGTCCTCAAGAGCTGTGATCAGACAGGATGCAGCTCACTGAAAAACACCGCTTATGTATCCAGGGCGTACCAAGAGTACATTTCAGACACCACCCTATGGAACTAGACCCCACAGTGGCCGCTCAGCATGTGTGCATGCAGCTTGGAGTGTGACAAAGGAAAAGTCTCATGCAACAAGGGGATTATGTTGTAAAGTGTTTTTCTTAGCCCTGAAACAAAACACATTCCTTATCAATATACCACTGTGCATTCAATTGTGCAAAATAGGAAGCCGCTGCTTTCTTCTTATGCCCTAAGTGACAGGAAGCACATGGTGTTTATTCTCGACTCGTTTCCTGTAAATCAGGAAAGCATGCTGGGCAGCCCTGTACAGAAAGTCGTGTCCGTGGGAATACGTTTTGAATGTGGCCTTCAAAGTAAGGGTGCACAAAAGCATCATAAAGGAAAAGGGCACATTAGTCAGTGATTAATCTTGTTTAAATTTCCTGTGAACCCAACATCTTTAAGCATGTAAATAATCCAGCACAAATGTCCCAAGCTCCTGGAGTTTAATGAGGCAAATAGCCTCAGCGGTTAAGTTTAGATTTTGAACAAACATGCGTTTAAAAGTAATTTGTAATTTGAGTGTGACAATATGCTTCACCTATCGTACTGCAGTAATTCACAACCAACACAAGCCAATTATCTTGTAAGTTACTGGCAATCATCCATCATTGTGTAAAAATAAAATGGCACTCCACTGGTAAGCTATTGTTAACACAGATTTATAGTATGAAAACACATCTATCACAACAGCCAATATGGGATGTTTAGCCTTGCAGCATGCTGGCAGAAACAATAAGCCCTACAGTGTTGATCTATCTAACCCTATCAGAAAACGGAATGTAGCTAGAACACCAGAATAAACGTAAACTTATGAACGTTTGATACAGTGGTTTGTAAAAAATAAAACCCACAAATAAGCAGTTTATTTTAAATTGTTTTTTATTTTTCATGAATCGTCGTGTCCTAGTTGACATTTGACATTAAGCAGAGCACAACAGCCGCCAACAGCCGCATGGCTGCAGGTGAGATCCATGAGCAGCCAAGAGGCCCCCCCTCTGAGCAGGACTCCTAGTCAAAGAGACCGAAGCCCATGTCGTCATCTTCCTCCTCCTCTTCAGACTCATGCTTCTTCTCCTCCTTGGCAGCAGCAGCTGGCGCAGCCGCGGCTGCCACAGGTGCGGCTGCCACGAAGGCGGATGGGTCAGCCAGGAACGCCTTAACCTGCACACAAAACACACACACACACAAGGCACGTGAATGTCATGCAGCTAAAGAAGGGCCCGTGCTTAATCGGTCCATCTGTTGATTAAACATGGCTTTACGCCATCTTGAAATTTAGAATATCCTCAGCCATGACCTATCCACTGCTAGACGGAAGCCTCCACCGCACCAACGCTATCCCCCACAGGGCTGCACATAGATGGATCTTTTCGCTCCATCTCTAAAGCGGCCATTCCCTCACTCTAGGTGTGTTCTCTTCTTTGGCTGCCTTTCCATCACTGGTCTCATCGATTGGCAATCATCCCTTCTCGCTACGGTGTTCTGCCCAAGCCCGCTCATCTTTCCTTAAGTCAGTGATGCATTTGATTTGTGTTTGTTCCCTCGGTGCGATTCTCAAAATGCAACTCTTGTTTCTTTGCACACATTTTATTCATCAGTGTCCATGCTTCTGATCCATGCATGGGACGTAACTAATTGCATGTATGCAGCTCACATTTCAGGAAAGGATGCATCTAAGCTACAACTGGGCTTGCATACCTTGTCGGCAAGTGGGAAAGAGTATTCGGTCTCCACGGCAATGGCGAGCACACGCTTGTAGCCGTTAACGATGGAATGTGGGATTGAGGCAACGGTCGGGTAGCCAATCTGAAGGCACACGCTGGCGACGTTGCGCACACCCTGCACGCGACAGAAAAAAACAGGTAAAATACAAAGTGGATGAAAAATGACAAATACAAAGTGGAATATAAACCATGTGAAAACAAAGTGGCTTTTGGCTGGCCATCGAACAAAGACGGTCACTGCATCACGTGCTTCCAGATACACTTCTGCGGCCGTCTGGAACGCTCATCCTTCCGTTATTAGAAAGCCACTGGAACTGTGCACATTTAAATTTAGATTGAAAACTAATTTCTTTAGAACTGCTTCGTGTTTAGTTTGTCCTTCCCCCACACCTCCGATTAGCACAGATAAATAAGTACAGTACGAAAGAAGTTCAACATACATATTATACCTTTGCTGCAATTTCTATTCAAGGCTGTTTCCTTGAACACAAATGCTTGGAGCAGTTTAATGTTATTGGCCGTCACGTGACATACAATATATAAAGTCAGTTCAAAATACATTTTAAAATAATTCACTGCTGGAAGAAGGCCTCGCCATGCTGTTTCAATTATGGGGTTTGTTTGACCATACTTCACCACAGTGCGGGTTGGTGAAGGCTGATCACCTTTTTTGCACGCAATTATCAATAACGCTATGAAACCCAGTGGTGGATATAGCACAGTTGATGGGAAGGTTGCCAGGTGGTGAGGTAAAGTGTGGGTACTCTCACCACAAGTCTTTCTAGAACTCCGTCTAGTGGAGGCCCTTCCGCCAGCAGTGGCATGCATACGAAATTTTTAGGGTTGTGCCTTTAACTTTTACCATTCTAAACAAAAATGCATCGATTTCACTGTCCGAAAAGGAAAAAACATAATGGGCAACATTTTGGGCAATGGCTCTTTTTCAAAGCAGATGTATTTTTTTCCATTGAGAGAGCAGTGTTTTTGACCAACGTATCTAGTATTTTTTTTATTCTACTTTTGTACCACTACTAAAGCGGAATAACAATAAAAAGTTAAATTGTACGTTTTATAGCTGCCTTCAAACTAAACTGACTTCAATTCTCGGTCGCGTCACAAACGCGTGTGCAGCGGGCGTAGTGCACGCACCTCGAGGAAGCGCTTGCGCAGGTCCTCCTCGGTGATGTCCAGCACATCGGGGCTGTAAATGCTGCCATTGTCGTACACCTGCAGGATGTGGAGGCCGAAGGTGAAGGGCGAGATGTTGAGCATGTTGAGAAGCGTCGCCTCGCTGGCCCCCACCTTGTCACCCGCCTTGATCAGCTGCACGTCGCTCTGCAGGGGACAGGAAATAAAAAAGCAAACAATAAAACAGTGTAACGCTGAGTTCAAGGGGTTGACCAGGAGACAAGTGGAAGAATTGTTTTTTTTATGAATCAAAAACGAGAAATAAAGTATACAACAAAATCCTAAACACATCAAAACCACAACCAAATTAATAATTTGCAAATCTAACTCAATTATGATAGTTGAGTTCCTGATTATTTTTTTAAAGCTAAATTAAAGTTAATAAGGCATTATTTACACAGCAGATGACTTAAATTTTTTTTATTAAACTCAACTATTAAGTTTCACAAATCTATATCCAAAATACAATGGGGGAGAGGGGGGGGTCCATCGCTGCCGGCTCACCTGACAGGTACTCACTACCCTGTGGGTTCTGTGGGCCGGATGGCACTTCAATCGCTACTCCTTCCTCATTCAAGGCCCTATTCCTATAACTGGGACCGAGCCGAGTGTGGAACCAAGTGAAGGGCTCGGCGGAAGAACCAGCGCCCTAGTACTACTACCCTCTCCATCCACCACTCAGCCCTGCGCCTCCCTACTGCCTGTTTGACTCTGCCACCATAACTGTTATATGAAAGTGGTATTTGTAACTTTTAACACGCAACATCTAAAGCATTTTCCCCTTGTTAAAAGCACAACACATTTGCACTGAATCCATGTTAAACAAAATCTGAAACTAATATATACTTAATTTTCGATTTAAAGCTTTCGTGACTGCAGAAATTCATCTTCTTGGTTCTTTCGGTAAAGCGTCATTCAGACGCTGTCTTTCGGACAGACCTGTTCTTCAACCGAGGACGGCTGTTTGCGTTGTGGCCGAAACGTCTATTATTTCCCTTCTAAGTGACTTTACCGAAAGAACCAAGAAGATAATATATACTTTTAAAATGTATTCCGTTATGCCTTCATCTTGTGGAAAAGTCTTTACCAGAATTTCAATGGTGCCTCTTGAGATCTTGGTGGTGATGCCAAGAGCCTGGAAGAAGGAGGTCTTCTCAGGACCGAGGCCAGTGTTCTGTGCCGGCACCATCACGTCGCATGGAGCCAGACCTCCGGCACGTGCCGAGGCCGGGACCTGACGAGGTAACAAAACACAGGACCACTTACAATTCCTGTACTCTCATTTTTAAGTAGCGTTAGGAAATATACAGAATTAAACTACAATTTTCAAGCAAACAAAAAAAATACATCTTAGCAATCTACTTATGCTAAAGGAAACTTAAATGACGGTGCAATGATATCAGACCATAACACCTCTGCAAAGGGACATTATTTCCATATATTGCATGCTGCATATACACAGTACTTTGTCAATCAACTGCTGGATGCATGTTGAACTCCTTTTGTACCGTACGTAACCAACCGTGCGAAACGGAGGCGAGGGCCTCAGAATGCTGTGCGAGTCAGGGAGTTATAGGAGCATACTTCACTGCGTTTTTTATCGTGGGATGAAGGTGGGACACTGATATGGGAATATAGAAAGTCGAGTACAACAGTGGAATTTTGTTTGTCCCCTGTTGGCCACTACGGAGGCCTGCAGTCACCTATGACAACCTGGCGCATCTTTTGATCATCCATTTCAACCCTATCCAAGTTCAACCACTGTTAACTAACAAAATCAGGAACATTCCAGGTTTTTCCATCACACTCATAGAATGTACACTAAACAAACTACTATTCATTTAAGTGAACTTGGACAAGCTGTAAAACATTGATAACGTGCTTGACGAGACAAAGGTTGTGCTTTGCTGCGAGATCTTGGTTGACAAGTCAGGACCACACACCAGAAGCAAAGCTAGATCACACACAAACCTTGTTGGCAAGAAGCATGTCACGGATCTCAGCCAGGTCCTCCTTGGTGAAGACAAACCCAACATTCCCGCGAATGTATGGCAACACTCTGCAAAACAAGTGACAACACAATCGTTCAATAAAGTACGTTATAATTCTCAAAAAATGAAAGGTGGTAAGTAAAGTTCTCATGTCACTCTTTCATAATTAAAAAACTTTATTTTGGAAGATTCATTTCTTAAAATAAATCTATACAAGAAAATGAAATTGTTAAGGTGACTGCAGTTTGATTGCTCGTCAGAGCTAACATCAGTGACAAGTGATATCAGAACCAGTCTTGGCTCTCGGTTAACCGAAATTGCACTGGAGAGCATGGAAGTATGGTCAAACAGCCACCATGACTGAAACGATTTAGATATTTTATGCAACACTGGATAGACAAAAGGACTGTCACGATTTTACATTTAACAATAAAAAGGGCAGAAAAAAATACATGCTAACCTTAGCCTTAGCAAAGTGCTTCTGGTAATTCAACTTTATAAAATGTAGACAGCTTTCCTTAGAGCCTAGTCTCACATGGGTTGGACCAGATGACGCCTTTCGGCGTGGGTTGGACCAGATGACGCCTTTTGGAAACATGACTCCTTGTAAAAAAGGTGTCAGTTTTGTTGCCAGATAGAAGGGTAAAAAAAATGTATCATATTTTTTACTGGCAAATGAGGTTCTAATGGTGTAAAAACTTACTCTGTGTACTACAATAACTGCAAACTCAGATGCTCTACAATTTGAGGCGATAACAAACAAAATCTTCCCACCTCTCAAGTGCTGGGTTTTTCTCAAGGTGACCACGGATGGCTTTGCGCATCATGGTGTTCTTGCCCATGAGCACCACAGCTTTTCCGCGCAATGACATGCGGATCTGCTGCATCTGCTTGGAGCCGACATTGTCTGCACCAACGATGAAGCATTTTGGAAAATCTTCCAGAAGTTGCTAAAAGCACAAAAAACAGGGTACACACTCAGTCAACTGTAAATCAACAAAGTGTCAACTTATTGTATGAAGTTGTCATGAATTATACTGTGTACCTTCTCAACTGTGCTGTACAGCGCTCCGATGTGTTTTTGGACTGTACCGGGTGTTGTTCAGCATGATGTCCAACGTTTAGTTCCACGCAATGGGTACAACAACATTGGACATGATGCCAAACACGTGGTATAACTCGAAAACACATCGCAGAGGTATCATGTGGGTTGTGGTGGTACGTCTATAAATAATGTGGACACTCACGATGATCTTCAGGAAGTAATTTGACTTCCAAGTTGACTTGTCTTCCCTGGGCATCTTGTTGTGCTACCAAGGAGTTCCAGAAACTGGTTTAAAGACGATGTCACTGTTGAATGGAAAAGTTAAGGTGAATTAGACATGAAATTAATCCATTTGTTACAAATATTAACGCAACATTGTAGGCAATTTTCACACTCATAAAGACAATATATTTAGATTACGTATTGTAGTTACAGTTTGTATCGATGTCAGCATTCAACAGTGTAACAGTGATGTAAATATTTGTGCTCTCCTATTTTCCAAGGATGCTAATAGCAGGTTCTCCTAGACTTAGAAGTTTATTTACGAACACTACGTTTCAGTTTTTTTACGAATCTTCAAGATATCAACGCATCAGTGTGGGCACTCGTACTTATTACATAAAACGATTCTTTCTTGGCTTAAAGCTTTCGTGACTGCAGGAATTCATATTCTTTGGGTCTTTCGGTAAAGTCACGTAGATACACTAACATACGTTAGGGTACTTTATGTAAGTGGCCATGACATAGATAATTTCAAACACTTTAAGGCGTTCCATTTATTGGAGTGACACCCGTCACATTTCACTAGCACGCGTTGACCAGCGAGGGCCGAAATGGACCGTACACACGACTGCGATAGATCCCAAGTCAAAGGGGGGGGGGCTCATTTCTTTACATCCCTAAACCAGTGGTGAAATTCCACATTCATATGGTGGGGGCAAGAATTCATGTCAGACCATTGCTAACTTTCACAGTGCTACTCATTCAACCGGTAGAGGAGCAAGTCCCGACTTCGTCAGCATCTGCCAATTATCAATCCACTGCTGGATAACAGCCAATCAGCCACTTCTCACGATACAATCATCCACCTATCATATGCATTGATTTCATCGCTCCATCACCTGCAATGGAGGTCCACTTTGCGATGTTACATGGAGCATTACGTAACACCACGTTCTGGGCAATTCGAGACCATTGTGCTTGCAACTTTGAACACAATCAAAAGGGACCAATACACAACCTATAATTCGGCCACCCTATTAACCTAAGTGCTAAACCATTACTTATTAAACGACAGCAGGCCCATCCAACGCCGCTGTGTCCCCCTCCACTCCCATCCATCCACGTTGGACCAAAGGGTTTGCCTGAGCGTAGGCCTCAAATCCAACGTGGGTCACCCCGCGAGCTCTCGCCCACGCTAAGATTCCCTCCGCTCGCTTGCCGGGCACGCGACTGCTACAGCCGACGGACCGAGCCGCGTACACGCCGGCCGGAGGCGAGAGGGGCAAGGAGGTGTGTACGGTGGTGGGACGCGCGCGGAGTTGCCCGAGCGAGCGAAGAGCGACACGGAGCACCAACCTCGCGCCGCCGACTCGGAAGGAAAGGGGGAGGGGCGCGCCGGGGACTCCCACAAGGCAGCGCGCGCCGGGCTGCTCGTCCACCAATCGGATACGAGCTTGACCCCCCCCCCCCACATACAGCCCCTACGACATTGCCCAGCCCCCCCCCCACCACCAGCAGCCTCCTATCACCAGCCCCCACCACCAGCCCCCACCCCACTCTACAGCCCCCCCACCCACAGCCCCCACCCCACTCCCCAGCCCCCCACCACCAGCCCCCACCTACAGCCCCACCCCACTCCCCAGCCCCCCACCACCACCACCAGCCCCCACCCCACTCTCCAGCCCCCCACCACCACCACCAGCCCCCACCCACAGCCCCCACCCCACTCCCCAGCCCCCCACCACCACCACCAGCCCCCACCCCACTCTCCAGCCCCCCACCACCACCACCAGCCCCCCACCACCACCACCAGCCCCCCACCACCACCACCAGCCCCCACCCACAGCCCCCACCCCACTCCCCAGCCCCCCACCACCACCACCAGCCCCCACCACCACCACCAGCCCCCACCACCACCACCAGCCCCCACCCACAGCCCCCACCCCACTCCCCAGCCCCCCACCACCACCACCAGCCCCCACCCACAGCCCCCACTCCCCAGCCCCCAACCACCAGCCCCCACCAACAGCCCCTACCCCACTCTCCAGCCCCCCACCACCACCACCAGCCTCCACCCCACTCTCCAGCCCCCCACCACCACCACCAGCCCCCACCCACAGCCCCCACCACACTCCCCAGCCCCCCACCACCACCACCAGCCCCCACCCCACTCTTCAGCCCCCCACCACCACCACCAGCCCCCACCCACAGCCCCCACCCCACTCCCCAGCCCCCCACCACCACCACCAGCCCCCACCCACAGCCCCCACTCCCCAGCCCCCAACCACCAGCCCCCACCAACAGCCCCCACCCCACTCCCCAGCCCCCCACCACCACCACCAGCCCCCACCCCACTCTCCAGCCCCCCACCACCACCACCAGCCCCCACCCACAGCCCCCACCACACTCCCCAGCCCCCCACCACCACCACCAGCCCCCACCACCACCACCAGCCCCCCACCACCACCACCAGCCCCCACCCACAGCCCCCACCCCACTCCCCAGCCCCCCACCACCACCACCAGCCCCCACCCACAGCCCCCACTCCCCAGCCCCCAACCACCAGCCCCCACCAACAGCCCCTACCCCACTCTCCAGCCCCCCACCACCACCACCAGCCCCCACCACCCCCCCCCCCCCCAAAATCGCGACGAACCAATAGGAAACGAGTTGAGACCTAAGAAACGTACGCTATGACCGTATAAGGTGAGGGCAGAAATCCAAAATCTTTATAGAAGCGTCGACGTCATCGCGTCGTTACGTACCGACGGCAAGTTGTACGTAATGACGTCATCGCGTAGCCACGGCGCTGTGGCGCCATTACGCGTGACGACGTCACAGAGCGATGTTACACGTTACCTGATTTATTTAAGAATCTGAATTTTTATTTGTATTTAATCAAATCGAGGATTCGTAATAGTTTCAGCTGCTAAACGCGCACGGTTATTCGCTAGAAAGGGAGAGAGAGAACGACTCAGTGGGGCGAGAAGTAGAAGTTTTGGACGATTTTTGACCCCCTCGTCACACGGCGTCACAAAAAGTCAGACCCCCCCCCCTCAAATATGACGTCACAAAGCACTGCCCCCCCCCCCCCCCAAAATAAAACCTGCTTCAAATCGCTTTAAACTATTGTCATTGTAGTGCGCATTTAATGTGGCGCTGCACTCTGATGTTGTAGGAGAAAACATTTATTAAAAAGTCTATTTAATTAAGTAGAACGTGTTGTCTATATTTATTTAAAGTTGCGCATTTTTATGTGACGTCACATTTCTCTAACCCCCCTCCCTCCCGCGTCACACATCGTCACAAATGTCTGACCCCCCCCCCCCCCCTAGGTGCGTGACGTCATTTATGGACGACCCCTAAGTGGCTTCTTACGTTGAAATGTTTATCAGCCAAATACTCTAAAGGCGTGATTTTGATTCTAAATGTGGAGGGAGAAACCGGAGGACACGGAGATAAATCCACGCGACCACGGGGAGAACACGCAAACTCCAAATATACAGCAGGTGTCAGGGTCGGTATCGAACCCACGATCTCCTGTATACCAGGCGAGGTAGTTAACATCTCGGCACCGCGTCGCCCCATTAGTGGAACACGTGGAAGGAAACCATCCCCCTGGGGTGATAGTAACGCCGGTGTGGTACAGGAGGATGTGGAGCTCAGTTGACTTGGCGATGACTGGTAACCAAGCGGTGTCAAGATCGGCCTCTATGGAGGCAAGAGGGTCGTGAAGGATGCTCTTGGGCAGCTAGGGGCAGTCACCCTCCAACAACAACAACAGAGGGCGCTGGAGCGACGCTCACAACAACGCGCGGTGCGCCGGGCGGATACAACGCAGCATGATCACAATCTTTAGTCATATACAGGCAGTGGGGGGGGCACGGGCGGTGCATCTGTCAGTCCAAGGCCGTAGCCATGGAGTCAACATTGGGGGGACTAAATTTTCCAGGGGGTCTGGGGTCCCCTCCCCCCCCCCCCCAAAAAAAAATCTAAATTTGAAAACTCATTCCCTGCCTAAAATAAAATAAAATTCACTAACACATAGGACGGACTTTACTTATTTATCTTTTTACAATAATGTCTAATAGTGTATTGCATTACATTGCTCTGTTTTTTCTTTTCTTTTTACCTTTTCTTGTTTCATTGTATGTAATGGCAGAGATTAGGGATTAATAAAGTCCAACCATAACCACAATCATATAAACAGAAATTTATTTTATAGCAATATATTGGGGGGGGACATTTTGAGCATATTTGAATATTGGGGGGGGGATGTGTGTCCCCCCCCCCCAATATATATTATAATTACGGCCTTGTGTCAGTCATCTCAGTCAGTCAACTCATGGCACTTGGGTCTGTGGCGTGACCTCTTGTGCCAGCGAGCCTAGCTATGCAACCCTTCCTGTTAGACAATGGCCCAGAGAAGGGAATATCTGAGAAAAACGTCAACGTGCTTTCTCACTCGACTCTGCATATGAGAGGAACGTTTGTTGTTTGACAGTGAACCAAATATTTAAATTCCCAGAGCTAGAATCTTGCCAAATCTAAGTGCAGAATCGAATGTATTGTGATAGCGTTTGTTTGTGTGCGTGCAGTCGCTGGTGACCAGGCTGAAACCATCAACGCCGCGGTGGAAAGATGTTAACTACCTCGCTTGTTACGCAGGAGGTCTTGTTACGAAGGAGGTTCGATCCCGACCCTGACGCCTATATATTAGAAGTTTGCATGTTCTCCTCGTGGTCGCGTGGATTTTTCGCCGAGTCCTCTGGTTTTTCCCTCCACATTTAGAAACGTGCATTTCGGATGCATTTGGCTGCTCTAAATTTCCACGTGATAAGCCACTTCATTGGGCTATCATTTGTGGCTGGGTCGGTTCTGAAAAAGAACTATATAGCTCAGTGGGCCTTACCTGGTAAAATAAAAAATAGTTTAGTTTAACTCACGACACTTGAGAACTTGGTTTTATCACAGGCGCCTGCCTGGAATTGAACCCAAAAGTTCAGCGGTGCCAGTTCAGCACTCTGACCTTTGAGCTCGGAGCCACTCAGCAGCTAACTCAACGTCAGAACGCCTCTTTAACTGGGATGATGTGTGGTACAAACATCGCGGATCCCAATCTGTGATGTATGTGCTATGAATAAGGGCAATTGCGTTGTGTTTTTTTCTCCTGTTATCTGCAGGGAAATCCGCAAATTGCCTCCACTTATCTGCAAGGAAATAAAATGGTAATAATCGTTGATAACAAGAATCATGGATTGCAGGGTCACAGATAAGAGGAGGTCTGTTTATTGGCACAACATTTTTGTTATTCTATTACGTATCTGAGTACGTATATAATGGTGACTAATAGTACTCCGACTGTGTATACTGCATTACACGTACTGTAAGAAATGTTTAAGCAGAATAAATTGGGCTAGTATGGCTTATGTAGCTAACCTTGTGATAACATTTTCCATCAATGTTTTATATAAAACGTCACAACACTCACTCATCGTGCGGATGTGAGCCAATCCTTCCTATTTACAAGATACTTCCCTTTTCATAAAAATACTAAAATGAGAAGAAAGTGGCTTGTGATTAACATTACAACCGGTTGCTATACTTCAATGACCTGGCAATATAATTCATTATTATATTACCCTTGTTTACCCAGAAAAGCCTCAGTGGATGCCATTGTCCGCTCTTTTTTTTTGAGCGACACTTTTGGGGAAATCTCGAGGACATCTGTGAAATCAGAGCTTCATAGCTCATCGGATTCCTCCAGTGTCAATAAATATTCTGAAGGTGGTGAATCTGGAGCGCAACACAAGCTGACGCGCGTGCCTCGACTCGACTTTTCCCAGCGACCCTAAAAGCCACGTGCTTTGTGTCCACTTCTCTTTCTTTCGTTGCGCACCACAACAGATGACGTCGAGTCTGGCGGGTTGGTGCGCCGAACAAATGTTGGTACAGTACTACATCCTAGTGTGGTCATCGTTCGACTACTGCACTCGCATTTGTGTTTTCACATTTGGGTATTGTCGGGGGCCACACTTCAGTGGCTGCACTAAAGGCCACCCAGGGGCCGTTAGTGGCCTCGCGGACCTTGAAATGAGGAACAAATTTTACATATTCTTAGGTGTTTTCGGTAAAGTCACGTAGGTAAAACATCAAAATTAATAAAATAATAAAATAAAAATATACATGTAGTTCCTGCACTGTACCCATTGTTAAACATCAAACAAATTATACGGGATCCTTAATACATTCCTGGAATCGTCCCTGAATTTCCACGCAGCGTCCTCATCCCAGAAAGGCAATTTGACAAAATGGAGATTCAAATGCTGCCTGATTCAATGTTGAAACACCGCTTTTTGCCATCTCAGTTCTCAGCATTTCTATCTCACGGCTACGCTCAGATGACGTTAAACAGCCTTCCTCTGGATCTTGTGATAAAGTGACCTCAAAAAAAGTGAAATGGTAAGCTTCAGTGAAAAGGGGACGAGTGTGGTGTTGCGGTCTTAGGAACCAGAGAACCCACTAACTGTGCCCTCGGGTTTCATTATGCTGCCTATTCAACAACTATACAAAAGGTAACCTTGATGATAGAAGTTACTTGCTTTAATCCAGTTCGAGAGGACGTCAACCGCGGAGATGGGAGTTGAAGAACTTGCTTGGCTCGTGTTGGGTGAATTGTTACGATATGGGACCACGGGCGATGGTGACAACTTTGGGAGGCCTTATTCAAACGGTGGATTCGATCATGGCTGATGATGAAAAAAATCAGGCTCAGGGCTCATGCTTTCAGAGGTTTCCAAGGTATCAGGTTTTGTTAAAAGATAGAGTTGTCTCGTGTAGTACAGTAATACCAGCGAAGTACAGCAGGTAGTGTGACACAAATGTGTCTGCCCTTGATGATGGTGGCATTTACGATGTTGAATAAAAGGGTAAGTCATGTTTGCTCGCCTACGGCCAAATTGCCTGGAATGCCCCTCCTAACAAGCTCAGCAGGTATTAGCCTCCCAGTAAATACTGCATGCAAAGTTAGACGGACGTTGGCACGTGGTTGGAACCGTTGGAACAATGCTGGCCGAACGTTCCATGTTTACTGGCCTGGGCAGTGATTGGATCGGCGACCACCAAAGCTAAAAAAAAACGTGTATTGGATGTTGTTAGCAGTGGAAGACAGCTCTGTCATGGGACCTGTTTGCCAGTATCAAAGTGTGAAAAATAATAAGAGATATTACCTTTTCTGGAAATAAAACAGGTGTTAAGATTTTCAAGAATTGTCTTTGCAACTGATTGGCCTACACCAGAGACAGCCTTCTTGATGGCCTAGTCTGACCAGTGTCAGACCAGAGAACGCCAATAGGCGAACAGTACAAGGACAATGCACTATCAGAGCAATTATAGCTCGGGGTGAGCAGGTTAATTAGAACTTGATTCCTGGCCAAAAGTTCGCTGCTTGAACCTCTTAACACGTGTTTCATTGCCAGAAAGGGTAAAAACCTATTGCTATTTTTTTCATAATGTCATCCGATGTTTGTCTGTGACGTGCTCTGCTTTAGCAATCGCCACCCTGTGTACACGAGAAAAGGCTGCGACGTCCCTTGCATCAATGTACAGGGTGGTTCAGATGTATTGTGACCCCCAATGTACAAGGTGGTCCAGATGTAATGTGACCCCCAATTAATGGACCCCACCGGGAAAAAATACGGTCACTGCATCGCGCGCTTTCAGATGCGCTTCTGCGGCCGTCTGGAATGCTCTTCCCCACGACATGAGGAAGCTACTGGAGCTATGCACCTTTAAATCATCCGAATTGAAATCTCATTTCTTTGCATCTGCTTTTCGTGTTTAGTTCGTTGTCCTTCCCCCCGCATCTCCGATTTGCACGGTTGGCTACGTACGGTTCAACAAGAAGCTCAACAGCAAGAAATTCAACATTCCTCACAGAGCATTGCTCGTGCGCAGGAGCTCGATGCATTTCTGGGGAGCGGTCGTTTAGCGGTCAGCGCGCTGCACCCCGAGGTCGACTCAGCCTCAAATGAGTGCCTGGTGCGGTGTGTATGCAAACATCGCCACTGGGGAGACAAAGGCGGCCGGGCGTGGCGCTGGCCACCCACCCCCTTCTCGTTTGTCACAGTGCCGGTCTTCGTAGGTGCTGCTCGCTAACAATACTTGCCCCAACAGTCTGGCAAAGGCAATGGGGGGGGGGGGGGGGATCTTTGTCTTTGATGTATTTATAACAGCTCAAACTTTGTCTTCTTTTGTACGACGTTTGAGAGAGAGAAAAAAACACACCGACTGCAATTGTACGTTTTACTTTGTAAGCCGTTCCACGGCAACCGAGGTAACCCGAGTGGGACTCTGCTTCTTCCACCAGAATGCGAGTGTTGTGTTGTGGGCAGTCATCGGTGATGTGCCTGATGGTTTGCACCACCTCGTGCAAGACTACATGAGAAATGGAGATGGTTGCGAGGCTTTTGAGGAGCCTTCAACCTGCAGAGTACAGACAGGGGGAGGCACTGCTGATGAGGGTGCCTGGTGCCTGTGTTGTGTCAACTTTAAATGGGACTCAAACCGCATGTAACATTTAGAAATGCTGTGATTAAGCATATTTAAGAGCTGCCCGAGCCAGTTTTGTACAGTCAATAATATAATAAATACTGAGAAACACGAGCTCAGAGTATCGGGTTGCTATGAATGTCCACGTGATGAGCCACTTTGTTGAGCTGTCATTTGTGGCCAGCTCGCTTCTGAATAATAACATTACAAGCTCAGTGGGCCTTACCTGGTAAAAATGAAAATTGTTCAGTTTTATTTTACTTATATTAACTACGCGTTAGTGAAACCAATGCGTACTAAACATAGAATACACGATGAAGTATTCCAAATGACTGGCTTAGTAAGCACCGTGCGGTATGGAAATGTGGTGTGCAAGTCTGGAAATTGTGGTTACACGTCAACTCAAAACCGCGTGTGTGTGTGTCGCAAACGGAAGAAAAGCAAAGGGAACAAAGGTAATTTATTGTGTGGGACACGTAAACACAATACTGTCAAGTGTTGACGCATACTTGTTGTATACATCGGCTGTTCCACATACGGCCATTTCTAACAGTAATACAAACCAGAGCACTGCAAACGTGTCAACCCCATCCTACTCACTACAGTAATTGTGCTGTGGCTGTTCCACCTGACGACGGAAGCTTGTGTTGCCTCCGAAACGTCGTGATTTAATTTAGTTATTTTCATTTTATTATTTTTCTTATTATTTATATTTTTCATCTACGTGACTTTACCGAAAGAACCAAAGAGTATGGATCCTTGCAGTCACGAAAACTTCAAATCTAGAACCCCATACGGTTTACCCCGTATTCTTTCTTTGGTTCTTTCGGTAAAGTCACGTAGCAGCAACGTCGTGATTTAATTTATTTTATTTTATACCTACGTGACTTTACCGAAAGAGCCAAAGAGTATGGGTCCCTGCAGTCACGAAAACTTCAAATCTAGATTCTACAGGGGAATTCAAGTTTCAGTTCCATACGGCGTACAACCGTTTCAATACGGGCAATCAAATGTTTTTGTCTATTCGTTTGTGATGGAACTTTGTAGGATGAACGCTGAGATTTATAAGGGTCTGAATTGGTGTGTAATAAGGAATGCACTGATAAGGGTTCGACAGGTATGGTACTATACACGTACAAAGGTAACATAATTATAATTCTTTATTAAACAGCATAGCATTTACAGCGTGTCTCAAAAGCGCAATATACCGTACTTATCAACGTTTGTCGTGCAAAGTACAGTAATTATTAATACAATACTACTAATTTTGTGATGAAGCATGTTGAGTACATACAGTGTTAATACATATAAAAACACACGATTACTTTAAAATAATTTTAACACAGTTTAGGATTCGCTTTATTTACACAACAGAGATTTGTCACGTGTACACAGCGAAGTGGATTCCGCTCAACTCGACCGCCCACTGCACGTTTGGCAAAACGCAACCTGAACCCCTATCATCCGCAAACCCTCTTATCTAGTGCCGGATTCTCCTCGTAGCAAAAGTAGCGACATATTTAGTAGCTGCATGTGTAGTAGCTACTACATATGTAGTAGCAGTATGTGTAGTAGCTACTACATATGTAGTAGCTACGGGCCCCGCACTTTCAAGGGCCCCGCGCTAAATGCTTTCAAGCTATCAATTCCCGTTCAGTGATTCTGCACTTGCTCTATTACTATAGTACTATAATGGCCTTCGAATTTTACGAACGACCGGGTATTTAAGGTTAGCGATTTGTCGTATTATCTGGCTGTATAGCAAATTAAAAAGTACAATTACTTTTCTATGCAAGTTAAAAATGTGTGTGTTTTCATATTAACTTTTTTTTGTGGACCCTTTACAACATATGCTACAGGCCCCGCACTAGCTTAATCCGGCACTGCTCTTATCCGCGACTCCTCCTATTACCTTAAAGAACCAGCGTGCGGCTGGTTCTTTAAGGAACTGCTGCTTCGTAGCATTGCGGCTCATGAACATCTTCTTTCGCGTGGATTCGTAGCAGCAAATTAAAGATGGAAATTAATTTAAAAAAATTTACTTGTTATCCAGAGTGGATCTCGTCCCCTTGCCCCTCATTTAAAGGAGGGCAGGACAGCGGCTGGACTACAACGTGGGGGCCGATCGTTTGGGATTGGTGGCCGCACCGGCCATGCCAGGTCCCGATTCGGTCGATGGTCGACGACCGCCGGCGGCGTGGAAGGTTTAAAACTGCGAGGGACTGCGACCGACATAAAAATAATAATAATTAAATATTTGAGGGGTTTTGTTTGTGTTTGACGTACCGAATGTGAAAAAAAATTGGACTCTTCTTGTTATTTTGGTCGCCGACCAGATAATTATCCGCGCTCCCGTTCCTCTCGTCCGTGATTATCCTCTGTTTTTCCTTCGGCTAGGATAAGTGGTGTAAATTCAGAGGTAACCCCCGCTGCGTCTTGCACATTACCGCGAATAAGCGGGGGAATCTCCTGCACTCACTATATTTGGGAGATTAAAATACATTATAATTTGCTGGTGTTCCATTGGCAGTGGTGCACAAGCACAAATAACAAACTCATCACATTCGTCAATAACACTGTAGCGTGAAAAGGGAAAAAAAATATTAGAGGTGACATTTAAGACGATGCCCCTTCTTCACGTGTTATTTCCGAAATGTCACCTGGTTTTGGAGATGACGACTACCGTATCTTATAGCGTAGAGAAATTTTATAAAGGTGGTTGATTTGTCGTAGAAAAGAAGTGCGTTTATCCTCGCATGATGTGAAATAAGATGGTTTAAGCATTTTCAGATTGATACATTTGTCGTAAATTAGACGATTGTAAATAAAATTGCATTGTCAAAGTAACATAAAAAAACACGAAGCAATGTGTAAAAATAAGCTGTTTAAATTGTCTGCCCCAAACTTTAAGGCCAATAAAACACGTTCATAATAAATGCGTTAAGCCCAAACAACATTTTATTGAACTGCACTTTCAGAGCTCGAATTATTAGCCCTATTTGTGCAACTGGCCAGCTCTTTTGACAATAAACTGCTGCACGAGGGCCTTATACCACGCCCTCTAGGTTATGGGGATTCTTTTTATCATGATTCACCACACTGGCTAGTGTGGGTTGCCGATTGTGGGGCGCATATACGTGGCAGCATAGAAGTAGAGTGCAACAATGGTTCTAGATTTGAAGCTTTCGTGACTGCAAGGATTCATATTCTTAGGTTTTTTCGGTAAAGTCACGTAGGTAAAACATTAAAATTAATAAAAGTGAAATAAAATAAAAAATAAAAATCACGACGTTTCGGAGGCAACACAAGCTTCCGTCTTCAGGTGGAACCGTCACAGCCACGACAGCTGTATCAAGTAAATGAGAGATTGCAGGAGCTACCACTCTGTTTATATAATGGTTGGAGAGGGGGGGGCAAGTAAAGCACACTTTTTATTCATATGGTAAGGTGAGGCTTAAGAGGGTGAGCCTTTGTTATTTTTTATTTTATTTTACTTTGATTAATTTTAATGTTTTACCTACGTGACTTTACCGAAAAAACCTAAGAATATGCAACAATGGTATTTTATGATCTCTGCTACCCACAATGCAGCTCTATATCGCACTATCTTCTCAATTTTTGACACAAGCAACCTGCAGGAAATATCTTGATCTCGTTTAGTAAGCACGTGTACTACTGGGAAAAAAAACCTTTGCAAACGTGAAGAGATATTAAACCTGGAGAGAACAGAATCAGATCAAGAAATCAATAACGTTCAAGCAGCTTACCATCACAGAGAGCTGACACGAAACACATAAAGAACACCGATACTCCATTGGAACCTCATTTTCCAGTAAAAAAAATATGATAATTGGTTTTTTACCCTTCTATCTGGCAACAAAACTGACACCTTTTTCACCGAGACTACATATATAATCTCACATCTGATATCATATTACCAGTTCTGAAATAACAAGCGTATTAAAATATCTACTTGTCATCAGTGACATCAGTTATTCTTGGTAATGCACGGTGCAACTTATTTGGTAAGTGAAATAGAAATCTGGAGGGGCCCTCCATTTCAAAATGTGGAAAATACAAATAACAGCAAGAACATAATTCTAGATTTGAAGTTTTTGTGACTGCAAGGGTCCATACTCTTTGGTTTTTTCGGTAAAGTCACGTAGGTAAAAATTCAATTTAAAATAAATTAAATCACGACGTTTCGGAGGCAACACAAGCTTGTGTCGTGATTTCATTAATTTATTAATTATTTTTGACCTACGTGACTTTAGCGAAAAAAAACAAAAAGTATAACAAGAACATACTTAACCCCCCACCTTTCCCCTCCTCCACACCATTTGAAAGCTAAGCATCGGGGTCAGGGCTAGATTCGAGCGGACGGTTGTCTGACTGCAGAATAGCCCGGAGGCTGGCCCAGAACATTGACCTCTTGCCCTCCTCGGCCGGCCACTCCAGGTAAGTCTTCCTGTTGAGCAGCTTCCGAAGCCGGCAGAACTTGCTGGGCACGGAATTCCTGGGCAACGGCTCGAGCAGCAGCAGCACCAGCGAGTCCTGGCGCTGCTCCAGGACCCGGTGCTGCGCAAAGTACAACTCGTAGTGGCACCACTCGCTGTTGACAAAGTTCCGCGAGAGGATGAACAGGGTCTTGTTGGAATGCTCGATGCACTGGATGATATTGTCCACGATCCACTCTCCGGGCGTGAAGTCTCGCTCGTGGATGCACAGCTTGAGGTCGGGGTTGGAGCTCTCTAAGGTGGGCACCAGGGTGTTCTCCACCCAATCCGAGTCAAGCTGGCTGTAGGAGATGAACGCGTGGTACTGGAACGTTGAGGTCTCACCGTCGTTCAGCCTATTATAACGCCGTCTCTTTGCTGAAACCCATATCCAGCCCATGCGTATGTACCATACGGCGTCAAGGTGGTAGCTGAGCCCTGCAGTGATGCCAATCACACATGCCGTGATGACGACGCTAAGAATGATGATGATGTACCTGTCACATGCGACGTAGCTTGGGCTGAAATCCTCCAGTGGGCTGTCTGCAAGGTAATCGGGGTAACTGCACGTGTAACCGTTGGGCCAGTCCATCAGCAGCGACTTGTTGAATGTTTTTCGAAACCAGTAGAGATCGCAAAAGCAGTAGAAGGGATTATTTTTCAAATTGAGAGACCTTGCGGCCTGGAGATTTTCAAACGTACCTTTTCTAATGATGCCCAAGGCATTGTCGTCCATGTACAAAACTTGTAGAGATGCGGAGCCTATCTGTGGATTGATGTGTCGGATGTTGTTCCCACTGAGGTAAAGTTCTTTCAACGACGTTGCTTCTGCGAGGATATTGTAAGGGAATGTTTCAAGCCTGGTGTAGGAGAGATCGAGTACTTGCAAATACTTTGAAGTGCAGATTTTTGAATTTCTGGTGATGTCATTATTACGTAGATTAAGTTTTTGAAGAGTATTAGGCCATGCACACTCATAGATGTCGTTGATATAATTATAACTAAGGTCTAAAGACTTGATTTTGGGCATTAGGGAAACCATGCTGGATATTATCTTTAGGTGCCTGAAGTGATTGTGACTTATATCCATATGTTCAGCATTGGGTAGGACAACAGTGTAATTACACGATTCCCACCACAGGCCTGTTTCATCCAAAAGATTTCGGGAAAAGTCGAGCCATGTAATTGCTCGAATTTTCAAAAATAAACAGGCTACTTTATTCATGCCTGTGTTGGAGATTTTGAACTCAGTAAGATTGGGAAACAGGGTGAAATTAATTAAAAATAAAGGGTAAGTCATATTCAGGTGAAATACCCCATCGATCACCAGCCTTTTTAATGGAGCAGTTCTGTTGACTCCCTTAATCCCAATGAACACAACAGGCCCTTTGTCATTATAGGAAGAATTTGTGAACACAACCATTTTCAGGTTTGACAGGTACATGTTTTTGATGAAGTCTGTGGCTTCACTGTCTGAGAAATTAGCATTGACAATGATGATCTTTGTCAGTGACTGACAGTAACTAAGACCCTGAAACAAATCAAAACTGTGGTTTTTTAAGGGCTCGATCAATATTTGATATGTTTCCAATTGTGTAATTTGAGATGTATTCAGATCTATAAGGACGTTGGAAAAAATGGACGGATTTCCGTCCACAGAAAAATTCATAAAGAACGTTTTCAGTGATCGGAAATGGACGAGGGATCCAGGTTCGTAACGTAATAACGGAGAACCAGTGTTCAGGTCCAAATACTTCAATGAAATATTTGAGAGGGCTTGCAAGTCAGCAGCTTTCAGCTCTGAGGTGTGGAATGTGCCGATGGTAAGTGACTGCAGCTGACTCATTCTGGAGAAGCCTCCGCCGAGGGCAAAGGAAGTGTAGTTGTTCATGGAGATGTTGAGGATCCGCAGGTTATGAAGATCAATCAGAGCCCACTCAGGTACTGCAGGCAGCTCGTTCTGGTACAGGTCTAGGTAGCGGAGCAGGGGGACATCTTTCAGCGCACCGGCTTCAATCGTGCGAATTCGGTTGAAAGCCAGGATGAGAACCTCGAGCTTGGGAGTGCTGGAGAAATCTCCGAGTCGAATCGCACCGATCCGATTGTGAGACAAGTCTAGGACGGTGACGGTGGCCGGCAATCCCTGAGGCACGGCCATGAAGTCACGGTCTGAGCAGTCAGCAGTTTGTTGATGGTCGTCGTACGAACAGTATGGATTGTTCAAGTTTTGCGTAGAAGCTTGCGGCAGCCGCACCACGCAGAGAAGCGTCGTGGCAAACGCGAGCATATTCCTGTTTGTACATAAAAAAATAAAAATGGCATGAGACACAAGCAACTGCTGTTCATGCCGTGGCTATAAAGGTGTGGAAAATTCAGTGCAGTAATTCTATATGCCAGTCAACAAGAACGCCACACCCAATGCCAAAGCGAAGAACAAACACAGCTAACTTTTACCCAAAGGGTCAAGAAGTGACAACGTCGAAGCCGATAACAATGTTACTTGCGTGACCCTGTTCGGAAAACAGAAAACACCTGCTACGGCTGATAATGATCACGTTAACGAGAATGAGTCCGGACCCAAGATCCCGTACCCGTGCGAGGCATACAAAAGTTGTAGGGAAAAGGAGAATGGAAGAGAGAAACGCCGATAACGAATCGAGACTGAGCGTATGTTGAACTTCTTTCGCACCGTACGTAGTTAACAGTGCTAATCGGAGGTGCGGGGGAAAGAGACAATAGACTGAATACAAAAAGCAGTTCTAAGAGAAATGAGTTTTCAATCTCGATGATTTAAAAGTGCACAACTCCAGTGGCTTCCAGAGCGTTCCCGACGACCGCAGAAGCGGATCTGAAAGCGGGCGATGCAGTTACCGTCTTCGTTCAATGGCCAACCATCACACCTACACACAGAAATGTACATCCACATTCACACTTATACGTACTTATTATACACGCGTATACACGCTCAAACACACACACAACGTTCACTATGACACCCACAAACACACCCCCCCCCCCCCCACGTATCATTTAACACGGCTGCGTGGCGAGCGCCGAAATGAACGGGGCGATGTGGCAAGCGGCATTGTCGGGCCGCCTTTGTCTCCCCGACGGCTTGATGTGTACACACTGCACCCAGGCCGAGTCAATCTCGGGGGAGGCCACACGGCGGGTTTCAGATATTTTCAACAGCAACGTTGGCCGAGAGCGGCGACCCCCGGGGGGTTTGAATTTTCCATGACGCCCCAACCAGTGCGTTCGCGTAGCAGCACCGACGGAACTCGCCAAATAAAGAGAGAAAATAAAGAGAGGAGATAAAGAGAGGGAATAAAGAGAGAAAATGAAGAGAGGGAATAAAGAGAGGGAATAAAGAGAGAAAATGAAGAGAGAAAATAAAGAGAGAAAATGAAGAGAGAAAATGAAGAGAGAAAATAAAGAGAGAAAATAAAGAAAGAAAATAAAGAGAGAAAATGAAGAGAGAAAATAAAGAGAGAAAATAAAGAGAGAAAATAAAGAGAGAAAATAAAGAGAGAAAATGAAGAGAGAAAATGAAGAGAGAAAATAAAGAGAGAAAATGAAGAGAGAAAATAAAGAGAGAAAATAAAGAAAGAAAATAAAGAGAAAAAATAAAGAGAGAAAAATAAAGTTCATTAAACGGGAAATTTGATCATGTAAAAGGGGAATGAAATCATTAAACGGGTTATGATACCGCCGCCGCTGTTGATGATGATGATGATGATTTAAACGTCGCACGTGCATTAGGAACGCATTAGGAACGCAATCCTACCACCGAGTAGAGTGGTGGGCGGTGGGGGGGGGGGGTCCCCAGCCACATGTCAAAGTGGGGTTCCTGCTCAAATCAGGATACACAGCAAGCGGTGTGGGGGGGGGGCTTCTCTGGTGTTAAAAGTCTCGGATTATCTGCGGGAATGGCAAAGAAAATATTGTTTCGGCAGGGAGAGAAACCTCGGATGTAAAATAAATGCTTATAAAACAAATAAGTATAACCCGTAAAAACAAAGTTTTTCACTATAAATCCTTTATATGCGTGGCAGCGAACTTAATATAAAGGATTTAAAAATATATTCGCCTGTGGAGGACGCGGGGATCGATCACGCGACCTTTGGCATGGGAAGCGAGGGCGCTACCAACTGCACTACTCCGCCATGGCCTGTGGAGGGGTTACGCTCTGGGCTCTTGCACTCTGACGTTCAGCCAAAGCCATGAATTAGTTCTGTTTGAATATATGTAAAATAATTTTTTTTTGCCTAAAAAGTGTAAAATTTTGGGAAATTTTTTCACGAACAATAATTGTCTGGCACAACGAGTCTGTGTGGAAAATGTCAGCTCGATTGGATCACGGGAAGTGGGTTAAAAAACGACCGAAAGATTTGCACGGTCCTAAGCAAGCAAGCAAGCACGCGAACTTAATATAAAGGATTTAAAAATGAGCAAATATACGGACAAAATATCACTGTAATGCAAGGGCTGTTTAAAAAAAAAAGTTATTAATACATGCGACGCGTCAATTAAATTGAAAGATCACGTCTCGTTTGTTTGCAACTGCTTTTTTGCGTTTCCCCCGCACCGCCCACTGGCAGGGTCGGCTACGTACGGTGTGAAAGAAGTTCACCACGCATAAAAACTAATTATGACAAAGGCAAGAGAGGAGTGTGCAGCACTGTGCATGGCGCTTGTCACTCGAAATTCCAAGCCTAGAAAGTGGCGATTTTAACTCTTCCCACGTGTGTTTGAGTACGGTACACTGCGACATATAATACACGCACACACACAAACATTCAGCACACACATTGAGCACAAACAGGAGAACATACGCATGCAGACGCACAGACATTCATGTGGTGTTAAAAAAAAGAGAGAGAGAGAAAGAAAAGTGTGATTAGCTCGATTAACTACGTACGGTGCGATAGAAGTTCAACATACATATCTAACTGTGGCCGCATTCTAAAACGTTTGCTTGAGAGTAACTTGAAGGAGAGGGAGGGGGGGTGTTTATTGGTTTTTTTTGGGAGGGGGGGGGGGTGAGAAGGGAATATAACAGCATCGATTGCTACAATGCCACAAGGCAGGTAGGAAAAGGATGCGTGTTTGCAAAGCAGCAGTGATTCCGTATCGCTGACTGATACCACGTTGCAAAGGTCTGCGTTAGTGACAGAGAGACGTCTAAATTTTGATTGAAATCTTTCGTGACTGCAGAGATTCATATTCTTGGTTCTTTCGGTAAAGTCACGGTAGAAGGGAAATAATAAAATAATACCACGAACACAGACACACGCACGCGCGCTAGATCATGCATTATCAGCACGTTACAGAGAGTATGATTTAAGCAATGATACAACAACAACAACGGCAAGAAAAACCACCCACACTTACATTTTTGTGCCCATGTTTAGGCACGCATCAGATGACAGGGTCCCCCGTTTGCTTCGTTTGTGCGCTGAGCGAGCGTACGAGGAAGTGTGGAGGGTTTTGTTCGGATGCCAAGGGCGGTGTTTACCATCCCACTATGACTCAATCAACGACGCTGCTCAGTCTTTGCCCAATGGCACCGTTGACCCCTTGAATATGCAGCGGCAACTAATATGTTTTCACTTGCTCACATATTTCACGCTTGGAGAAAAGTGATGAAAAGTAAGAATAGGAGGGGGGGGTTCTTTACCCTTTGCTGGCAATAAAGCATGTTCATAATCAATGTTTTTGGGTTAGATCGACAATACCTTAGTATCTGTGTATATATATGTGTAAAGTTTTTAAGAAATATATTTTTCACCCGGGCAAAGCCGGGTACTTCCGCTAGTTATTTATAAATGTGTCGTAACCCTCCACCACCCGACACGGCCAATCAGCAAAAAAGTGTCACGTTGACAAAAGACAAATAGTTCATTGCTTTAGCCCACCGGTGTGTTGAAGCGTGAAACCACAACATTTACACTTTTTTTAAGAAAGCATGTGCTGAGATGTTCAAAGACAAGAATGGATGGACACCTTTAGCAAGGAATAAAGTCCGCATTAACCACACATACGTGTGGCAAAAAGCATGCAAACAGACGTGCTTTGATAAATGATGCCTTTGCATTGGCCAAGACATGCCGACTCTGTTCTTTCACACAAATTCCTGAAAATAAGCGTAATTCTTTATCCTTTTGGAAGTAGACATTTTCACAGCCCACATGCATTACTAGTTATGCTTCTATAACTTTACAGAGTGTATAGTAACTGCGATGATACCTTTTCATTATTATCAATCTTTGGTTTTTTCGGTTAAGTCACGTGGGTAAAAATATATAAAATAATTTTAAAATGGAAACAAATAAAATTAAATCACGACATTTCGGAAGCAACTCAAGCAACCGTCATCAGGTGTTAACTGCTCCAGCAAAAATTACTGAGGGGTCTGAAGAGTATGGATCCTTGCAGTCACGAAAACTTCAAATCTAGAATTTTCATTATTCTTTACCCACGCATGGCGAATACTAATGAAAATAGTCACCGCAGACTCAGTGCGTGGCAACGTCAGCCGGTTCTCACGATCATTATATTGTCCGACTGACTTGGGAAGAACGCAGGGCAAGTTCAACCTGACTGGTGGTGTGTTTATTAATGTTCGTGATGAGTTGAGCGTATGGTCGCGCCCTCTAGTGAAGCCCGTGTGCTATGAATGAGGGCGATTGCTCGAGACTTCGTCGAATATATTTTCTTGGTTCTTTCGGTAAAGTCACGTAGAAGGGAAACAATAAAATAATAAAAATACAAAACAAAAAAATTATCACGACGTTTCGACTGCAACACAAGCAATCATCATCAGGTGTGAAAACACAGCAAGAAAATTTTCTTGCTGTGTTAATATATTTTTATTATTTTATTGTTTCCCTTCTACGTGACTTTACCGAAAGAACCAAGAATATGAATCCCTGCAGTCACGAAAGCTTTAAATCAAAATTTAGTCGAGTATATTTTCTTTTAAGGGGCCGTTCATAAATGACGTTACGCGATTTTGGACGATTTTTGCCCCCCCCCCCCATCGTCACACGGCGTCACAAAAAGTCAGACCCCCCTTAAATATGACGTCACAAAGCTCTGCCCCCCCCCAAAGAAATACATGCTTCAAATCGCTTTAAACTATTGTCATTGTAGTGCGTATTTAATGTGGCGCTACACTCTGATGTTGTAGGAGAAAACATTCATTAAAAAGTCTAATTAATGAAGTCGTGTTGTCTATATTTATTTAAAGTTACGCATTTTACGTGACGTCACATTTCTCCAACCCCCCCACCCCCTCGTCACACATCGTCACAAATGTCTGACCCCACCCACCCCCTAGGTGCGTGACGTCATTTATGGACGGCCCCTAAGTTTGCATTGTTGTTGACGAGTGCGTTGATTTTTTTTGTTTCTTTCTTGTTCGTTGCACAGTGGCGACATGGGAAGGAACTGGGATGGCAGAGGGCGGTGGTTCTCAAAGTGTGGTCCCAGAGTTCCATAAGTGGACCGCGACCGTCTTCCAGATTTGTGGTGCAAATGCAGGTTGATCCGGACAATACTAACAAGCGTGACTTGAAGCTTTCGTGACTGCAGGGATTCATATTTTTGGTTCTTTCGGTAAAGTCACGTAGAAGGGAAATAATAAATAATAACAATATGAAATAATAAAAATTCTCACGACGCTTCGACTGCAACACAAGCAATCATCATCAGGTGTGAAATCCACGGCAAGAACATTAGAGAAAAAAAAGTGGCGGTGCTGATGTTAGGAAACAACCACCACTTTTTTCAAATTTTCTTGCTGTGGATTTCACACCTGACGATGATTGCTTGTGTTGCAGTCGAAACGTCGTGAGAATTGTTATTGTTTAATATTTTTATTATTTTATTATTTCCCTTCTACGTGACTTTACCAAAAGAACCAAGAATATCTTACCACCTGCTTTATTGCCAGAAAGGTTAAAAACCTGTTGTTATATTTTGATACGGGCAAAGGAGGTACCATGATACCCCGATGAAACTTCCCTAATCCTAAGATCTGAATTCCACCCCTACAAAAAGCATGATAGCTGCGGAGCTGGGTGGTGTGCGGAAATGTTTGCATTGATTGGCTGGGCGGTCCGTTGACCCAAGAAGTTTGAGAAACGCCGCAATAGAGGCAGCGTGGTCAGGAGTTGGTCAAGACTGGTTACAATGAGGCATTTCCCCTTTCAGATGGATGGATTGAGTTAAACGGGCTCGTTACTTTCAGCTCAAGAGAGCCACGTGGGGCGATAAGTGTTTTTTCTAGGTCATGCGGAGCACCGATATTCGAATCTAAAAAGTAATCCGAAGTTGTAATGCAAAATGTATTGGCTTGTATTACGGATATTTGAAATCATTAAAGGTAAATCAGTGGCTATTTATAATAACTAATGATATTTGATGGTGTGCAAACCACCGATGTGAAAGTCACAGCATGTGGCGTGGAAGTCAAGTAAGTAAAACTCAGTTTTATATAGCACTATTCACACAAGGCCTCACGGCGCTTTGCAACAGATTCGCAGTAAAAAAAAAACCCTTAACGTTAAAACTAAGAGGGAAAGAACCCCAACGCAGACGGATACGCACGAGAAAATAAATGTGTGTTTGAGACGAGCCCTGGCTGTCGGAGCGTCCCCAATGGATCTGGGGGGAAATGCGTTCCACAAACGAGGCGCCTGACTGCTTCAACGTTCCATCCAGTGGTGGATTATCCTAGAAGCAAAAGTAGCTACATGTGTAGTAGCTACATATGTAGTAGCTACATGTGTAGTAGCTACATGTGTAGTAGCTACATATGTAGTAGCTACGGGCCCCGCACTTTCAAGGGCCCCGCGCTAAATGCTTTCAAGCTATCAATTCCGGTTCAGTGATTCAGCACTTGCTCTATTACTATAGTACTATACTGCCTTCAACTTTTATGAACGACTGGGTGTTTAAGGTTAGCGATTTGTCGTATAGCAAGTGAAAAAACAATTATATTCTTAGGTTTTTTCGGTAAAGTCACGTAGGTAAAACATCAAAATTAATAAAAATAAAATAAAATAAAAAATCACGACGTTTCGGAGGCAACACAAGTCTCCGTCATCAGGTGGGGCCGTCACAGCCGGATTAGCTGCATCAAGTGAGGCAATGATTCAAGATGTAATCCCTTAAAAGCGAGTTGAGGGGGGAGGAGAGGGGGGGGGAGCTCATCAGAATGTGGTAGCCAATGAATGGAACGTATCGGGAGGGAGGGGGGCGGGGCTCAAAGACGGCACGGAGTGCCACGTACAACGCATCGGGAGGGGGACGTGACTTTACCGAAAAAACCTAAGAATATGAATCCTTGCAGTCACGAAAGCTTCAAATCTAGAAAAAAAACAATTACTTTACTATGCAAGTGAAAATTGTTTTTTCATATTTATGTTTTTTTTTAGGGCCCCTTCATAACATGTGCTACAGGTCCCGCACTAACTTAATCTTGGCACTGGTTCCATCACCCATTGGACGCACATTTATTTTTCCTTGGTGCACTCAGGTGCCCGACTTCGGGAGCGAGGGCGAGTCTCCGCCCCCGCCCCCCTCTGTCTATTTAAGGCCTCGCCACAGAGACGATCTCCCTCTCTGTGCCTATGTGTTACTCTCTCTCTCTCTATGTATCTTGGTGATATCTGTCTGCTTATATGTCTGTCTATAGTTTTCTGGTTAGATTTTTGTTGCTATTTCATTTATACCTGATGATGATTGCTTGTGTTGCAATCGAAACGTCGTATTCTATTATTTAATTTATTATTTTATCTTTATACGTGACTTTACCGAAAGAACCAAAGAGTAATTCCTGCAGTCACGAAAGCTCCAAATTAAGAAATAACACCGTTATAAACACATAATATTAAAATAAACGTGGTTAATCAATGCATTAATATTTACTGCACCGACAACAGGGGAATGGTTGGTAAGCGAACACATTGGGCTCTATGGAGGCACTACAACTTCACACTACACTATACACTACACTATACACTACACTACTATACATTACACTATACACTCCTATACACTACACTATACACTACACATTGGGCTCTTTGGAGGCACTACAACTTTACAATACACTATACACTACACTACTATACACTATACTATACACAACACTACTATACACTACACTACTATACACTACACTACTATACACTACACTACTATACACTACTACACACTACACTACTATACACTACACTACTATACACTACACTACTATACACTACTATACACTACACTATACACTACACTATACACAACACATTGGGCTCTATGGAGACCCATTGTTAAGCAATTAGTCGTTGACAGGGGTGGTCGTTAAGAGGGGGTTCTACTCTATACTACTATACACTACACTATACACTATGCTACTATACACTGCACTATACACTACACTAATATGCACTACACTACTATACACTACACTATACACTACTATACACTACACTACTATGCACTACACTACTATGCACTACATTATACACTACACTACTATACACTACACTACTATACACTACAATATACACTACATTATACACTACACTACTATACACTACATTATACACTACACTACTATACACTACACTACTATACACTACTATACACTACACTACTATGCACTACACTACTATACACTACATTATACACTACACTACTATACACTCCTATACACTACACTACTATACACTACATTATACACTAGACTACTATACACTACACTACTATACACTACTATACACTACACTACTATGCACTACACTACTATACACTACATTATACACTACACTACTATACACTACATTATACACTACACTACATTATACACTACACTACTATACACTACACTATACACTACACTACTATACACTACACTACTATACACTACATTATACACTACACTACTATACACTACACTATACACTACACTACTATACACTACACTACTATACACTACACTACTATACACTTCACATTGGGCTCTATGGAGTCCCGTCGCTAAGCGATTAGTCTTTAACAGGGGTGGTCGTTAAGAGAGATTCTATTGTACAGATCACGGCTAGTACGCCTTTCTCAAACCCCTCTTATGTACACACAAATGCTCTTTTCGCAAGAGTTGTTTATGCGGACTATCAAAAAAGCCTAGCCTACGATAGCAATGAAATACGTCACTGACCACAGCTAAGCTGCAAAAACTCATGTCGGTAAATTGTGCAGCGCATTCAAAAGTGGTCACCAAGGATTAGCTCTCAAAATGCAATGTCTGTAAAAGCCTGCGTGCATTGTGCTTGCAGTAACACGCGTCCATTTTCTTTTTCAGTTTCAACAAACGCACGCATTGCGGGGGGGGGGGGGGGGTGACGCCTATGCTGGCAAAACACTGCTCGGGCATCTCGTGGAATATGCCTGCTAAACGTGGTGCCACAGAGCTGGAGGAGGTGATGTGAGGTACAGAGATGGCTGTAGGAGGGAAGAGGTTATAGGTTACTCGGGACAAGTGCGGCTAAAGTAACCAATCAGAGATTTACATTTATTACGATGGATTTCATCAACGGCCATCGTTATTCAGTGACAGTAATAGATTTAAATTCAAATTCCCAAATTAACCGGGTTAATAGGGTAGGGATAACTTGGATATTAAAAAACAACGGATGATGTAACCATATTGGGTGCCACGGTGGCGAGACGTTAACTACTTCGCCTTGTAGACAGGATCATGGGTTCGATCCTGACTCTGACGCCAGTATATTTGGAGTTTGCGTGTTCTTCCCGTGATTGTGCAGATTTTCTCCGAAACCTCCGGTTTTTCCCTCCACGTGTAGAATCGACACGCGTTTAGAGCATTTGGCTGCTGTCCAATTTCCACGTGATAAGCCACTTCGTTGAGCTATCATTTGCAGTCATATAGGTCAGTGGGCCTTACCTGGTTAAAAAAAAGAACTGCTCTAAAACATACTCTTTGGTTCTCTCGGTAAAGTCACGTAGGTAGAAAAAATAAAAGATCACGACGTTTCGATCGCAACACAAGCAACCGTCATCAGGTGTCAAACAAACACAGCGGAGGGCCTTCAAACGTCGTGATCTTTTCTCTTTTCTACCCACGTGACTTTACTGAACGAACCAAAGAGTATGGATTCCTGCAGTCACGAAAGCTTCAAATCAAGATTGCTCTAAAACAATGCCTACCTACATAGAATCGGGGTGCAGACGTCGAATGTGTGATCGGTAGTTATTGTTTCTTAAAGTAATCGGATTACTTGTGTATGTTTTTGAAGTTGTGTGAACACTTTAGTCATGGACTCCCTCCACAAGTTAGGAGCAGATAAAGGTGGAAGCAAGCGTAGGCACAGAAGTCGTTTTTACGTTTGTTCGCAACACGCGGTTGGTTCGTAATTCGGACAATCCACCCACGAACATATGAGAGTTCACTGTACTTTAATATAGCAGCCGTTAAAACTTGGCACGTAGTAGGATTTTACAGCTAATTATTCATATTTACACGGAGTCGGTTTTCAATACGGTAACAGTCCAGAAATAATGACTTCCCAGAAATAACACAAGCAGAAAATGTTTTCCCAAAAATAAAAGGAGAACATTTTTACAAAAGCCCTTCGTAAGCCACACTGTTGCTGACAACTGTAAGATAAGTAGCAATCGGCGAGTGTCACATTGCTTGACTCCACATGGGGAACTGAAAGTACTGGATTGCTAATTTTGTCTCCCATGGATAATTCGATTTAAAAATAAATATTGAACAGACGACCTTCATTTTATTGGTAATGTATTCGAGATAACCCTGATCATGAAATAAAAACTCAACACATTTTAACCAACTTTGTTTTAACTAAATAATATACTCAACACCAGATGTGTATTTTATTTACCACAAAAGATAATGTATTGGTGATTAAAAAGCACATCAGCAGAACTATCACTCACTGGATGACGGAGCATTGATATGGCTGGAAGGAGCCCTTTCTAATTTCTTATAATTACGTAAACAAGAGTTGGAACAGCATTGAATACCGGTGGCCATTGAGCAATGGGTGTAGCAATCTTTCGTATACAATACACGGAGTGAGAGCAAGAGTAGAACACATGAAAGACGAACGCAGATCGTTTTATTAATCATTCTCTTTAGCATTCAAACATGCGTTTAAATTGCATTACACACTGATTTTTTGGTGGTCCCATATTTATATTTAAGTAATGTATGTTGAACTTCTCTCGCACCGTATGTAGCCAACCACAATAATCGGAGGTGCGGGGGAAGGACAACAATTTTAACACAAAAAGCAGATCTCAAGAATTAAGATTGGAATCTGGGTGATTTAAAAGTCCATAGCTCCCAGTGGGGTTCTGATGAAGGTGTTGGGGCCGACTGCAAGCGTGTCCCCAACGCAACTTGCCGGGATTCTTACGCGAACCTCATCCCGTGAGCAGATTACCACCTCCTATAATAATAATAAAAAACGCTACATTTTGAAATTACATTTCGGCTACAATTTAGAGTATCACTGCCAACACACAAGGGTCTTAAAGGGCTTTTCACCATTTCCCATTCAACAACTGATACACCGGCACGCACCGGCACGACCTCTCCGATCCGCTGATGTTACATCTGCTCCACGCGCCGAGAACGAGACTCTGCACCTGGGGTGACCGAGCGAGCCTGTGCATGCGCTGCGCTAAATCGACCGAATGCGCTTCCACCAGTGGTTAGAAAGGCGAACTCACTCTTCTCGAAAGACTCGTCTGTTTTGCCTGGCCTACACTTCCCACCGTATGACCCAGTGGACTCTCTGGGCTTTGTAGTATGGGGCCGTCCATAAATGACGTCACGCGATTTTGGACGATTTTTGACCCCCGCCCCCTTCGTCACACGGCGTCACAAAAAGTCAGACCCCTCCTCAAAGATGACGTCACAAAGCTCTGCTCCCCCCCCCCCCCCCCAAAAATAAAACATGCTTCAAATCGCTTTAAACTATTGTCATTGTAGTGCGTATTTAATGTGGCGATGCACTTTGATGTTGTAGGAGAAAACATTTATTAAAAAGTCTATTTAATTAAGTAGAACGTGTTGTTTATATTTATTAATATTTCTTAAATTCGTGCGTGGCGCACTGAGAACCCTGGATGAATCGTTCCTTACAGATGTAAATTATTATTATTATTCAACAATGCCACGGGGCTGCATTGCACGAGCACTTTCTATCGGCGTTCGCGTCTTGGTCTTCAAAGAGTACGCAATACATTGAGTTATCATGAACTAGATTTTAAAATTAGATTCAACGCCCACCAAAACCTCCAGAGATGTACATTGTTTTTCCTGTTAAATTGTATGGGGTCATTTTTTGCAGGGAGACGGAAAATGTTAAATATTTTGGTTTCCATATTTCCCCAGTTATAATCATAGACTTGCTTATATTTGTGCCAAATTCCATATTTTCCACAATTGTTTTGCTTTATTCATCCTGTATTTACATTCCGCACTCAGTCGCGATAATTGACACAAGGAATATCATATTAGATGTATTTACAAAATGGGTACTTCTTGCCAGTATCAATGTATAAAAAAATAACAATAGGTCCCATTTGTGTAGTAGCTCATCCTGAGCTGTAAATGCCCTGATAGTGACATTGTCCTTGTCCTGTTCGCCTTCTTACGTCCTCTGCTCTGATACTGGTGAGACTTGCCCATCAAGAAGGCAGTCTGTAGTGTAGGTCAATCAGTCTCAAAGACAATGCAAATATTATCAGACGATGTTTGTTTGATCTTGATTTGAAGTTTTCGTGACTGCAGGGATCCATACTCTTTGGTTCTTTCGGTAAAGCCACGTAGGTATAAAATAAAATAAATTAAATCACGACGTTTCGGGCGCAACACAGCAATAAACAATTTCTGAAGTAGGCAACTGTGGTTGTCCCACCTGATGACGGACGCTTGTGTTGCGCCCGAAACGTCGTGATTTAATTCATTTTATTTTATACCTATGTGACTTTACCGAAAAAACCAAAGAGGACGATGTTTGTTTGCATGTTCACCACAAGTACGTGTGGTTAATGCGAACTTGATTCCTCGCAAAAGGTTTCTACTTGCGGTCTGCACATATCAATGCCTGTTTTATCTCCAGAAAGGGTAAAATATGTACTTGCCATAATCCTTAAATTCATTTTACAGCGTCATTTGGGACGTCAAGTGGACATTCACGATACAAACGTGTGATTGGCTTTCCAATGGTGATACCTGGCAACTAACCAGCACGATGTGGTTTACAACGGTCTCTATCAAACTATTTACGAACTTCTCTTAAAGCAAGGCTACTTCTATATTTACAAAGTGTTCTTCTATATTAGCGCACCAACTGCGGCATTAACTTGAGTTTGTCATTTTTATTTTCCACTGTAACAGCAAAGAGCACTGTTGGCAAGTAAAAACACAAAGGCAACAGAATTACCGTACTACCAAACACAAAAAACGTACGGTTGTATTAGTACAATGAATCATACAGAAAATTCAAACATTTATGTTTAACAACTTGATTACACAATGCATACGTAACAAAAAAATGCGCAAAAACACCCACGGTTTCACAACTGTAAAATGCCTCGTTTTAATGGTTCTACATCAAGGCCTAACTTCACTCGGAGTGCTGGGCAGATGTACAAACACGTACAGCCCTTTTGGCATTCTACTTCTGGATGAGAACCTCACACCACATGGGTCATGGGGGGCTTATTTGCACTTCTTCACGAGGCCGGTCAGTGCAGGTTGGTCATTACAGACAGCATCGACACTGGAGCATAGAAGTAGAGTACAATAATTCATTTTGTTTCATTTTTGTCCTCTGCCACTCGCCATATAGCCATACAGATTCTAGATTTGAAGCTTTCGTGACTGCAATGATTCATATTCTTAGGTTTTTTCGGTAAAGTCACGTAGGTAGCCACACAGAATAATTATAACAACCCGTTTGTGCGTGACGGTCACCCATCTAAGCAATCTACAACAAAAACGCAATACATGATTGAACAACACTCGCTTCAAAAAAAGAAGAAATGTTTATATTTTTCCCTTGATAAAGTTTTTTTTGGGTTAGATCGCGAAAATATAAATGTGTCGTTAAACCCTCCACCATCCGACACAGCCAATCAGTAAAGTTTGTCACGTGAACTAAACGTACTAAATCGTTACTTCAGCACACCGGTGTGTACATCCACAGCATTACAATTTGAGTGTGGTGACGTTTCGCTGGTAATTACAACCAGCTTCAAGTTGTATATTTGTATAGCAATGGGATGGGGACATTTCCCAAGCCATCGTCTTTAAATTTGTTGTATTTTATTTGAAGGCAGGGCTGTCGACGAGGGAGTTTAATGTGCTAGTTGCACACCTATACCAACGCAGAATCAGCAGCAGCAGCAGCAGCAGCACCATCAAACAAGTATGTAGGCACGATACTAGACATCCCGAGCACTTCCTCGGTGATTTGATCAAATCGGCTGTTTCTACACAAGACCGTTTACCGTACGGAATTGTATTTGCCAGATAGCGTGCAAATCGTTCCATGTCAATGATGGAATAGTGTGGAGTAACACTTCTATCGTATTTATAGTTTAAATAACAAAATATCATATGAACGCATGTCATAAATATAACCAAACATATTTTTCTCCTTTAATTAAATGAAGAATTTGGATCGTACGGTTAAAGTTTGACGTAACATATTTAAAGGTAAAGATTTCAAGGCTTGCTCTGTTCTGCCTATGACTGCCTGCCCCAATGTACACATTTTGCTCACTCTTTCTGTACAGCATCGTGAAATGTGGTTGCGTTTAGATGCCATCCATAAATCCTAACGTCTTTAGTATAAAAGGACATGGACACATACTGTATTTTATATACATTGTTAAAGCTCAAATTGTAACAAATAAATCCACATTGGAGGTGATATCATTTTTTAAACATAAGGGTTATGGATTGTGTTAGAGTTACTGTTTGAGATAGACTTATGGTTGGAGTCCGGATTGCTGGGTTCATGGTCCGACTGCAGAACAGCCCGGAGGCTGGCCCAGAACATTGACCTCTTGCCCTCCTCGGCCGGCCACTCCAGGTAAGTCTTCCTGTTGAGCAGCTTCCGAAGCCGGCAGAACTTGCTGGGCACGGAATTCCTGGGCAACGGCTCGAGCAGCAGCAGCACCAGCGAGTCCTGGCGCTGCTCCAGGACCCGGTGCTGCGCAAAGTACAACTCGTAGTGGCACCACTCGCTGTTGACAAAGTTCCGCGAGAGGATGAACAGGGTCTTGTTGGAATGCTCGATGCACTGGATGATATTGTCCACGATCCACTCTCCGGGCGTGAAGTCTCGCTCGTGGATGCACAGCTTGAGGTCGGGGTTGGAGCTCTCTAAGGTGGGCACCAGGGTGTTCTCCACCCAATCCGAGTCCAGCTGGCTGTAGGAGATGAACGCGTGGTACTGGAACGGTCCCCCCACGCCCTGTCGCATTTTGCGCCTCTTGGCCGAAATCCACACCGTGCCCATGCGTATGTACCAAATGGCATCAAAGTAATACCCGAGACCCAGTGCGAGGATTATGATGAAGGCTGTGATTCCAACGCTCATGGAGATGATGATCCTCTTGTCACAGGTTATGATGCTCAGCTTTAAGTCGGACAGAGTTCTGTTTGACAGCTCGTTGGGGTAGCTGCACACGTACTCGTTCGGCCAGTTCTTCAGAAGTTGTTTTTCAAATGTCTGCTGGAACCAGTAGAGATCACAGAAGCAGTAATAAGGATTGTTTCTCAGGTCGAGGGTTTTGATGTTTCCAAAGCCACTGAAGGTGTTTTCACTGATGATTCCCACGCCATTGTTGTCAATATACAGAACCTGCAGCGACAGGGAATACAACTCGGGTGCAATGTACTTGATGTTATTGCCACTGAGGTAGAGCTCCCTCAGGGATTTTCCGTCGTTGAGGATGTTCTGAGAGAACGTTTCGAGTCTGGTGTAGGAGAGATCCAGCACTTGTAAATATTCTGAAATGCAGATTTTGGAATCCCTGCTGATGTCGTTGTTGCGGAGGATCAGTGTCTCGAGTGTTGCTGGCCAGACGGAGCACCCCTGGATGTAATTGATGCTGTTGTAACTGAGGTCTAAGGACTTGATATTGGGCATGTCCACGACCTTTTGAGCTATTGTGTTGAGGTCAGAGAATCGGTTGTGGCTGATGATTAAATGAGTCGTATTTATTAAATTCTCTTTCTGGGGGCATTGAGGCAGCCACATTCCATCTTCCACAAGAAGATTGTTAGAGAAGTCTAAAATTTTACCGGGGAACGTCATTAACAAGCAATCGACTTTGTTTAAACCTGTGTTGGATACCTTAAATTTAGAAAAGTTGGGGAAAAGCGAAAACGGTATGTAAAATAGGGGATACGTCATGGGTACGTGGAAAATCCCATCGATGATGACGGTTTCCAGAGCCGCTTTCCTTTCAATGGGCAACTGCGGCAAAACCACATTGTCAAAGTCGGTGTACGATGAATTTGTCAGCGTAACTGATGTCACTTCAGACAAGTAGATATTTAGTAATAAGCTTACTATATCTAAATTGGTAAAATTCGCACTGATCAGCGTGACATTCTTCAACAATGGACAATACACGAGGCCACTGAATAAATCGATGCTCTGGTTATGTACTTGGTTGATCAATATGTTCATTATTGTAATTTCCGAAATTCGGGTCCTCCCTAGGTCGAGCAACATTTTCGATAAAATGGACGGATCGGCGTCAATTGAAACGTTCGTCAAAAGCTTCTCGAGCAGCGTCAGGTTGGCGAGAGCTCCCTGCTCGTAGGAGGTCAGCGGGGACCCGGTGTTCAGCCACAAACGCTTCAGGGGAATACTTGACAGCGCTTGTAAATCTGAAGCGTGCAACGCTGACGTGTGGGGTGTGCCCACGGTAAGTGACTGCAGCCGACTCATTCTGGAGAAGACTTCGCCGAGGGCAAAGGAGGTGTAGTTGTTCATGGAGATGTTGAGGGTCTGTAGGTTAGGAAGATCAATCAGAGCCCACTCAGGTACTGCAGGCAGCTCGTTCTGGTACAGGTCTAGGTAGCGGAGCAGGGGGACATCTCTCAGCGCACCGGCTTCAATCGTGCGAATTCGGTTGAAAGCCAGGATGAGAACCTCGAGCTTGGGAGTGCTGGAGAAATCTCCGAGTCGAATCGCACCGATCCGATTGTGCGACAAGTCTAGGACGGTGACGGTTGCTGGCAATCCCCGAGGCAAGGCCACAAGGTCACATTGTGAGTAGTATCCATTGTCTCCGCAGCAACAATTTTTAGCTTTGGCCCCACTGATGCCGACACCGGCCCACGGTCCTGTCGTGCAGAATACGACAACGGCATACTTCAGCAACTGTTCCATGATCCTTGGTGTTTAAGCCCCTGATGAAGAGAGGGAAGAAAAAGAGGCACGGATACGAGTCGATTGAACCGTGCAAATGCTCGGAGTGCAAAAAAAGTGGAGAGATGTGCTCAGTTGAAATGACACGGAGATCAGAGAGAGGATCACATGGATCAGAGGACCTACACATCAGTTTAACACGTAGGAGGCTTTCGCGACCAATATGATTCGTAAAAAAGTTCAATCTTGATTTAAAGCTTTCGTGACTGCAGGGATTCATATTCTTGGTTCTTTCGGTAAAGTCACGTAGAAGGGAAATAACAAAATAATATAAATATAAAACAATAAAAATTCTCACGACGTTTCGACTGCAACACAAGCAATCCACAGATTTTTGTATTGTTTTATATTAATATTATTTTATTATTTCCCTTCTACGTGACTTTACCGAAAGAACCAAGAATACATAATAAAGGTGTTTGGGTTAGATCGCGTAAATATAAATGTGTCGTAACCCTCGAAGCCAGTCAGTGCAGGTTGGTCATTACAGACAGCATCGACACTGGAGCATAGAAGTAGAGTACAATAATTCATTTTGTTTCACTTTTTGTCTTCTGCCACTCGCCATATAGCCACACAGAATCAACGTAACCCGTTTGTGCGTGACGGTCACCCATCTAAGCACTCTAAAACAACAACATCAAGACATGATTGAACAACACTCGCTTTAAAAAAAAGAATTGTGTTTATTTTTCCCATGATAAAGTTTTTGTCTTGGGTTAGATCGCGTAAATATAAATGTATCGTTAAACCCTCCACCACCCGACATAGGCAGTAAGATTTGCAAGGAAAACAACGCGCCAATTAGTTTACTACTTCAGCCCCACCGGTGTGTTGAAGAGTAAATCCACAACATTTACACATGTTAGACATATCACGTTGACCGTTAGGAAAAGGGGAGATGGATGGTTGTCAAGACTGAAGATGGAGTGCGACCGTGAGGGAGAGTGACGGCTTGAGGGAAGCCTTAATCAAGCAGTGGATTGATCATGATTGATCATGATGATGATGATAAATGCAGAACAAACGTGTCCCAACATAAACTCGTGGCCAACATTAAATAGACATGCAATACATCCTGCACGAACCACATGGATACAAATGGTATCGGCGTATATTTTTAACAGCACACGGTGACAAAACGAAATTATTTGAGGTGGGTTTTGTGTACCTCAAATTCCCGTATAGGCTTTGGCAATGCCCATTAACTAACATGCAACAACACATACATATAAATTTAACACGTGAGATTGTTTTATATATATAAACTGCATATTGTCAATATGCCTGCTGAATAAAAAGGCCTCGCCATGCTATTTCAGTCCTGGAGGACTATACATTAGTCGTCACGGGTTATCGTTCTACACTGATATTAGCCGTGATCGGGAATCAAACTCGGGGTCGCCGCGTTCATTGCACAATGCACGAACCAATGCGGTACTGCCTGCGCTGGTTCAAGTTAATACAAGTCAAAGTCATATTCTTCTCAAATGAACATTGAAGCAGTGCTCATTATCGCATACAGCCCTGAACCCAATGGTGGAAATTCCACATTGCTATGGCAGGGGTGGAGTATTTCCATAAGGCAACCACTCTTTGCATTTCCCTAACAAAGCGGTATACACGTTGTTTTTATCGACCCAGGGAGAAATGATGGGCTGAATTCAACCCCAAACGGGGATTTGAACTCGCAAACCTTCGGATTGCGAGCGCATCGCTCTACCGCTGAACAACGAGGCTGGATTCCCCCGTACACATTCATACATGGAAACACATGTATACATTTCCCTTATTAAACAACAACTTGGCTTGATCAATGTCAGCCTACCTTTGTTGGCGGTTGCAGTTTAGTTCACTTGCCGTTGTTCTCTCCTGCAGTTCAGAATTAGGCATTCACAAATGTCCACATTAAAAAAATATATATTAGAGAAGCAACCATTACCCCCTTGCATAACTCAACAGATCAAATAAATCCAGCAACACCTACCGAGAAAAAAAAAGAGGTCTCGCCTTGCAAGCCTTGAAGCATTCAGAGTCGAGGAGCGTTTCGAAGTGACCGCGATGGAACGTACATCAAAGTACATCTCTTAAAGCTCACTTGCTTTGCTCGCCCGCGGTTACAAATTGTGGCCGTCCCTGTGTTCTAAGACATTCCCAGCGCTGCTTTATACACCCTGCGTGCTCAATTGTATATTCACGAAAAGGAGGAGCGTCTGTGCATGAGATATTTCCGCATACCTTGGCTTCTGTTCCCGACCCATGTGACGCCTCTCGTTCGAACACAACAACCTTTCAAGGTAAAACATAACGATTTACGTAACAGGTATTATTGTCCCCCTTTCAGGCCATTGTAGATGTACGAAAGGCGAGAAGCCGGATTTTCTGAAGCACCCAATGAACGTTACCTACGCAGCTATATTCACTGCTGGATGAATGCTTCCCCGCGCTACTGCCACCTCTCACGGTCTCGAGATTTGGCGATACACGTTGCCTCCTGCATCACATTTACCGGTGGTTGTCCTCTCAGGCGGGGTTCCCTCCTTGGGTTTCAAGTCCACGGGCTATCTCGACCGTCAGCCGTCATCCCTTCGAGATAAGTTTCCAGTGCCCAAGCCCACCTCTCTCGTTTAATTTCGCCTTTCCAAAAACAGCAGGGTGCAGAGACGCGCGGAACCAGGGTATGTGCACGGCATCCCAGATGCTACCATCACAAACAGGCACAGCAACAATGAAGAGCCCCTGAGTTATGACCGAGGAAACGACGGGAAGACGATTAAAATGAGGAAATGGGAAGAACAGAAAAGAGAAAGATAAGGTTGAAGGAATAGGCCCTCTTTTTTCTTAACAGCAAATGGGATCTTGATTTAAAGCTTTTGTGACTGCAGGGATTCATATGATTGGTTCTTTCGGTAAAGTCACGTAGAAGGGAAATAATAAAATAATATAAAACAATTAAAATTATCACGACGTTTCGACTGCAACACCAGCAATCATCATCAGGTGTGAAATCCACAGAAAGCATACTGTCGATTTCACACATGATGATGATTGCTTGTGTTGCAGTCGAAACGCCGTGAGAATTTTTATTGTTTTATATTATTTTAAACTTTCCCTTCTACGTGACTTTACCGAAAGAACCAAGAATATAGCGAATGGGATGTCTCAAATGCGCACGGTCTTTGATCCGTGTGCTTCCTTATCGTGTCTCGGTAGAACTCCAATCCTGTGCCTCTCCACGCTTTATTCAGAAGCGTGTCATGCGCATCTTCGAAATTGAAATGTGTTTCAGAGTTTCTGTATTTTAACTTCTGGATTCTATATCGATTGCACCATCAGTGTCGTGCCATGGGATTAACAATATACTCGCTACCCTTAGGTTTTTTTCTGTAAAGTCACGTAGGTAAAAAATTAAATAATAACAAATGAAAATACATCATTGCAGTCACGAAAGCTTCAAATCTAGAAATACTCGCTCCTCTCACAGAGCAATGTATGCATTGTTAACTTCTTTCGCACCGTACGTAGCCAACTGTGCTAATCGAAGATGCGTGGGAAGGACAGCAAACTGAACACAAAAATGCAATTCTAAATAAATTCGGTTTCAATCGAGATGATTTTAAAGTGCATAGCTCCCGTGGCTTCCGAATATCGGAAGAACGTTCCAGACGGCCGCAGAAACGCGGATTGCAGTGGCCGTCTTTGTTCGATGGCCAGCCAAACGCCGCTGCGAGGATGACCTGGAGTTCATGTGATGCTTTGTGCTCCTTGACGAGATCAGCAAGGTATGGTGGGTTCACCTGTGGCAAGCACTTTGCGTGTAATGAGTGTGACCTTGGAATCAGCTCGTTCGGCAATCGAAAGTCAAATGCAGCTCGCCGTGAAATGCCACCCCCCCCCCCAACTCGCACGGAGCCGCGTAAGTGGACGTCAGGGGATGACTTTGAGTGACCTCTGATGCACAACACATTATAATAAAAATATTGTTTTATATTTTTATTATTTTATTGTTTCGCTTCTACGTGACTTTACCGAAAGAACCAAGAATATGAATCCCTGCAGTCACGAAAGCTTTAAAACAATATAACATGATACACGGCAGCACTCGACCAACCACATTGATAAATAGCGCAGCTCACCACTGATGATTTTTGTCTGTCAATCAAAACTCAGTGCACTTGAGAATCCGGTTTAATCACAGTCGGCTTACCAGGCATTGCGCGATGCCAGCGCCCTGGGCGATCTCGCAAATCTTCTAACTTAAGTCAGTTTGTGTATCAACATAGGGCTTTTATGGGATTGTTTTGTGACTCATTGCTAAAAATACAGGGTGCTTCAAAAGAACGTTAACACTTACATGGGACTATCCTTTTTAATGGAAAAATACTACACTGTAACATGATAATAAATGTATGTTAATCGCTTCAAAAAGTCTCCATTTGTTCGCCATCATTGTCAACAAACGCCGAGAGTCTTCTCCAGGTGATATCCAGAGGCCGGAGGCACATTTCTTGTGGTGTTGTTGCAAATTCTCAGACGTCTTTAAAACAATTTGAAGCACCCTGTACATCCTTCCATGTCAATTTCCTTCGCATTGTTCATTGCTTTTCAGGGCACCAGTGGTGAGTGGCTTCAAGTGATCCAATGCAGCCGTCGTGACAATTCATCGAATCGCCGGGGCAAGGCAGTCGATTCTAGGATAATTCGTTGTTTTTTCAGCATGGTGGTTTCATCTTGATTTGAAGCTTTCGTGACTGCAGGAATCCATACTCTTTGGTTCTTTCGGTAAAGTCACGTAGTTAGAAATAAAATCAAATAAAACAAATCACAACGTTTCGATCGCTTGTGTTGCGATTGAAACGTCGTGATTCGTTTTATTTGATTTGATTTCTAACTACGTGACTTTACCGAAAGAACCAAAGAGCATGGTGGTTTAATTTAACACGTTGGCTTTCGCGACCAATATTCGAGTTGCAGATTTATTTTAATGTGGTGAGGTGTGGTATAATCAAACAACCCTCAAATACGGTGCTAATTCTCCAACACACCGGTGTGCTGTACTAGTAACGAATTGGCATGTTTAGTTTACGTGACAAACCTTACTAATTGGCTGTGTCGGGTGGTGCGGGTTTATCGACACATTTATATTTAAGCGATCTAACCAACAACCCCCCCCCCTATATTTTGGTGGTTTAAACCACGATGTTCAACACAAAGCTAGGTTTGTAATCTGAGCAAGTGACCGCTTCATGGGAAAAAAACCCCACATATTTACAGTAATTAGAAAACCTCGTACAAACAAAAGCGCCGTGGGTCTTTATGCATTATGTATGCCATGACTGTATTTGTCACATTCCACTTCTGCAGGCGATGATCGAAATGTCTGTATGTCATTGATGCATGGTTGAACACAAGCGACGCCCAAGGATTGCCCTTTCAGTCGTCTTGCCATGTGTCACACGAGTGCGTAACTACGGAGAAAGAAATGTCTCTCAGCTTCTTTGGTTCTTGTCAGGAAGAAGCACTCCCTTCGTGAGTCTGAACAAGCAGTAATTGACCCATTACGGTATTTACAAAGCAATACACGTACAACCCCAACTAACAGCAGATATTTAAAAAAAATGTCTCTCTCATAAATGTTTCTTGACTTTTAAAAACGGTCATCTTTACACAATACATCTTTACACAATACATCTTACACAATACATCTTTACACAATACATCTTTACACAATACATTGCTCCCACAGCTTTTCCCGGGAGTGATTAATTTCACTGTGAATGAAGAGAATAATCAGCGTCGTTATATATAAACAACAGAATATATAAACAAAGTGTTCATTATGACACTTCATTAATCCCATTGCTTTTGGTAGGGATCATTTCAGCAGCATTAATGCAGTACAAGCAAAGTATGGAGCAGTTATAACAGTGTCTCATCAGCAAGTGGGCAGACGCAGCACATTCGAATCTGAATATTTACACTGGAGGAATCCGATGAGCTATGAAGCTCTTGTTTGAAGATGTCCAGTAGGGGCGGGTCAGAACGTTACAACTTGGGGCAGGTCAGAACTTTACAGCATCATATTAAATAGCCCTCTGTATGTAGTGTAATTTCAGAAACGAACGTCAAAGGTATGAAAACAGTTTTTTTGATAAGTGAACTGAATGGGTGGATACAATGTACTTGAACAAAGGTGTGACTATGATTTACAAATACCTGATCTTGTGTTGGAATCATCCAAACGTGCCATACGATATTGGAACCAGCAGGTACCGTCTAATTTTTCACTATTTTAATTGAATACAGTTCTTTAATTGCTCGATATTTGTAACAATACAATTTTTTTATATATATATAAAGGGCGGATGGATTTTGTAATGATTAAATGCATGGCTATGACAGAGAAACTAAACTTTTTATTTTACCAGGTAAGGCCCAGTGAGCGATATCGCTCGTTTTCGACCTGGCTATCACAAATGATAGCTCAACGAAGTTGGGCTTATCACGTGGCAATTCATAGCAGCCATATACTCTAAACGCGTGATGTTGATTCTAAATGTGGAGGAAGAAAACCGGAGGACCTTGAGAAAAACCTACACGGCCACGGGGGGAGAGAGGAACGCAAACTCCAAATACACAGGCATCAGGGTCGGGATCGAACCCACAACCTTATGCATACCAAGCAACGGAGTTACCATCTCGACAAAGTGAACTTGACTCGAGACATCAGAATTGTATAGATCCAGTTTGTATCCATATGGTCTCATATCTAAAGATTGGAGAACAGTTTTATCAGAGCGTAACAGAGTGTGTACGGCAGGCATCTCATCATGCTTCAAACACCAGGTCCGTAGACGTATCAACATGATAGCACTATGGGGACCTCATTTGCCAGTAAAAATATGATAATTGGTTCTTTACCCTTCTATCTGGCAACAAAACTGACACCTTTTTGCAAGGAGTCATGTTTGCATAGACCGCAATACCTGCAGTCATAATACAAACAAAAGAACATAACTCTGATAATGTGCACTGTCCCTGCCTTTTGGCGACTAGGCTCGAAGGAAAGCTGTCTCGGGTGTGGACCAATCAACTTCAAGGACAGTGCACATTATCAGAGTTATGTCTTTTGTTTGTATTTATGACTGCAGGTATTGCGGTCTATGCAAACATGACTCCTTGCAAAAAGGTGTCAGTTTTGTTGCCAGATAGAAGGGTAAAGAACCAATTAACAACATGATAGCAATCACTAAGTGAGTGTTGTAAAGCTCAAGGTCGTTAATCAATTTGGAATGATATGCAAATATTTACACGATCATCATGCGAATTGATCATAGTGTAAATTAAATATTGCACAGCCTTGTTCTAATTTCAGAGCTGGACAAAGCCCTGCCTCGTGGCTCGTGACAATCCGGTGATGGGGGATTGTCAACACTGGTTGGTGGAGCAGGAACCAGGAGCGATTGAGGTCACTCGCTCACAACATTACGAACCTCGGGTGATCGGCTTTACAGCAGCGCACTAACGACTACGCCTACTGCCAGTTGCATCGTAAAGAATTGGAACAGAAACGTTAGCAACAAAACAAAGTTCACGTGTGTTAAAACTTGAAAGGGTTCTTGTCTGAACCGTGGAGCTGTTTTGAATTTGCCAGCAATACACCGCGCACGCTTTATTTTTTTTACATTTAAGTTCTCAGCATGTGGAAATCCTCGTGAAGCTCAAAGAATAAAAACAATCCGTGTGAATGCATGAGCCGAAGGCAAACCGTGCTGCAAGAACAAAAACTGGATTCTATTCACACACTGCAAATATAAAAAAAACAAATGTCTGCAGTGCTGTATTACATTTCGGTCTTTTTTTGTATTCTGCATATCTCCTTGCACGTGTAGAGGTTACGCCGTTACACACGTATCCACAATCACGTAAAAAATATTCAAATGAGTGGGGAAATACAGATGGAAACGTTTGCTGAATGCGAGCATGTAGAGACACGAGTGTTTGTACAGCTTTTGTGCAACACATTCCAGTTTTACAAGTTGGGCTAGTTTGAGGCAGGATTCAGAACAAAAAAGAAAAAAAATTAACGATTGTCAACAATCTTAACCTTGGCGAATGCAAATTCGCCTGAAATGGAAATCCCCAACGGGAAATAGCTAATGGCTTTATTAATTATTTATCGCAACTGTCAGTTTGATGATCTGACAAACGTGTCCCATGGGGACAAAAATGGGAAAGAATGAAGCAGAGCACACACCAAGCATTCCGTTTTTACACTTTAATATCACATTTCATTGAACAGAAACACGTGCACACCATGCAAAACCAATTCATGTACGAAGAAACATACATTGTATGACTTTCACAATAAAAGGGTTTGCGAAGGTAAAGCGGACTTAATGTGCGCTCCTATACTTTATTGCGTTGTTGTTCGGCATGGTATCCGAAAGTCATACGTTTACCATCACGTGGGAACTGCAGATCCTGGAGAAGCTCCCAAACACGAGGTGCAAAACATCGGTCACTCTGGCGAACACGGATTGTGTTGCCTGAAAGCACATCGGTGAGCTACACAGCAGAACTGCGAACATTCGATGCATCTTTAAAACGAAAACCCTGGCACATTTTAATAAAATACAAACTTTTTATTTTATTTTGTTTTACCCTGGAGACCTCTTGCAATTTAGGATGTTCTATTTCAAGGGGTTATAAAGAGTCAATATTTTGATAAAAAATAAAGTAGCCAAATTAGTTTTCTCCAATTTTTTACTTAAGTGCCAACAAGGCAACACATTGGCTACTAAGCTCCTAAAAAGACACAATATAACATATTCTTGGTTCTTTCGGTAGTCACGTAGAAGCGAAACAATAAAATAATAAAAATATAAAACAATATTTTTATTATTATTTTATTGTTTCCCTTCTACGTGACTTTACCGAAAGAACCAAGAATATGAATCCCTGCAGCCACGAAAGCTTTAAAACAATATAACATGTTAATAATGTCAAGGTGTTCTTGTTGAAATAATTACATCTGACAAAGAATATAAGCATTTCATGAATCTTACTTCCAGGTGAATATTACAGTCAATAAAAACTGCGGCAGGAACACAAGCTTGGTGTTTATTAAACATTCCTTTCAGGCAGCGGTCCTGTCCAGCGAGAAGATAGAATAACACTGGTCAACAAAAAAAACATTTTTTTCTGGTCTGGACTTTTGCAGCTGTTTTAGACTAATTTCAGGGTGCTGATTCTAAATCTGAATTCAGATTTGCTCTATCACATCATTTTTATGCTATCGGCATACCCCATTTTCATTGATTTTCCCCGAAATTAACTCTGTCACTTATGATTGCAAGTTGTTGCGAGTTAAAATATGGTGCTGTATTTTTAGGATAGTGTGTTTATAATATAATTTTATGTAGATATCCACATTTATTTAATATTTTTCTTCTGTAGTTTTTATTGAAAATGCAATATTAGAGATCTCAAAAACCTGATGTGATAGACAAAAAACTGATGCCAGATTTAGAATCAGCACCCCAAAATTACCTTAAAACCATTGGAATACCTTTTGCCAGAAAAAGTGTGTTGACCAGCGTAATCGAGGGAGAAACATAAGCTGCTGCTGCTCCCCATTCCACTCCTGCAGACACTGCCAGCATGCGGAGCGAAACGTCGGGCAACACGGTACAACCCGAAAACACATCGGAGCTACGCTAACATGTCACCAGAGTAATTTGCTGCAAACCACAACAGTTCAATGTCAACACTGTCGCCTACCATCTCTGCACAATTTAAATCACGTGAAGAGAATCGAAATATTTTTCCCAGGAATTGAAGCTCTCCGTTGAGAGAGATATTGAATCATGAAAAGAGTATCCGCCGATATCAGTGGACTGAGGAAACAGTGTTCCTCTGCTTAAAGAAATATTCGACTTTTGAAGTTTAGATGCAGGCCCGATTGAAGCAGAAAGCCCACGTTCTGGACTGGATAACCCTAGCTCCTCAAGAACGTCTTCAATTAGATTTTCTTCGTACTGCTGGGAAGGTATTTTAGTAAAGCCAGTGGCATCGGAGTTGCATTTAAATGATTCAGAAAATAAATGGTCAGGTGATGTTTCTGAGGATGATTCATCGAGTAATACCTCAAAAAGCACCTTGGGGTCTTTAAGCAAAACTTTAGGAATCAGCTCTGTGTCTTGGGAGCCACAATCGGAACTCCAAGTTGGTTTGTCATCATAGTCAGGGCTATTTGGAGAAAATGTGTGCAGCATGGTCTGCATGTTGACATTTTGCTTGGCCAAAGCAAGGTCATAGTCATCATGAATGAACATTTGAGAACTATTTACTTGGATGAAGCAATTTTGTCTTGTTAGACTCGACGTATTTTTCTCTTTGGCCACAAAACAGCCACAGAAACTGTCCATTAAATGGGAATGCAGTTCTTGGTCTCCAAGTTGGAAAGAATTTGACCCTTGTAATTGTTTTAAAGATCCCTCATAGTTCACACAATGCTTGGCCTCAGAGCCCACAAGTGCATGCGGGCTTGAGTATTGGTCTTGGAGATTTGACACGCCTTCAAGATATTGAATGAAACCATCAACTTGCAGATTGTTCAATGTCATATCATTATCGGTGTCCAGCTCAACTGATGTGCTCCCCATATCTGGAGATGAGGTGGTCGGTATGGAATCTTCTTCTTCTGTTTTACCAGATGAACCTCTTGCGTTATCTTCAGTGTCTTGGCCCAAAGACGTATCAACATCTCCAAACAGATCCATATCCAGCTCATCCAGGAGACCAAACAGATCACCGCACTGGAAAGGAGATTAAGCACGGTTTAGGGTGTTCCAAAGAATAAACTTGCATGACAATTCTAGATTTGAAGCTTTCGTGACTGCAAGGATTCATACTCTTAGGTTTTTTCGGTAAAGTCACATAGGTAAAAAAGAAAATTAAAATGAATAAAAGTAATAGAAATAAAAAAGTAAATCATTATTATTTTTTATTATTTTATTTCTATTATTACTTTTATTAATTTTAATTTGATTTTTTAACTACGTGACTTTGCATGACAATATAAAATCTACACGAAATGTAAAAATAATGTGTACATAACTGTAGCAAATTTAAAAGCAACAATTTATGAAAAAAGTGTTTCTTTCAATACATTAAATTATACAGTAGAACCTCGGAGATCGAACGCACCAGAACTCGAACAAATCGGTGTTCGAATGACATTTCCAAACATTTGTTGCCCCGGAAACCGAACGAAATTCGGAGGTCGAACGGGCAATCGCGACTTGAAAGAACCTGTACGGCTGAGACGCGTATGGCCAGCATGCATGACGCTTGCCCAGACAAAGGTTTTGCCATGTGAGAGGCTCAGTTAACACGTAGCTGTCACCCAGTGCAGACCCGCAAAACATCATTCCTTAACTTTTTCGTTAATTTCCTTTATTTTAGTGTTTTTTGGTGTTCATCCATACACAATGTCTCCTAAGAAGGTTAGTGGTAGTGATAAGCCAATGATAATGCAATGTGTCATTTTCGAAATAGCCTAAAACAGAGGCAAAAACAAACCTCTTTAGATACGTTTTTAGTCAGAAAGAGCTCAAGTGACTCACAGTTAGTGGCAGAAGAGAGGCACAAAAGAGAAAGAACCCCAGAAGGGCAGTTACCGGACGTTATGGAAGGGGACTCCCCTTCCAAACAATAACACCACCACCACATCCTCCTCCTCACCACCGTCCACTCAAGCCATCAACTCTCCTTACTACAGGTAAAGTGAAGTTCACGGTTCATTTATTTCATATATTTATTCATTGATTCCATTTATTTATTGTTTCTTGTTTTTTTGTATGCTTTTATGCATGTAATTACTGTAAACTTCGTGTAAAAATGCTTTATGAGAGATTTCTTGTGTCTGGAACCAATTAATATAATTTACATCAATTCTTATTGGGAAAATTTATTCGGTGTTCGAACAAATCGGTGTTCGAATGGCCTTCTGGAACGAATTAAGTTCGATCTCCTGGGTACCACTGTATTTACGAAAAATATTTGAACTCCTTTTAAAGGCATTGGGCTGTTAAATAAGGATGTCTGCCGAGACAAATTTATACGGATAAAGATGGAGAGCTACTTGGTAGGCAGCACATGTATGCTCCACACCTTCATCAACGGACATGGACCATACCCACGTGGTGCAGTGTGATGCATGTACGTATGTGTATGTATGATGGTCACCCGGGTGGCTAAAGCACAGCAAGTTGGCACAGTAGGGGGCAGAGGTGGTGCATCAGCCAGTCATCTCGGTCATCTCAGTCAGTCGACCCGTGGCACCTGGGTCTGCCCCGTGACCTCCTGCCAGCGGGCGTTCGACACTTCACGTGACCTCAAGGTGCACATGGCCTGGCACAAGCGTCATGGTGACGTCACCGCCACTTAGTGGCGAATGGTGGTTGTTGTTGTATGATGGTCAAATAGCCTGCACTGCACGGGGAGGTCCTCATGCAACAGTAGACTGACACTGTCAAAGGTACACAACCGCTTGAGGACATTTATGCGAACCTCCACATAAATCAACGAGCTTTACCTTGGGGTGCGCAGAGCTGTCGACAGCACCGCAAAAGTGAGGACGACGAGTTGTGATGGTGGCCGGGTCAGCACCCACTGCTGAGGTACAGCTCCCCTGAGCACTGCTGACTCGGAGGACCCGGCCACCACACTGTGGTCGTCCAAACACTTGTCTTGCGCTGCCTGATGCAACAAACAAAAATGCAGGGAAATGTATGTTTTTTAAATAATCCTTTAAAGTGTCAAATACACTGCCGTGTGGAGCGTGAACAAATTCACACCTCCTGTTCCTGGAAGACGTCCTTGGAGAGTCTACGCCGGAGTTCCAGGTTCTGATGGGCAAGGTTCAGAGATTGCGCTTTCAGAGCCCGGTTTTTCTCCACCAATAACCGATTCTGAAAAAAAAAGATATTTCATCGTTAAGGATACGGTCTCATTTTCCAAAGGCAGAAAATAATAAAATTATCTACATAGAAGGATGGACAGTCAAGAATTGCAACAGTGGCAGCCAAACAGAATGAAGTGCAATCAAGTGGGCGTTCACCGAGGACATGGAACAGGCGTGTCGGTGCAAGTGCTTGGAGAGGCCTTCTTCATCCAGCAGTGGATTGGCTGTGGCTGATGATATATACTTGAAAGTCTGGTTTCGTGTTTAAAACCTTGGCAATAACCTTGATATGGCACTTAAAATGCCTCGGCAACTCAAAGAGTGCTTTACGTCTAGGGCACCCCACCTCGTGGAAGCTATCACTTGTGCGGTACAAGGCGGGAGCACTTAGCCTGCAAGTGGTACATTATTCTGCCAGGCAAGTTCGATTTGTTAACCTAAGGCGAGAACATGAAGAAATATACTCTTTGGTTCTTTCGGTTAAGTCACAGGTAGAAAAAAGAATAGATCACGACGTTTCGATCGCAACGCAAACAATCGTCATCAGGCGGAAGAAAAATGACGATTGCTTGCGTTGCGATCGAAACGTCGTGATCTATTATTTTTTCGACCTACGTGACTTTACCCAAAGAACCAAAGAGTATGGATTTCTGCAGTCACGAAAGCTTCAAATCAAGATTGAACATGAAGAAAGTCTGATTCGCAAGTGTGGCCCTCCTGGGTCACCAAAACGACAAAGGAAAAACAAATGAATTAAAGTAAATGATGCGAATATAAAACAAAGGAAAAACAACGGTCACATGACAAATCGAAAATAACGCACAAAAATAAGTCAACATAAAAAATGCATTTCACGTAACGAAAGTCGGCTCGGGCAGATTATTTTTAAACTGATCAGAGTACAGTACAGTTACTAAAAAAATATTAAACTGATATGGGGTGACTCAGTTACCAAAATGTAAGCAGACAAGGTTACATGTCCAAAGCCAGTATGGGGCGATGATTTCAATAGGAATTCTAACAAGTCTTCACGAGCCGATTTAACGCTACACAATAACATGTTTCAAGCCCCAAAGGTTGCATCAAAGCAACAACACACTTAGCGTGATAGTTTGTGCATAATAAATTATTGTTATGGTTTATAAAACTATTATCTTGAGCTTGCAACATTTACAAATGCGGAAATGTGCAGTGGGCATCTGCCCACGAATAGTGATAATTGTAACGTAAATTTACGCGATCTAACTCTAAAATCTCTATTATGGATGATATTGGTCGCGAAAGCCTAACGTGTTAAAATGATTGTAAAATTTGTACCTTTGCGCGCAACTCCTCGGCTTTCTTCTCGAGGTCGCACATGAGTGCCATCTTGCGATCCCGGGCAGACTGTGCTGCCACACGATTCTTCAGCTTCCTATCAAGCACAAAAAGAAAGACAAAGATCCCCCCCCGTATAGCTTGACCAGACTGTTGGGGCAAGTGCTGTTAGCGAGTAACCACCTATGAAGGCCGGCACGGCACACGAGGGGGGTGGGGTGACCAGTATCACGCCCGGCCGCCTTTGTCTCCCCAGTGGTGATGTTTACACACCGCACCAGGTACTCAATTGGAGGCTGAGGCGATCTAGGGGAGGAGGAGACCCAGAACAGGTTCAGATAATCGTCACTGGTGTTGGTCGTGAGCTGGAATCAAACTCGGGTTACCATACCAGGTTCGTAGCGCAGCGCGCTTACCGCTACACTACCGCTCACCAACACGGAGGCAGTCACACACACACCAAAGCACATCAGCACATTTGCTACCAATCCCACTACAGGATCCTGTTCGGAAGCGGTTTTTTTCTCTCTCTCAACATTATTTACAGATTCCATCTTAACAATTCAGCGTTATACATTCAAGACAAGTTAGTTTCCATTGATTGAAGCTGAAGTTAATGGGGCTCTGGGAAAGAGGCTGAGTCGTGACATTAGTAAACGGTTGCACTAAATATTTGTGACCAAAATGGTTACAAACATTGTTGAATTGTCAGGTGGCCCAATAAGCTACTTCCCAGGGATCATCATTACATCTCTATCACGAGCCGAAAGTATAGAAATCCCAGATTTCCGCCACCTGAAAACCTGTTTCGCCTGTGAAGCTTAGTCTGACGATTTCACAGCCCATTTCATCAATCGTGTATGTTGAACTTCTTTCGCACAACACGTCACTGAAGGCACAGAAACGCAGTTTAATTGAACGTCGAACCTTACGCAATCCCAGTCTTGCTTCTATAGAACTCGCCTTTTGCCCGTTCAAGGACGGGTTGTATTGCAGTAAATCTGAAACTTGCAAGCGCCAAGCAGACCACCACGTGATATATTCATTGCATCAATTCGTGTGCAATTTGTAAGGGCGCGGTGACATAGACCTATTTCATTTTAAGGTTATAATCACTTGTTCATCATGACGTCCTTTTTACTTCGATGTCTCAACAGCGTGACGGAGATCACGTGACGTGAGGGTTCTGCCTTTGTAGTGAGGGTTGTGAGTTGACGCCGAGGAGGGGGGAGGAGGCGCCTCACCCCCCATGTGGAGTGACGTCACCCGCTAATTATTATGAATTGAAGGACGTCACGTGCTCATGAATATTAATGAGGGGGCTGGTCGCCGTGGAGTGACGCCACGAGCGTTAAGGACATTCCTGGGTGATTCTAGGAGGTACAAGACAAAATTAAAGGCGCCTTCTATGACATATATTAAAATACCAATGCAGCCACTGCCAGACGCGAAACAAAAAAGCGAACCAACTATAACATTTCGATTTAAAGCTTTCGTGACTGCAGGGATTCATATTCTTGGTTCTTTCGGTAGTCACGTAGAAGGGAAATAATAAAATACAAATATAAAACAATAAAATTATCACGACGTGTCGATGGCAACACAAGCAATCATCATCAGGTGTGAAAACCACAGCAAGAACATTTTCTTGCTGTTTTTTGCTGTGGTTTTCACACCTGGTGATGATTGCTTGTGTTGCAATCGACACGTCGTGAGAATTTTATCGTTTTATTTTTATCATTTTATTATTTCCCTTCTACGTGACTTTACCGAAAGAACCAACGAGAACATCTTAAATGCCCTCTACCCCCCGTCCACCACACAACACCACCTCCTGCCCACACCGTGGCACGCACAAGCTGCGTGGAAGAGGTGCCAGGGGACCCCCCTCTCTCCATACCTTCTCGACACTTTCTCCCCGCAAAAAGGTGCCAGGGGACCCCCCTCTCTCCATACCTTCTCGACACTTTCTCCTCCGTGGAAGAGGTGCCAGGGGACCCCCCACTCGCCATACCTTCTCGACACTTTCTCCTCGGTAGAAAGGTGCACGAGGCGTTGCCGCTTCCTCGGCGGAGACGTCCGTGGCCCTCCAGCAGCCAGAGACGACGACGACGGCGGTGGCGGCGGCGTTGTCGTGTGGCAAGGAAGATTCTGCCACGGTGGCACCCGGGATACGTCGGCGTGGGAAGACGCGGACACCTGCGATGGTGGAAGGGCCCGTGATGGGACGACCTGCGACGGGGTGGCGGCCTCGGGAGGGAGGAGGAGGCGGCCCTGGGACGTTGACCCCGGGGCCCCGCACCGAGACCCCCGTCCGCCCTCGGGGTCCGCGGGTATTGAGGCCATCGCGCGCGGCGGGGCCCGAGGAGAAGCGAGAGACACCAACGCAGCCGATTAGAACTTCATCGACCGCAGCGTTCTAAACGGCAAAGGCCGCACGCACACGCACGCGCGGGCTCGCAAACATCTCGAGCACGACGACATCGAGACCGAGGTTCGGGCCCCCTTCAGACCCAGCGAGCCGAGCCCAACCGGAGATGCATCGGCCGTGGGAGAGGGCAGTGGTGGTGGTGGGAGGTCACACTTTTTGTTTTGTTATCAATTTAAATTCTGCCCCGGGGGCGCAACGTGAGTGCTGGCGCGAGGCGCTCAGCTGCGCGAGCTGCGTTGTTTGGTGCCCCCAGGGCGACTTTCGCTTTGAGAACCGCGGGGGTGTTTGACGATCGATGGCGGATCGCCAACTCGACACTCTCCTATTGGTGGATCGCCAACTCGGCCCTCTCCTCCTATTGGTGGATCGCCAACTCGGCCCTCTCCTCCTATTGGTGGACGCGGCGGTGATTGACAGCGAAGGTGGGGGGGGGGGGTGACCAAAGTGGGGCGTTGACAAACTCCACCCCGCCCCCTTTCCCCCCCATCATCACCCCCACCCACCCCCACGCTGGCGATTCTCTCGATTCGCACGATTCCCTGTTGCTTCTGGATTCAGTAATCGATTCTCTACTTTGCAGGACCCAGATTCGGAATATTTTTTTTATTTTCTAGAGGAATCCGATGGGCTGTAAAGCTCTTTGTCACAGACGTGCAGTCGTTTCACAGATGTCTAGTCGGCCCAACGTGGGGTTGTCCGTAGGAATCCGATCTCCCCACCACTGCCAAAATAAATAAGCAGATGATTTTCCCCCTTAAATGTCCCTAATTATTCAGCAGCACTGGTTCAGGTCAAGCAAACCCGAGGCCGGTTTGCACATTCAAAGTCTTGCTTGGATCAAGGCGGACGAACCACCCGAAGACGTTAATAGCAAGGACCCTCCGTGAAAAAAAGAGCTTTACAGCTCCTCGGATTTTTCCAGTGTAAAAAACTATTCTGATATTCTTTGGGCTTTACCGCTGGCCACACTGAATAGGCGAAGTGCCGTGGTCTTGCCTCGCCTCACTTCTCTCTGTCCCACACCGCCCTCTTACGCTCCCAATCTCGACGGTCTCTCTCCCTGTGTCCCCCTCGCCCTGCGCCCAGTCTCGCTGTCGTTCCCTTTTCCCATTCTTGCTCCCCTTCAACTTGAACAAACTCCCACCGCATATAAAACAATCATCTCCACAGGACCTGTTTCAGTTCCTCCCTTAGAACGCCTCCCGTCGATTTGGAGTTTGTGTGTCTTTCTCTCTCTCTTTCTCCCCCGTGCATTTCTTCTCAGGCTTCTCCGGGGGTTTTCCCACTCCACATTTAGAATCAACATCACGCGTTTAGAGTATCTGGCTGCTATACATGTCCACGTGATAAGCCACTTCGTTGAGCCATCATTTGTGGCCAGGTCACTTCTGAAAAACACTTTCCTTCGGAGTGGGCAGGTAGGAACTTGGTTGGACAGCGCATTCGTGCACGACAGACAGACAAATAATCCCTGGTGGGCAGTGTGGAACCTGTTGTTCCTATACCTGTAAAAGAGTCCTACAGCTCAGTGGGGCTTGCCTGGTAAAATAATAGTTGGCTGTGTCTGGTGGTGTCGGGTTTAAACGACACATTTAGATATTTACAAGATTTAACCCAAAAACCTCTATTATGGATGATATTGGTCGCGAAAGCCTACGTGTTAAACCAATTAAAAAATTGTTATGTTAAAAAATCATCTTTTCTCCCATGCCCTCCCGAGCTTCGACCGGGCTTACCCCAACCCCCCCATCACCACAACTATACACCACCACTCCTAATAACCTCACTCCGTATTTTAACCACCGTCATCTTACGTACAATTGTATCATTATATGGAGCCATGTGCCCCGTGCAGTGGCGGCTCCTGCAAAATCTCTCAGGGGGGGCAAATGTCTGGATGATTGATAAGGATAAGGTCCACCCATGCAATGGATAAATTAACAGCTTAAGCATGTAAAGGCAACTTCACTTATTTAATATTAATGAAAAATAAAGTGACTCTTACAATACATCTTGTTTGTTTCTATACTCACTATTAAAACAAACCACTCAAGTTTATTTTATTAAAGATTCCACTAGGTCGCGATAAATTATATTGTTGGATGAAACGTGCTTACGTATGATGACGTTAGCACGTATGATGACGTAAGCACGTTAGTGCGAGCCCTCCCGGAAGCCATAGAGAATGCATTGGAGCGCCCGCCGTTCGAAAAAAAACATCTTTGAATGTTAGTCTATGGGGCCACTCGGGGCGATTCTCAGCCGGAGTGAAATCGCCCAAAAAGAGGCGGTACTCCACAGAACGTGATATGACGCTGATTGGACTATATCCAGAGGCTGCAGTGACGGCTAGCGTGACTCTGTGGTTGAATGACATTGGTGGTGCGTCGCCCAATCGCCCTAATGAAGAAACCGCCCCTGGCCCCGTGGCTATCATGGCAATAAATTGTAACACAATAAACAAGCGGGCGATACGCCTCCTATCTTATATCTGTCACGCCACATACATTTCTTTTTTTGCACATCCCATTAGTCAAACGGCCTTCTGGGAGTGACATTTTCAGCAGCATTAATTCAAATACAATTCAAACTCCAGACCTTTTTGAAGTTCAAAGTCTCGTCAGGCTTGCTAAAACCAATGATGGCAAATTTCCAGTGTTCATAGGCAAAGACCTTCTGCATTGGATATGGGCCCAAAGTCAATGAATAATTAGCATATTTTTTTACCACAATGACGCTCATCATTACTTTGTGCAATAATTGCAGTCCACCACAATGGACATGATCCATGAGGATATGGTGATAAAATTCCCTGAATGGAGCTCTCCTGCTATAACTAGCTTGCCAGGGTCATCATCCATCGACTGATAAACCATAAAAAGTTGCAAAGATTAGCACACTGCAATTGTGCAATCCAGAGGTAGCCGGTTCGATCTCCTGGCGCGGCAACTGAAATAACGGGGATAGTTTCTTAAATCCCTGGACCTCTCGTCTACCCAGTAGTAACACATTGTCCTGCGGAGGGAGCTGGTAGGAACGTCCGGGTTGCTCGGTCAATGGCCTGCAGGGTCAACGGCGGCGTGGTGTATTCCGCAAATATGCCCGACTGTGAGGGCGGGCACAAGCCGGCGTGAGTAGGTTAAACGTTGAGTTTTATAAGGGCACTACGGGGTGACCAGCCCCTTCCCAACCTGCCCCACCCCTCCCACCCCCTACCCAGCCCCATCTTCCCCACCTAGCCCCTCCCCACCCTCCCCTCCCTGCACGATGGACGGACACAATAATCCCCTGTGGGCTGGTGTAACCAGGAGGTTCCGACCAGTAATAGATACACCAACAGCCAAGTTGGTAGGGTGTATCTTGGTAGGGTAAAGTGTGGGTACTCCTACCTCTTACAAGATGCGTGGCCAGAGTTGAAGTGTCGGCTCCAGATGGATTCTAAGAGCTCCCTCTAAGCAGAGAGGCGCTTCCACCAACACTGGTGCAAAACATAACATCGCAAATGATGTTTGAAGCTTTTGAAAACTGTGCGGGAAATATTTGTAACTTTATTTATGTACACGTGTTATAACAAGCATGTCAAAGTCATCCCAACATTAAACATCTACAAAGACGGCCCGAGTGCTATTACAAAGAGTAGTTCGCCAAGAAATGACATTTAATATTTGCATTCCAGTTAAGCAATTGAACCACCTAATTTCCACGTCGGCATTTGCCTTATGCTTGTTATTTTCCTTGCATGTCAATACTGAACTGCATTGCACTTTGATGCCGGATTTTATAGAAGCGGTAGAATGGTTATGAACTCAATGAAAGCATCTTCACACATTCTGCAATCACGGTTTTTTGGCGTTACTGTAGTAGCAGCATCTAACATTACGGTCCTTATCAAACGATGATTTAAAATCTGCTTTCTATGGGTAGACAGGACGGTGGGAGGTGTGCTGTCGGACACAAACTCCTGGGACAGCTCAGCACTTGCAAAGGCGAGAACTTCCATAGCAGAGGTAATTGTCATTTGTAGCACAAACGACGACCACTACTGTAACGTTTTCTGCTCAGACGAGTAGCGATTTTAGTAACCAGAATGGAGCTGTGTTAAGAGACACACAAGTTAACAAAAGCCAAGTACTATTTATTGCTCATAACGGACGTGTTATTTTTGTGTCAATAGCTTGACAGCAGGGTAAAAGAGAGTTCCCATGGAGGGAGAAACCCAGTTCATGTGCAGTGCTCGAGTTTAACACTTTTGTTTCATCAAACACACAAGTATACGTTTTATATTATACTGCACATTTATATCACTTTCATTTAACAATAAACTAAAAGTAGACCTTTAATTCTTTACAAAACAGCTTTCTTGTACCATTTCTTAAACTATCAAATGGTTATCAGGATTACTTTCAAATCCAAAACCGACTTGAACATTCCTGCCCCCAGTTTACATTTGGTCACTCGATTTTTCCAGGCACGATACTCATTTTAGACGCAACCCACACCATGATATGACTACAGCATTGAGCGCGAATGATTTTGTGTACGTCCAGAGGTTACGGTTTCAGGACAGGTTTTGTGAATCTTTGGCACGGGTATTGAACCATTACCGGCAGTACACTGCAGTGAGTTTTCTGTATTAAGATCCAAAATCACATGTTATTTTTTCTCTGAAAGACTAATTATGCAACATCTTAATGGCGGATATCGCAAAAATTGAAAATAAACGTAAATAAATATAACATTTGCATTGTATGCACAATCACACCAAATGAAAAAGGGGTTTTTTCTCCAGTGACAGGGTAAGTCTAAGATTTGGAATTGCTCATCTGTGAAGCCACACTCGGCCAGTTGGTAGCAGGTGGCCTGAAAAACCATTCATCACGTTGAATAATCTCCACCACCAAGGTCCTAATGCACAGATTCATAGCATCACATCTCTGCAACCTCAGGCACGCACACACAACTCGGGAATGGAAAAAACTAAGCTTGTCATACTTATCACACAGTACCAACCACACAGGTCATAAACAATCTTGATTTGAAGCTTTCGTGACTGCAGCAATCCATACTATTTGGTTCTTTCGGTAAAGTCACGTAGGTAGAAAAATAATAGATCACGACGTTTCGATCGCAACACACCTGATGACGGTTGCTTGTGTTGCGATCGAAACGTCGATCTATTATTTTTCTACCTACGTGACTTTACAGAAAGAACCAAGGAGTATAGGTCATACACATTACAATTTTTGCCAAATTATTGCTCAGCAGCCAGAGATCTTTACATCAAATGTGATCTTTTAAAAAATGCACCGTGTGTTATTTTCATCTTGTTTTATTTGACCAAAAACCTTTCCTTAAATGAATAGGTCACTTGTTTCAATTGATCTAGGATCCACGGGGTTAGCCGTTCAGTATTGAACTCCAATGTACACAAACAAATGCACAATGCCACATACTCATTGTATATACATATTATAAACATGACCTTGAAACCTGCAGTGTAAGTAACATAAATATTATATCATCTAAACATGTAATATTGCAAGCACAGAATAATGTCAGGTGTAGCACAAGACAAATAAATATTGTTGAGCATATCAAAGGTAGGGATTTCGTATTGTTGTTTTTGTTAACAAAATGATCAAATTGTATAGCTTATAACATTGGTTAGCAAAATATTATTATTCATGTACACAGTGTTCCACTTTTAAGTGCATACTTCGAAAATAACTCCATAGACAGCGCCATATTCCATGCTTCCAAGGTGTATGTATGTTGAACTTCTTTCGCACCGTACCTTAGATGAAAGGCTAAGCATTTGCGAACTGGACATCTTCTGGACACCTGTGAAAAAGAGCTTCATAGCTCATCGGATTCTTCCAGTCTAAATTAAAGAGGGATTCTGATTCTGGAAACCAGCACATGCAGGATTTTCAGAGACCTGCATCAGCCACTGCACCCATCTTTTTTTATTTTGTTGTTTATGAAATGCGTTTTGAGTCCTGGAATAGTAAAAAAATATACATTTCCCATAGTGTGACTTTTTTCGATGCAACGGCATCGTTAGAAGAAAAAAAAACACATTGACGAAGACAAACGGTCGTGTTCCAGCAATTGCACTTGAAGCCCTACGCATCACACAGCAGCCCAAAAAGTCTGGGCTCAAATGTTCTTCAGGAAGGAGAGGAAGAAGCCCTTGGTGTCCTGAGGAACACTTCTCGTTCGGAGAGATCCAGCAGACACTTGACGAGACTTGTCTTTGCGGTGTTGCTCCTTGAGCTGCTCACCGATGACCATCTGCATGTCATCCTGCAGAGGGCGCAACAACACAGAACAAATCGCGATTATCCCAGTACGGCTACTTCGCCAGCAGATGGCAGTGCAGCAGCAGCATCAGATGGCAGCACCCGTGGCTGTTGCATTGGCACTTACGCTCCCCGTGTGCCTTCGCAAAACGTCGCAATGATTAAATTTCGATTTAAAGCTTTTGTGACTGCAGGGATTCATCTTCTTTGTTCTTTCGGTAAAGTCACGTAAAAGGAAAAAATACAAATAAAACATAATAAAATACTATTCTCACGACGTTTCGGCCACAACGCAAGCAGCCGTCCTCAGGTGAAGAACAGGGCTGTCGGAAAGAAACGTCGTGAGAATTGTGTTTTATTATGTTTTATTTGTATTACTTTATTATTTCCCTTCTACGTGACTTTACCGAAAGAACCAAGAAGACCGCAATGATTGTCAAATAACTCCAGCAGCATATTGACAGAAGGGCTGTACACATCTAGACGTACAATGTTACGGCTGCAAATGCAATATTAACTTGTCAATAAGACACACCGGTGTCATCTGCCCTTCGAGGACCATTACCACACCTATGGACACGCAGACCAGTATGGAACACTGCACGTGAATGACGTCACCTGACTCACGATGTTTGTGACATGAACATGACATGAGCGCGTGGCCACGCACGTGGCTGCCATGGGCCCTGCCCAGTGCAAACCTGCACGACGGCTGCACATTTGAATAGAGTACTGTATTACAGATTTACATTACATGTTGCAACATTCCACCAAAGCGGATAATAAACATTAGAATCTGAAACTGTCTTTATACCGGAGGAATCCGATGAGCTAGAAAGCTCTTTCCCACAGATGTCCTTCAACGGCCAACCAAACCAGGCGTGGTATGGCAACTGCACTATTGGTTGGTCATCTCCAACAGGGCAAGGCTTGTTTTTTTTTAAATCGTCTTTGGCCCATGACTTGGAATGTGGCTGATGGTGACGTGACAGGGTGTTACAATGGGGTAAAGGTAACAGCTGGTACGGAGTCACAAACGATGCCAAACACTGAGCAACGTGTGCGGTGACGCCAAGAGCAGACCCAGGGAGTGCAATGAAAAGAGCTACGGAAGTTTGGTGTAGCAGTTGGAAATATTTATTTTTTGTTAACCAATTTAATATGATTCACAATTATTTAGATCCATTGTCGAGTATAACAGTTCAGTTAAGAGGATGACCCCGAATACAATGGATAGATGCCATCATAGATTGGATGATAATGTTATTTCCCTTTACCAATGTCGTCAAGTAACCAAAATAAGTCGAGTAAACGTTGTCTCCATGCGTCTGCGGTGATGACGCCCCCATGCGATAGAGGAGGTTACGGGTTGACTCAACCGACCTATTATAAATACTGTGCCCACGATTGCAAGAAAAATACCATGGAAATGCACGTGGGGAATTTCACAAGTACGGTGAGACACCTTGGCGGTTATTAATGAACGTATTTGAGCATGGGATGTGGAACATCTACCCACTAAAACACCACAACCGATATAATACCTGTGCCCACTCAAGGTGATGGATTATAGGCGGGCGTTAAGAGGCAAAGTGACAAGCAGGAACCTCAAGCTTGTCTAGATTGTCAGCCAGAGAAGCCAGGCTGTGAGTACCCCAAGAGAAGGGAGCTATCTCCACCACCGCCACCAGAGGGAGGGTGACAGCAGATCATTGGGAAGGGTGAGAGGAAACCAGTAATTGTGGGTAAAAAAAACACAACCAAAACACCAGATGGAAATGCTGCCTGTAAATTGAGTCTGTATAACTAATTTATTATCCCTCCCTACAATTTGAGGTATGGTTCACTTAATTAGGCAAGGGAAATTACATCGCCTAAGCAAAACAACAACAGCAACATAATTCACCGACTGTGGGTGTTAGCCCAAATTAATTTTCGATAATGGAATGCCTGACAAAAAAAAGTGGTTTCCCATTCAATTTCAGGGTGCTGCCAATCTGTTGTTTACAGCTGTGGGCCAGCGATAAAAATTCCACATTCCTATGTGAAGCCTTGCCATTATGGTGGCCACCGTGGGCTTGCCCACAACATGGCACTCATTCTATTGACTTAAGGGATGCAGGGTTGAGTCCACCCCTGAGGCAGGATTTTAACTCGCAACCTTTCCAATGCAAGCCCATACACCCCCTACTCGAATTAGATTGCTTAATCATTGCTGGAATATTATAGGAGCATACACGAAATATTATTTCATGCCGACAATTTGCGACGCAAATCAAATTACAAAATGAACAAACTTGCTCCCGCATTTAAAACAAATTAAGCATGCCTGTCGCATGAAATAAACTTCAGGGATCGTGTTCTTGACATTAAAATAAAAAGCAAGTACTGCAATAACGAGCACGTGTGGTGCAGGTACGTAAATGTACAGGAAGCCCCGTATCCTGTACGTTATGTGTGCTGTGAAATGTAATAACGGCATACACACCTGCCAAGCCTCGAGCTGCTGTGACAGGTCAACCTTCTGCTGAATGGCCTCCAGAAGCTGGTTACTCAATGTCACCATGTCCTCTCGACATCTCTCCAGCTCCACCTCGACCCCCTGTTTCCTGTCATCACACCGAGACAACAGAGACAACCTCATCAGTGACGCAACTTTTTTTCACAAGCATGCCCCAACCATGCCAACTGTGATCATCCCTCGCAGCGGTTTTGGATGGCCATTGAACAAAGACGGTCACTGCTTCGCAGCGCTTTCAGATGCGCTTCTGTGGCCATCTGGAATGCTCTTCCTTCCGATATTAGAAAGCCACTGGAGATATGCAATTTTAAATCGAGATTGAAAACCAACTTCTTTATAACTGCTTTGTGTGTTTTGTTTGTGGTCCTTCCCCGCACCTCTGATGATTAGTACAGTGTGCCACAGTTTGGTGCGAGCTATCAGAGTGCGGTCGTGTCGCTACAGTTCCTTGCGGTGAGTACAATGTCTTTAAAAACAACGGTGCCATGCCTCTAAACAGAATCAATGCCGAACCGCTTGCGCGTTCCGAGATTCAGCGGTGAAAGGAACCCCACCCTGCAACTTGCAGTCGTCTCCGAAGGGGAAAGGGTCAAGCGTAGGAAGGGAAAGAGGGAAGACTCACTTTGCAATGGCCTCGTCACGCTCTCTTAAGGCCTTCCTCAAGCCGTCGTCCCAGGGAAGCCCCGCCAGCACGGTATGCAGCCCCTTGCACTCCTCCCGAACCTCTCGTAGCTCTTCTGCTTGGGCCTCCAGCTGAAGGGAGATACGAGAGCGTATGGGGGTCACGCAAGGGGTACGCATTGGGATGCCAGCGTAACATTGCGAGTCAACGTTAATGACTTACCCACGCCAATTTGCGGTTAAGTTCATCTGTGTCGGCTGTAAAGCGCCACGGGGGTCTCACGAATCTCTAAGCCGTTGAATAATCGCGGTGGACTTCAGGTTAATCCCCCGCATGGCGAACGCGGTGTACAAAATGCAAGCTACTACTGGATGCCGCGCACACGGAAGGTCGAACTTTGTACATTTTTAGCAGAATGTGTGGATACAAGAAGTAGGAATTTTGATGAATTGTAGTTCAGAGACGCCGGTGAGCAAGTAGGAACACTTACAGTGAAAGTTAATATTTACGATCATTGCAGGCAAAGCAACAGTAACATAAATATATCTGCTTACCCGCCACGTGACCTACTCAGCCACGTACCCGTGGGTTATTTCAGTAGCAACACATGAACGGCACAATTGCCATATTTGCAGCTATTGTTTGAAATTATTCTCATTTGGTTGGTTTTGTAAGGATACAAAGTTGTGAAAGTTATCACCGTTGTGCAATTGATGTATGGGATAATATTATTTTGTGGAGCGTGAAGTGTAAAACCAACCATACATTTAACGAGTTACACAATTTCGCTTCCACATTTTTGTTTGGGGTCTTCAGTATCTCACTTTTAAGTTCCACATTAGCTACAATTAGTGGTATTTATGGTATCATCATTCGTGTTGTTTATCTGCTTCTTCAAATATTTTGTCCTCTGCCTCAGACCGACAGCCTGTACATACCAAATAAATGTGGCCAATGGTTTACAGTGCAGCATCTTGAGATGCAGTTTCATTGAGACGCCGTACGAATACAAATTTTAATGTATCGTACAATTCACTGGACACTTTCTACCTCTGACCACATAACTTGTTTCATCTAAAGCAGAGGCTATCTGGGCCTGGCCAAATTATGCCTGTTGTTCATGGACTATGCTGTACTCTGATACTTTGTTCATTATGGGCACAATATAAACGCAAGTGTTATAGTAGTATAATTATTCTAATAAGCAATTGGTGGAAACCTCGCTCTGCAGGTGCTCTGCTTTTTCTTTGTAGACGCGCAGCTCCTCGCCGTCATGCTCCCTTTCTTGACGGAGAGTGTCCAGCTCTGAGAAGGCACTCCGCAGCTGAACTTGAAGGTTCTGCTCCCGTACCTGCGCAAAGCCACAACGGATCACAAGACACCCTCGGTTAATCAACACGGCCAAAAAAACACAACCAGCCTTGCCACGGGCTTGGTGACGATGAAGCAGGGGTTACGTCAAAGCTCAAGAGCATCCTCTCTTGAGGCTCGCTATATAATAATAGTGGGTAAGTGGTTGATGGGAAGACCTAAGCATGCCTCAAGGGAAGACCTTTGGACCAAATGGTGGGATCTGTATTGCAGATCTTGGAGGTTATAGGCCTCTTTATTTTTTGTTATTTCACCAGGTAATGCCTACTGAGCTATGTAGCTCTTTTTCAGAAGCGATCTGGCCACAAATGACACAGCTCAACAAAGTGGCTTATCATGTGGACATTTAAAGCAGCCAAATACTCTAAATCGCATGTTTCTAAACGTGGACAGAAAAACCGGAGGACCTGAAGAAAAATCCACACAGCCAAGCGAACTCCAAATATACAGGCATCAGGGTCGGGATCGAACCCACGACCTCCTGTATCCCAGGCGAGGCAGTTAACATCTCGCCACCGTGGCGCCCCCACTGTGCAGCAGCTGGAGGATTCCGGCAGAGGGTCAGAAAGCGTCGGGCGACGAGGGAGGGGTGGCATCCACGGTTTAGACCGCGACGCCATGCGGGCGGATTAGGTCGGAGGAAGCGTTCAACGCGCGCTGCCGCCGGTCCCCCCTCTCCCGTACCAGCTGCAGGTCGCTGTCGCACAGGTTGCGGATGAGCGCCTTGAGTTCGTCGAGCGCGGCGTGCAGCCCCTCGGGGGTGGCCTCGCTGCCGGTGCTCTCGGCCACCGAGACGTCCGTCTCCACGCCCGAGTCGACCGCGTCGCTCGCCGGCCATCGCTCGCTCTCCGCCCACGCCGCCACGTCGCTGCCCGTCCAGCGCTCGGGCGCCGCTTGCCCCGCGGCCGCCACCTCGCCGCTCGTTTTACTCTCCAGCTTGAGCCTCGGGTCGCCCCCCTTGAGCTGCTCGCACAGGAACTGCAGCTGGCCGTAGACGCTCTGGATGTCCTGCTGGAACTGAACGTTGGGGGGGGCGGGGGGGGTGGCGGGGGGGAGGAAAAACAATGTCTGGTTTGAGTTGTGTTTCTAAACTCCACTTCCGATTGCAGCTCGTGAGGTTTCTAGCAACGTTGGTTGGGGCGTGGAGTGAAACGTCAAACATCGTGCCAGATAGCAGAGTGGCAACAGGCAGAAAAACGCATCGGATAGCTAAGCGGCATGGCCGTAAATAAAGTAAGTGCTTGTATTATCGGTTTTTGTTGTTCCTCTTTACAAATCACAATGCAAACAGTTTTCAATTAAAAAGTAGGTGATTTGTGAACACTTTAAGTTACAAGCTTGCACAAAGATAACTGTTATTATAACTGTTTTTGTTAAAAGGACTAGTTTGGATATCACTCGTGCCACTGATGCTAGCTGTGGCTCTGAACTGAACCCTGGACGCCGGATTCAAAGTTCATTTAGAAATGTATTTTTACATTGATTACACTCTAATAATATTTTACATCATCTGAATATGGAACTGGTAAATGTATGTTTTGTATCGTGGATGTGTGTCAACCTTTTGAGTTATTTCCAGCACCTCAAAATACAGGGGATACATTTGAACGATTAAGATATATTTTGAAAAGCATGCAATTCACTGCAATTACAATCGCATCAACATGCAGCAAAAACAACATTTTGCCTCCAAAACAACACGGCAAACTATCGCGCTAGAAACATTGGTAAAACAACAAACTCGGGCTTCGTAAAAAAAAATTGAAACACGCCACACACAGTTTACGTTGGTGTGTGCTGGTGAAAGGGATATATAGTGCGATTCGTTTGAACGAACCGGAGAGCACATGCACACGGCACAAACCAGCGGCACAAGCCGTGCGCGACGGCGTGCGGGCCTACCCCCAGCAGCAGACAGAGCTCGGAGAGTTCGTGCCTCGAGCACAGCCAACGCACGGGCTGCACAACAACCGCGGCCCGCGGTGAAACGCAATCACACGCACAGCGCACGCAACGACAAGCTGAATGCCAAACGCACCGTCCCTCGCCGACAAAAAGGTCTACACGGTGGAGTAGAAGCTCGATATAAGGGTACGTGACTTTACCGAAAGAACCAAAGAGTATGGATCCTTGCAGTCACGAAAACTTCAAAGCTAGAATCAGCACACCACTTCTTAGATTTCCAACAGTAATGGCGTGACTGATGAATCACAGGGCTGCGCTTTTACCTTTGTTTTTATGCTTGAGTGCAGTTTAGCAACACATCCTTGATGTAAGCAACACATCCTTGTATTTGACTTGAGCGAGGGAATCAAAGGGCAACTTCTGATACAAGCACACTGCTGTGGTAGAAGCAAGCTGGCCTTGCTCCTAGGTGGTGTCCTTATATCCAGATCCTACCATCTTTCTGAAAGACGTATTGGATTGCAAGATTCTGTTGGGGCTAACACAAAGAACTGGACATTCTCTCACAACGTTTGTCCACCCCCCCCCCTGGGCTAAACAGGGAGTCGGAACAATTATGGAACATATCTATGTCACCAAACGGCTGGTGCCGGTCGAACTACTTTGTGTTTTTGCGCAGAACTATTACGAAACTCAATTCTCCCAAAATACCACAGCCATGAAAGTTAATAATAGCCCGCGACTGTGGGTGCTTTCACTGGGTTGTTTCCGAACCTGCAGCAATGAATGAATTGCTGACCGGCTTTCACCAGAGAATTTATGTGGAGCCGATTGACATGACCAACTCCCTCTCACATTCCACGCTCCCACTCCCTGATGAATGCTTTTAAACAACGCAGTAAAAATCGTTTCCCAAAAAATACATTTGTTTTTATTTTAATGTATTAGGACACATGAAGAAGAAGGTCGGTACCAATAATGGTCTGCATTATAAAAACAACAGCCTTATATTTGAACGTAAAAAAAAAATATTTCTTGCTCAAATGAGCATTGAGACGGTGCTCATTTCATGACTTACCACCCTGAGCCAGTGGTGGAAATTCCACATTACTATGACGGGAAGAGTCTCTTCATAGGCCAACCGACTGGTTGACTTTCTGACAAAAATTGTACTCATTTTACCGACACCAAAAGGCTTTGAACTCGCAAGCTTCCGATTATGAGCTGCTTGCTCTACCGCTGAGCCAGTGTGGAGTTGTTAAATCCCACTTTCCCCAGCATGTGTTCGAATAAAACTGTCGGTCAATCTAATGCTCACCCCATTTCCATCCATCGTGCAATGGCCTGTTTGTTAGTTACGCAAGATAAAATTGTGAAAATAATTTGATTAAGTTAATTGTATTTAATTAACGTATTCGGACTAGATTAGTAGTAAACAAATAATGGATCATTTGGAATATATCACTTTAAAAGTATTAATGGGATTGTGCAAAAGTAAAACATATTTAGCAACAAGAAAAAAAATCATTGTTGATTTAAATTAGTCGTTTTGAAGAGTTGAAAGTACTGTACCCTCAATGAAAAATATTTTACCTGGAAAAATTGAGACCTCGCAAATTTTCCCGAAAACTAAGGTAACACTTTAAAAAAAATAGAACGATGAATCATTTTCCATGCCATTTACCTCCCCTTTACAATGAGTCACACAAGGAGTCGTCGCCATGGTGTCAATATTGGCCTCTGCGGAGGATGTTTGTGAACGACGATGTTACTGGGTTTTTGGAGACAGCCGCCCCCTCCCACCTGCCCCCCCTCAATCTCCATCAGCAACAGAAGGCGGAGCAGAGACGCTCACAACAACGTTGCAGCTTCTTCAGTAACTGGATCGAGAGGTTCACTTCTTCCCTCAACTACATCGCGCTTCAAGCCGCCGCCAACAATTTCGTTTCTGAAGAAGCTCCCACAGCAAGCGGAGTGCTAACGCCGGACATTGCCGTGCCCAACAACCGCGGAAACCTACACAGTGTTGGTGTTGACCTGACCCATCCATAGCCCAGCCAGCCAAGCCGCTTGACGCGCTCCCCCATCCAGTACCTGTTCCCTCTCTATGCTGTGCTCGATCTCCGAGAGTAGGGACATGTTGTTGACGTCCCCACCCTGGTCCCTCTCGGACACGCTCCCTCTCCTGCGTGCAGGACACCGGGGCGAGTCGCTGGTTTCCCGGCGCTCCGCCTGCAGCTGGGACAGCTGGGAGGGGAAGGGAGGACCACGGGGTCAAGGGTGAGCACGCCAGCCGCCACCGCGCGCGAAACACGCGCGAGTGCGCGCCGCGCACACGCGAAAAACGACTATCGGCACGCGACCCTATAAGAAGGGCACCGAAAGGATTGCACGGGGAACACCGGCCGAGGCGGCGGTGAGCCACGGGAGTGGGCGCGTGACAATTCGTCGATTAAAAACGACGATTACGCCGATGGCGCGTTTACAGAATCGTGCGATCAGGTCACTTGCAAATGTATGTACAGTAAAACCTTGGATTGCGAGCATAATTCGGTTCCGGAAACGTGTTGGTAATCCAAAGCACTCGTATATCAGCTGCGATCACGTGACGCTCGGCAGACAAAGCATATACTCGTACTACTCGTATTGCAAGACCTCGCTCGTTTATCAAATTAATATTAATTTTAAATTTGCTCGTTTGCAAAACACTCGCAGACCAAGTTACTCGCAATCCAAGGTTTTACTGTATGTAGAACTTCTTTCGCAACCTACATAGCCAACTGCGGTAATCAGAGGGGAGGGGAATGACACGTCTCCTGGTCTCTTCGAGTTCTTAGCCGGTTAAACAAGTAAACCCGACTTTCACCTAATCTGCGTAAGAATCGGTTATTTATGATTTAACCACTAATCTGCCGTACAGATTAGCACAAAAGCTAACAGAACAAACGAGACACAACATAGACGCGAGAAGGCAATACAAACTAGGTGACAAAATTGATTCTGACATCAAATCAAGACCCCCCCGAGATTCATGACAATACATCAAATGGCGATAGGGGAATGGTTACATGCCAACTATGAGGTGTCACACAGAGAGTGGAGACGTTGTGTTTATGCAAAGTAGAGTCTGGGGTGCACTGTGGCACGGGCACAGCAACTTTCTCGAAGTTTCTGCTAATCTTCAATTAAGCGGAATATAGTGCAGGGAGATAGTATTATTATCAGGTGTTTATTCATTTGTCAATTGTCGATGTCGTTGTTTAATACAATTATTTGTTTGAGCATTTACCTGTTATATGCAGGGCAAAAAGTAAATAACATTAATAATCGGTGAGGTGAATGGGTGTTCGTATCACTCGGATTAAAGGCAATAGTGTTTATATGGGAATTGCGCCATTCATACGCTTTACAGACGGGTATAGTCTGCAGTCGTTTGGCAGTAGGGGGTGATGTTGCTACGTGGCCTTGCCTAATTAGGTAAATTGCGAACAATCTTCAAATGTGGAAGTGTTGAACCGTGGCACCAGCACGCTTGGCATGCTCACCACGTCACAGGGCCTTCAACGTGCATCGTGAAGCAGACGACGCATAGCACTCTATGACTATGTCACCCGCGGTAATAACCAGGGCGGCCACAGGCCTTCGGCCTACGAACCTCCGTAACAGGTGGCAGACGGGCGTCACGGTGGCGAGATGTTGACTACCTGGCCTGGCATTCAGGAGTATCATGGGTTCGATCCCGACCCTGATGCCTGTATATTTGGAGTTTGCGTGTCTCTCTCCCCATGGTCACGTGGATTTTTCTCCACATTTAGAATCAACATAACACGTTTAGAGTATTTCGCTGAGATAAATCTCCACGTGATAAGCCACTTCGTTGAGCTATCATTTGTGGCCAGGTCGCTTCTAAACAAGAGCTACGTAGCTCAGTGGGCCTTACCTGGTGAAATAAAACAAAACCGTTGAGTTTCGATTAAAGCTTTCGTGACTGCAGGGATTCATCTTCTTGGTTCTTTCGGTAAAGTCACGTAGAATGGAAATAATAAAATAATAAAATAAAACATAATAAAATAATTCTCACGACGTTTTGGCCACAACGCAAGCAGCCGTCCTCAGGTGAAGACCAGGTCTGTCGGGGAGACAGCGTCTGAATGGGCTGTGAAGACCAGGTCTGTCGGGGAGACAGCGTCTGAATGGGCTGTCTCCCCGACAGACCTGGTCTTCACCTGAGGACGGCTGCTTGCGTTGTGGCCGAAACGTCGTGAGAATTATTTTATTATTAATATTTTATTATTTTATTACTTCCATTCTACGTGACTTTACCGAAAGAACCAAGAAGAAAAAAAACCGTTGAGTTTTAGTTTGGACACGCTAACCGCTCGGTGGGGGGGGGGGGGGAAGGGGCGCTGGCGGCCGCCTCACCTGCACCTGCGCGCCGTGAGCCTGGCGCTCGAGCATGGCCGAGCGGGCGAGCGCCTCGTCCAGCTCTCCCTGCGTGGCGGCGTTCTCCTCCTGCAGGGCAGACACCCTGCACTCCAGCTCACGCCGCCGCTCCAGAAGCACTCGCAGCTGGACACGGAGTTGGGGTCGGGGGGGGGGGGGCGGTGGCGGAGGGGCAGGTGAAGCGACGGGGTGGGGGGGGGGGGGAATGGTGGACATGGGCCATGCGGAAGGAGAGGTGCGGTGGGGGTGGGGGGGGTGGACGGTGAGTGAACGAGGAGGGGGTTATTGTGTGGAGGGAGCGATAGAGCAACGGGTGCGACGTCAAGCGGAACTATTCCCGTTCGAGGGTCAATGATTCGCACGGTTGTAGAGTTGTGCCAGCACCGGGCAATGTGGCTCACTCAAAGCCATTGTTGATATTCTCAAAGATTCTTTGACAGAGGGAGGGGGGGGGGCTGTCATCAATAATGGAAGGCTTACGATCGAATGTCCAAATACCAACCGGGTTTGCAAGATTCTTATTCGAGAGCACAGTGACATGACGATTTGTTCTCCCATTTGACTACTATTCAAGTATTAAATATCTTATTTAATGGCGTATCCTCTTTCTCAGTCGAGCAGACATAATCGAGAACAATTGCGGACCAATTAATGAATCGTGACAGTTTATGAATGCACAGCGCATTGGGATCTATTGGTGAAATACACCTTACAAATGTCAATTATTATTATTAAATACAAAACAACAAAGGTCGATAGCTTTTCTTGCGACTAATTCTGGAAAAGGGCTGTTGTGCACCGATACATTGAATTGGCCATTTGTTGCAAGAAACGTGTACTCTTACAGACTATCTACGTCAACGCGGATAAGTAGGTAACAATGCAGACGAGGTATTGACCAACAGAAAACTTGGGTCACAGTCTGGGGACAGCGAATTATTTTTGCAAGGTAGGAATCTTGGGCCAAACCCAAAAGTGGGTCACAGCAGCTTTGTCGGCAGCTATTCATCCACGGTTTTGGCTTCAACTTGAAAAACACTGGCACAAGGATGAGCTCCGAGCCAAGGCGGAGAATACAGGTTATGATGGAAATTACATGCAATTGATAACAGATGCCACGGTACTTGTGTTTGCGTGTGAAATCACAGCTAAAGCATTGTAGCACATGCAATTTCAACATATAGAATATTAATGGTATTACGTGGGCTAAAGTTGTAGACCACATATTTGAAAAACGTGCCTTCGTTGAGGCGTAAGTGCGCATGCTTATAACACGGGTTTGAGCGGTGCCTGCGATGGGTTTTCAGTCTCGTGATACGCAAGGCTCATCTTGAGCTGTGAGGACAGCACGAGGTAGCAGGTGTGTGCATCGCAGTGTGTTGGCACGTCGGCACAGCAGGCAGCACAGGCGTTGCATCTTGGCAGTGATCTTAGTCGTTTAACCCGTAACATCTGACCCGCTATACTGGACATCTGTGAAAAAGAGCTTCATAGCTCATCGGATTCCTCTACTCTAAATAAAGATTTTGATTCTGCCCCGTGACCCCCTGCCAACGGCGAGCCTTCCACATTTCACGCGATATTCTGCAAGTGCACATGGCCTGGCACAAGTGCTGTGGTGACATCACCTTCAGTTAGTGGGGAATGGCGGCTGCTGCTGTTGTGTGTGCGCGCACGTCTGTGTGCGTGCTTTGGGGCATGGTGGTGTAGCGGTTAGCGCACTGCGCTACGAACCCGGCGACCAGAGTTCGATTCCCGCTCACGGCCAACACCAGCGACGATTATCTGAACTGGTCCTGGTCCTCCCCCTAGGGCGACTCCGCCTCAAATGAGTACCTGGTGTGGTGTGTAAACATCGCCACTAGGGAGACAAAGGCGGCCGGGCGTGGTGCTGGCCACCCACCCCCTCGTATGCCGTGCCGGGCTTCATAGGCGTTACTCGCGAACAGCACTTGCCCCAGCAGTCTGTTCAAGTGATACGGCAGGGGGGGGGGGGGTCTTCGTCTTTGTGTCTGTGCCTGTTCTCACCTCTGAATGAAGGGACGTCTCTTTGAGCGCGTGCACCCCGGCGGCGCGGGTCCTCTCGCGGAATTCCTCCCGCAGTTTGGTCAGCTCGGCCGACAGCCGCGTTTCTGTTTCTCCCGCCTGGCGAACACACACGCGGGCACACTTCGATCAACCGCCACCGCACTACGAGGCCAAAAACACAACCCTTTTTTTAATTGATTATTCGCCAGGTAAGGCCCACTGAGCTCCACAGCTCTTTTTCAGGAGCCACCTGGTCAACGAAGGGGCCTTATTGCGTGAAAGTTTATAGCAGCCAAATATTCGAAATGCACGTTTCTAAAAGTGGAGGGGAAAACCGGAGGACCCGGAGAAAAATCCCCGCAACCACTTGGAGAACATGCAAACTCAAAATATACAGGCATCAGGGTCGGGATCGAATCCACGACCTCCTGTATACCAGGCGAGGTAGTTAACATCTCGCCACTGAGGCACCACGTTTTTACGATTCCTTCCTCGCACTGCTCAATTTTGGAATTCCCTCTCATCGTCTATTCCCCCACAAAACCCCCCCCCCCCTCCCACCATGGGTTATTATAACATTTCTAAATTCACACGAAACGTGTTCATTCTAATCTACTTATGTTGTATACCGCACAGTTAAAAACCGTGCCTTTTTAGGCACCTCCGATTAACACGGTTGGCTACGTACGGTGCAAAAGAAGTTCAACATACATAAACAGTTACTACAACTTTCAGGTCTCTTTGTCGCTCAGCCACCTGGTGTTTTGGGCCTTTAAAAGCCTGTCCTCGGCAAACTGTGTTTAAACAATAGATCCCTTATTGCAAAAAAAATAGCTCTAACTTTGCTTTAAGGCGCAAAGGCTACAGTGACCCTGGCCTCCAGAAACGAGCATCGCGTTATCAGTTACACCTCCAGCGGTGCCGTTGGGCCCACTGTACTCGTGGACTGCAGCTGGTTCCGGTGGTCGTGTTGCAATAGCTCTCCGATTGCAGTTCGCGCAAAAGTGTCTAAGCACGCGGAGCGGAACGTCGGACAACATGCCGAACAACTCGCGGCACAACCCAAACACACACGTTGGATCGTGCCGTCTGTTGCTGGATGCTTCGCGTTCTGGGCCTGTGCTCACCAAGCATTCTAAATAAAATATACATGTGTAAAATGTAAAAAAATTATTAGAATGTCTTTTTTTGCCCCCTTTTTGGAAGGTCATTTTACATTCAGTTATGAAGTACCGTACTCTGTACCCTTTACATTTTGTTACGCATTAAAATATTCTGATAGAGGCACAAAAAACCGAAGCTGAAGGAGGCAAATGACGACAATTAACGGCGATGATAATCTGCCATGCATGGAATCTGCAACGTTCAGCAATCCCCACGAGATCGGTGCAAAGATTGACCACATCACAACAGTGCGATGCTTAGCAACTACCCTTACAGAACACTCTTGGGATGTTCTTAAATACAGTGAATTTCCCTGCCTCGTGCATTAAATTTTTTATACCAAACAATAACACACACAATACCACAAGCACATTCTTAGGTTTTTTCGGGAAAGTCACGTAGGTAAAACATCAAAATTAATGAAAATAAAATATAACAAAAAATCACGACGTTTCGGAGGCAACACAAGTCTCCGTCATCAGGTGGGACCGTCACAGCCGAATTAGCTGCATCAAGTGAGGCAATGATTCAAGATGTAATCCCTTATAAGCAAGTTGAAGGGGGGAGGAGAGGGGGGGGGGAGCTCATCAGAACATTCTGATGAGCACTTGATGCAGCTAATTCGGCTGTGACGGTCCCACCTGATGACGGAGACTTGTGTTGCCTCCGAAACGTCGTGATTTTTTGTTTTATTTTATTTTATTTTCATTAATTTTGATGTTTTACCTACGTGACTTTACCGAAAAAACCTAAGAATATGATTCCTTGCAGTCACGAAAGCTTCAAATCTAGAACCACAAGCACAGCCAACGCATAAAAGTACGATGGATACGTGGTTTTCATGATCAAAAAGCAGACACCAAGGATGCGAAAAAGCTTCGTCGTGCAATTTTAATGGTCAGTTGCTCACGAGTGCACCAATCGTGAAGAGCGACGTTGGTTTTCAGTATATTGGTACAAATGAAGTGGCCAGGACGCATCAAGCTGACACGACGGACACAATGAGAAAAAAGATTATTGCTCTGGTTTTCCCACCTGATGATGATTGCGTGTGTTGCAATCAAAACGTCGTGATTTAATTTATTTTATTTTATACCTACGTGACTTTACCGAAAGAACCAAAGAGTATGGATCCCTGCAGTCACGAAAACTTTAAATCTAGGATGAGAATGTCGCTATGGGTTTGTGTCTCTCTTACTCCACGGCCGACAGAAACAACTAATAGGAGTCAAACACGTACTTTTAGCTCTCCGACGTGCTCTCGGGTTTGTGCCGTGGCTTGTTTGTGTTGACCTGAAAGGAGTTCTACAGCACAACCACAAAAAACAAACCCCTATGCGAGCACATTGCTTTTGCTCGAAATCAACGGTATTTCGTTACGGGTAAAGTTGGCATTAATTATATTTCAACATGTGCTAAGTTGGAACGTATCGATGAATGGGCAGCGGTAAGTTCGTGGTCACTCGACAGGCCTTCATCGATAGTCTCTCTACACCCAATACAAATTAACTTCCAATAAATATATTTCGTTTAAACGGTGGTAGGGTTGTGTATATTGTTCAAACCGTACAAACACCCCAACCCATTCCCTGGGAGTTTTCGCAGCGAGCGTTTCACCGACAGACTCGAGACGAAATGAATTCACCCGCAAATGACAGGAAAATAATAATACAAAACCACACGAACCTGCCCGCAATGCCCCTGTCAGTGGAAATTTGTCATTCCACAAGAGCCACCCCTCTTCAGAGCGCCGATCGCCTCCTCCGGTTTCCCCTTCTTGCGCAGCGCTCGCGTTAATTAACCACTCGGCATGGAGTTTCGACCGGGCCACGCTTCATTTGCCTGCCGGCGAAATAATTAAGCGCCGCAGTCTGCTGAGCGGCCAACGGTGGGCAGGGCAGGGCACGGGCAGGCGGCAATCAGAGGCGGCACGGGCAAGGGTTCCCACGTGAATTTGCTCACTTAGCGGACGGACTGTGCCATTCTAGATCATCGCACTAAATCACGGGGCAGTTTAACGCCGCGCCCAACGCACTTGGCTGGGTTTTTTTCTCTCTCACGTAATAATAGCAGGGGGTTTGTGGTTTTGTGGCTAGCAAAGTTGTTTTTTTGCTGGAAATTAAAGTTGTTGTTGTTGCTGCTGCTACTGCTGTTGTTTTCTGCTGGGTTAGTAAGCCATGCGTGTGGCCCAAGAGGGGAAGCGTTGATAGGAATTTTCCGGTCAGTGACCCATGCGAACTCATATCCCTCACGCCATCATGAAAATGTTGCCTTGGAAATGTGATTAAATTATTACACATTCCTCAAGTTGTCTCTCTTGGCCTAATAAGTGTGCAAGAAAATAATTGGTGCCCAGAATATTTTTTATGTCATTGTCGTGATAAAAAAATTCTTTAAAAGTACAACTTTTGAGAACAGTTGGCATCAGCCTTGCTTGCCAAAGAGTTGAAAACTACAACTTCAAAGATTCTACATCCACCCCAGAATGGTTAAACAATTATTACGATCTACGCCTGAATTTAATCGTGACATTCGAATCAAGGGTGTGTTTCGGTACACGCCTACTCTTGGCGAACACCTACAGTGCAGTACATCTATTTTTAAATCCTTTATATTAAGTTCGCTTGCTTGCTTGCGCGCTTACGACCGTGCAAATCTTTACGTCGTTTTTTAACCCACTTCCCGTAATCCAATCGAGCTGACATTTTCCACACAGACTCGTTGTGCGTGACAAAGAATTTTCGTGAAAAAAAATTTGCAAAATATTACACTTTTTAGGATTTTTTTTTATATTTAATTACCAATTGCTTAATGGTGGCAGGCAATCATCTGACCCATAGGTGGCAGCCATCTCAAGCCAGAGGACGAGATGACTCTAGCCGCCACGCATATAAAGGATTTATAGTGAAAAACTTAGTTTTTACGGGTTAATTTTTAGAGTCTCAAACTGGAAGAAAATGCAAATCACTCGTGCTACCTTTTCCTCTTAAGCATTACTCTGTGTAATAGGTCTCGGTCGTGGTTTAAGCTTTAGGAGACCACACTTCTGAACGCTGCATCACAACACTGGGCAAGACAATAAAACCTAAATAAGGTGACAGTATTGTACTTGTGTGGTTATTGGCCCAATGAAAGTCACACCCATCGACGTTACGTCAATGGGCAGGTTCAATGGGCAGGTACAATGGTTAGCTAACTGATGGTAGATAATACGTAATTCCATTTTACAAGCAAAGAGCTGTAAACTATACTAATAGCGAACAATATTCCCACTGATATATAGTGTTTGGTATATGTTATGTATATGGCTCGATTCTTCACTACGTACCCAGACCTCACACGTCTCCTGCAATTGGAGTGGCATCTCAGACATTAGAATCTGTCATTTTTATCAAGCGACATGGATGATCCTTCCGCTCCCCTCCAAATCCCTCACTGGCCTCTCACTCCACCACTGGCCAATCTCACGCGTTACCCACTATCAGGCTTGAGAAGTGTGCCTACCAGAGATGCCTGGTAACGGGAAATTCCTCTCATCCGTAATGATACGGGCGAAGAGTGTGGACACTATGGGCGGGCATTATCCGCTTGTATCAGGAAGAAGCGTGGGCAAATGCGGATAATAGGATACATTTTCTGACACACTGCCATGTTATTCCTCTTATCCGTGCAAAGTGCAGATTATACGGTGAGAGACATTTATGCGCGGATAGTAAAAAGGTTAGTGCATCGATCCGGTGATGTGGTTGATAGGAACTGCAGGTAATAGAAGCGCTGATAGAAGCAGTTTTCAACGAAATGTTACTTGCAAGGCCTCGCATATAATTAATTAAACAAGTCCAGCCCTTTGTCAATCCACTGCTGGATGAAGGTCTCCCTCACAACGTCTCCTGTGGGGTAGGTATGATCTCCAGACCCTCGGCAGATATCACTCGCCACCAATGTTGGCCAGG